AACTGCCCACCCATGTAATTAATTTAAACAATCTTCATTCCACAATTTGCCTGCTTAGCCTTCAACTTGACGTGGTTAACAGTGGGCGTATTTGACATGCAACACGAAAGGCACTCAACACTCAACACAAAATCAAAAACAAAGAGACTATTCAGCCGTTGTTTCAATTAAAACTATGACCGGGACCTAGTTTGAAGCTCTTCCTGATTAATCTTTGAAAATGTTGCAAACAAACACTTGCTGATTGTTGTGCAAAATAAATTAATTAACTATTTGCATAATTACATACTTGTGCAATGTGTAAAGTATTTGCTTTGAAAAATATAATCAACAAGTCAGCAAGTGGGCTAAATGTTTTGAGGCACGAGGCAACAACAACAAAATAATGAAAATAACGAACAAACAATTGTGTTATTTATTAAATTATGCGATATTAATCATCATGCTTCAATGCGATGCTCGCTCAATATAGCCAACATGTTTCTTGCTTGACCATGTTTAGAGACTTATAATAGCATAACAACTGATTTTCATGCACAATAAAGCAGATGGCTTGGCTTCCCATTCAAATGAACTTTTTTTAATGCCTAAAATTCTAAATAGCTTCAAAGTGGTGGATACGCGGCACACCACAGGCCGTCGCAGAAAACCTTCAGCATTCCAAAAAATCTCAATCAAACACAATCATTAACAGCACTTGGTCAATTAAATTGTGGTACATGCTCTTGCTTTTTTCCCCTTATGCCTATCACATCATTGCTGACTTGCAATACGAAAGAGATACGTTCAGAATATACACATCTAAAGGCATACTTAAAGTCAAAGATGAAATATACCGAGAGCGGAAATACAAAACCTGCCTGTTCAGATTCTGAAACTATTGCCTTTGAAGTTTTGTTTTTTTTTTTTACCATTTACGAACCAATTAAGAAAATGTGCTCTGTTGTGTTTTCGTAACTTTTGAATGAAAAGCATTTCGATTATTCCCAAAGCACATGTCGTAACAAAGTATGTATATCATAAAAGCTATTGATTTCTTCGATTCTTCGTACTGAAAAGAAGACTTCTAAAGCGTCCGGCAACAGGACCTGCTTCTAAGCTTAGCAGTATTTGGAACAACAATCAATGCTAAGGTTGCTGGCCACTTCTCTTAGCAGTTTTTGAAAAACTAGTTTTAACAACAGAATTGCTTATCCAGATGGACAGCTGTTGAAATATTCCTGTAAACCTCATGACGGAGTAGGAAAACGTTAAACCACCTAACCAATAAAATATCCATTGAGAAGCCGGACAGCCACCATCATGAAAATTTACTGACGGAGCTGAAAAAAACACATTGGAACATGAAACTCCAGAGTAATTACTCTGTCACTGTATAATAATATAAAATACTATAAGTTCCGTTTAGAGCGCGTTCGGATGACTACCATTTCCATTTCCAAACCCAATTCCATTTTGGTTTACTTTTCAAAAGACAAAATATACTTTTTTTTTAACAAATACCAAATATGGTATTTTTATTATTTGTAATAAAACGTACAATTCTAAAATCATTTTTTTGTATTCATGTCTTAATTCAAATAAGCTGCACAACTCCTCAGCAACTCGTTAGCCCACATGTTCTTAGCCTTGTTTAGTTTGCTCAATTTTTGTATTCAAATCAATGCTTCCAAATGGAAACTCTTTCTGCAACACAGTTAACCATTTCAACAATAGACTACAAAGTTCTGCAAAAATCGGAGAACGGAAAAATTCAACGTACATACAAAGATAGATACATACATATGTGGAAATTTCAGCACGGCCGTTGAAAATATATGTACTTAACCACCACATGACACAATATTTTATACTTTCTTTTGAGGTTAAGTTTGGTTTAGTGTTGGTATACGAGTACTTCCCATTAATTAAATTGATTAATTTTAATCGAATATTGAAGAAGTGTATAAATTATTATTCCATTGTATTTCAAAATATAGTCTGGAACTTTTAAAAAATTAACAAGCCAAAACTAATCTGTTATAAATACAAAGCAGTTGACTGCAAATACATACCTTTGGGATACACTTAAAAATACCAAACCATTTTAGGTGTTGGTAACTGTCCCATTGACAGCGCATCGATAGGATGCCGACGACTATAAACTACTATAGGGACGTTTTTATTTCCAATTCTGTCAGTCGCAGCTCAGAGCTGATAGAGCCTCGACATTCTTTTAAAGTTGTTTTTTTTTTTTAAATATTATTTGGCTATTATTTAATGTTATTTAACTATTTAGAGTGTGCCTGTTTCCAATATATAATTTTTTATACTTTTATTTTAATTTCCTTTTTTATTATTTCAATACTTGGTATATTTATGTTTTTTGCAAACGCAATGGATTGTACTACGACAGGAAACCTAGGGCCTAGGTAATGCCAATATTAAAGTATTCTTTTGTTTTTTCAATTGTTTATCAATCCTTTCATTAGTTTAAATGTAATATGAATTTGAAGAAGCCTTTTCAGCTATTTGTACTAAATGAGTTATGTTTAAGGTAGTTTCAAAAGGCAGCTGAGCATCTCTGTAAAGATTGTTATTGGCAATCAACCAAGTTAATGCTCTATTCAGTCTTTGTATATCCTCGATAATGCAAATCTAAGACTTATATGGTTTTCTCATGGATGCTATTGTCAGAACTGGACCAAATTAAAATAGGACCACATCAGCTTTTACATAAAAAAAAAGAATCAGCAAAATTGGTTCACCCAGTCGGCAATTCTGAGGAAACAAACATAAAAATTAAAAATTAAAATTCCGCCGAATTAAGACCCCCTCCTTTTTTTGAAGTCGGTTAAACATAGAACTGGAATATCAGATTTGCCATATTATATTGATTATAAACGTTATCATCTTCTATGCATATTATTTCCATCTGCATGGGATTTAATTGTCTATATCTTCGATTTACAGAAAAGTAAAATACGCTATTTTCAAAATTATACCATATATCTCAAATGAATATAGTCATACTAAAAAGTCTATTTTATGCTAAACGTATCTGTAATCAAGTTCTGCAGATAAAATTGAGAATGTAATTTCTATATTCTTCTGCAGAACGTAAAATGCTCCAAAACTTCAATATTTTGTAATATCGGTATCAAATGGTATTTTTTAAGATGGGAATGCAGTTTTCGAAAGCTAATCACAATATATATTATATTATTTTACAATATAGCATTATACGAGAGCTTAATGGGACTACACGTAACTTCACGTAAATATATATTAATGATACTGCCGCATCGCTTTGGAAACTTTCGCACATTTCAAAAAACTAGGAAGTAGCTGAGACATGGGTTGCATCTTCAACATTTCTTCAGCCCTAGTTAAGGCACAAATCAAAGCAAACTTCTAGTCTCCAAGGGAGAACATGTGTGAAATGTAAAGTCTACACTGAGGCGGCTTTTCGACTGCCTGCTGGTGTCGTTGTTGTTTTTTGTAGGCAGTTAGACTTAAGTGCAACAACGGCTTATCTTCATCCATTTGTCTGCCTCCGCGTCTGTCCGGCTGTCCTTCTATATGCCTATGTGTGTGTGTGTGTGTGTGTGTGTGTGTGTGCAGCTTGCTGGTCGTTAAGTTGCTGCAATTTGTAGTCGGCCGCTCTTGGCTTTTATTTAATTTACACGCAAATTATTTGCTGTTATTTTATTGGAGTCAATGCACAAAACGTTTTCAACAATTTGTTTTTTCGGCTAACGGTTGAGCTGTAATTGCATTTGTTTTACATGGAAAATTGCTGTTGACATGCCTAATGCCTTGAATGTACTTGAGCTTGAAGGTTGGGACCACCCAGCTGGCATTAATTGAAAATTCGCAAGCAGAAGAAATACATAATTAAATTAAATATACTGTATGAACAGGTACGCGGAAAGCAGTCACTGGCCAACAGGTATTTCAAGCATATACTTGTAAACCTTAATTTTCTTTAGCTGCGGAACAATTCATTTTTAGATGTTGGCGGCACACGCGTCGTATGTGTAATTAACGGCATTGCGAATCGCATAATTATCGCAATGGGGAAAGGGGACTAACAAAGAAAAACTAATCAGCAAACAATGTAAAACGCTTGACTTTGACATTGGCATATGAATCGACCATCAATGTTAATGATTTATATGTAATTTATAAAAACAAACAATATGTCGATGTCCCTCGATGCTCGAGCGCTTCCGTGATTTCGAGCAAATAACTTTTTTAAATAAAATAAATGCAGTTAGCAAATGCAAATTGCATTGACAGCCAGCTGAAAGATGAGCTGCACAGAGGCAGACTTGAAGCGCGAGTGCATGAACTATCTGAATAAACATAAAGTAGCCAGTTGTCAGTCGTTTGATGAATGGCCTGACAAGTTATGAGCGGGCTCTGCTGCTCGCATGTGTCAATTAGCCATGTCTTGGGGGCCAAGAATGGCCAATGCAGCACTGGGCTTGACATTTAGCTGCAATGAAAAAATGAGGAATGAAAAATGAAGATGAAGAAGTGCGCCCGCACCAAATTAAGCCTTAATTGCAAGGCAATGTACGAGTACAGCATGCGGTTTGTTGCCCTTTTGCCAGCAGACGTTTTTATTTTGGGCACGTTCTAAATAAATTGCAACAAGTTGGCAACGGTCGCTTCTCTTTACTTGTAGTTTGGTTGGGTTTGTTTTGGTTGGTGTGTTTTGTTTTGCACCTGCCCCGGAGCAAGCTGTCGGTGTTGGTTGGCGTTGGCAGCCAATGCTGCTGCTGAATGTCAGTTGAGATATTATCGCAGCTTCTATTTCTAGTCTCTAGCCTCTATTTGCTTTCAGGTCTTGCTCTGTTTGACGTTCACTTCGTACTCGTACAATCTTAACCTTTGTTGGACTTTAATTTTTTCAATTAAAATGCCACCTTGCCACACTATTGTAATAACCTATGTACTATATGTATATATAATGTCGTTGGTTAATTCTTTTCTTCTTTTTTTACATTCCACAGAGTTTATCACTTGCTGCCATTATCGCCTATGTCTACGCCCAAGTCGCGCCCGGTTCGAATGCGTATTTGCCGCCCACGAAAAATGGCTACGACTATCCAGAGCCCAATACGCCATTTGTAAGTATGAGAAATTTACAATTAGCCAAGCCAAGCCAAACTGCAGCAAATTGAATTTCGGTAAATGGCTAATTATGGCCATTATTTTCACTCGAGAGTCGCTCACTCACTCACTCACTCACTCAACCCGACAGCCCTTCACTCGACTTCTGGCTTGAGGCTTGTCGCCACATTTATCAATCCAGCTGCCTATATTTGATTGTTGCTGTTGCTGTTGAAGGCAGCACCTTTGATGCAACTGACAAACGTTAAACGTTAAATTTAAATGCCGACCCAAATTATGTTGCATTTGTCACTCGACCAACATTTTGATGGGAGGAGTCACAGACAAAGCCCGTCGCGAGTTGAGCTTTGGTTGGTGCTTGGCTTGGTTGCTTGAATTAAATTATGACTGAAAAGTGTTGACCTTATTTTTATAGAAACCAGCGCCTGGTCGACCTGGCCCTGCCCCCGGCCCACGCCCACCAGGCCCCAGAAACCCACCCGGTCAACCTGCCGATGTAAGTTCCTACATAAGAATTCATCTGCAAGGTCTGTCCCATTTGGATAAACTTTGGATATTAAAAAATACATTCCATCTATACGTATAATCTGAAAATTTTAACAAAACAAAATTGTTGTATTATTTTCTATACTCGTAGGATCACGAGCACGTGCCCGGCATGCCATATGACTTTGAGTATGAGGTGAAGGATCCCGAGACAGCCAACGACTATGCGCACAAGGCGTCCAGTGACGGCGATGTGGTAACCGGGGAGTATCGCGTGCAGTTGCCCGATGGACGCACCCAGATTGTGCGCTACACTGCCGACTGGAAGACAGGGTACCATGCGGATGTCAGCTACGAGGGAGAGGCCCAATTCCCACAAGGACCTGCGGGTGGCGCACGTGGTGGTGGCGGCGGCGGCGGTGGCTACAATTACTAAAATAGCCTCACCTGTGTGTGACTTGACTTATGTCTGGGGGTTGTCTTGTTGTAAATTCCATGAGAAATGTATAAACTTTGCGATATACGAATAAAAAGTTATTGGTAAATTAGCTCACGTGTCTTCATTTGCCCTAAGCACATGCATATCTACAAAGAGTTTCAAATTTTGAAATTATATAATTAAATAGAAATAAAAGAAATATATATATCTAACAGAAATAAAGTCAACAGTTGTAAGGCTAACGGGAGTTAATGTTTCGTTCTAAATTTCAAATTAAAAGCTAAGAAAGGCTACAAAATAACTGTTCAATAACAATAACAAACATATAGTAGCCAGAGGTTTCCCTGAAGATAACCACAGAGGACAGTTCTTACAGAATTAAACCAACAACATGGGAGAGAGCGTTCTGTTATATATGTATGTATGTATACTTCTTTGTATAAGTCACGCCTTTTTCTGCCTATATTCCAATTGCATGCTTTAGAGCATAAGGTAGATCGAACCTCCTAGTCTTCAGCGCCATCCTGTCCCCAGACACCTCAGTCAGTCTGGACATGGAACTGCTCATCATAGCAAATATGTGCTACAATTACCAACAATACACTTACCATATAAAGTGAAAACAAAACAATTGCAATTTTCTTAGAAATATACATTTTTGTTTTGAAAATTGTTGGGCAGAGTCGCAATGAAAATACGTCCTCAAACGGCTGTTGTCCGAAACTTAGTTTCCCAGGAAGCTTTCAAAGGTTTCACCTTAAAGCGTTGCGAAGAGGCAATCCTGCAAAACTTTCAAAAAGCGTCACCCAAAAACGAGCTTTAGAGGAATAGTGAAACCAACCCTTGTATGGCTGTCAGACGCCACAGGTGGTGCTCAGCTGTCAAATCGGGCCATGGCTAGAAAACATAAACAATGGCAATGCGCAGCTGCCTGTCGTTGTAAACAAACACCTGTAACCGGCTCCCAATGGTAAACAATCTCGGGGCGCCGACGCGACAACTGTCAGCGCCGACGCAGTCGATCCCGAAGAGTAGTGCGTCCGACGAAAGCTCGGCACAACAGCTGTCATCTCGTTTTAACGCACGGCGATTGGCGATGAACTCATCGCTGACACAGAAACGTCAGCGAAATGTCAGCCAGAAAACGTCAGTATACAGAGAAAAGTTCTTACAGGCCTCGAATTTTCACACACTAAGCGCACGTATCGCTGAAAATTCCCTCAATTGAAGTTGCAAATAGGCCATGTCTGGCAAAAATGTGTAGTGCATGATAAAGAAAAATATATTAAAGCAGTAATTGTAATAACAATACAAAGAAAAAGACAAGTGCAAGCCAAACACAGACAATAGCTGGACTCGCTGGGATCCGTCGAAGCTGGAAATGATTTTGGGGGCGCGTAGATGGCAACGGCATGCAGTTTGGTGCTGATAATGATCTTAATAATAATGATGGTAGCATAGCAATTTTGGCTAAAATTGAATTAGCCCAGCGAGTGTGTGTGTGCGGAAAGGTGCGGCTAAGTGCGGATTGGTACGGAAAAGTGCGTGCGACGTGTGCAGCTGCAGAATCGTATTTCGTATTTATGTCGCGACTACACTATCCAGCCAGTGCAAGTGCAGCAGCAGCAACATGGCGTGGCCCCCAGCAACAGCAACAGCAACAACAACGACAGGATCACAATCAACAACATACGCTTATCGCTCCTCCTGGCACTCCTGGGCCTGGAGACTATGCCTAAGCGTACTCTGTGTGCTCTTCTACTATCCACATGGTGCCAATTTGCTGCCTGGCGAAAAAATTAACTACAATCTGTGAGTGGCGAGCATAGATAATGCTTGATCTCTAATCCTAATCCTAAATACACACATATTTTATAAAAAACTGCAGCGTGCATTCATGGGCCGACAAACTGGGCATGGAGCTGTTCCATTTGGGCGATTTTATCACCCGTCGCAAGGAGGTGCAAGAGGTAAGTGTGGGGCACGTTTTTATTGATTTTTCCAGCTTAGAGAATGCGCGCGTGCTGCTACTGCTACTGCTGCTGCTGCTGTCCTTTGTATATTTGTTGTTCTTCTTATTTTTGTTGCTTTTCTTTTTTCTGTTTGTTGGCGATGGCAGCAGCAGCAGCAGCAGCAGCAGCAGGCAGCGTATTTGGGTTAAAGGCTGGCAGCCTTTCAAACCAGTAGCCTGGCTGAGCAGGCAATTATAGCAAATGTTTGAGGCATGCCGCGACAACGACTACGACGACACTAAGTCGGTCATCAGCTTGTCTCTTTTATGAGGTCAGTCGCTGTTGCTGCCACATAGTACCAACCATTATGTGGGATAGCTGGTATGTAATTTATTTTTAGGCAGCGCAATTGGATTTTTAAATGAAATCGTCTTACGGGCGCCCATGCTCACACACACACTCACACAAACACGCTGTATGATACTGTGTGTCCAGAAATGTAGCATATGTCTGGGCCATTGGGCCTACTAATAAATACCGTAGGGGTTGTGTACATACATACATAGCCATACAGACAAACATACGTCAGAGCTGGTGTCTGGGTTAGGGTGCTTGACACGTCATTGGCATTGTAAGCAAAGTTTCCAAGATGACGAACTTGAAATCAATGTTTGTATTGTAAATCAATCTAAAAGATTGTAGGATTCTTAGAAATTTTTGATTTATGGCCGTATTTTTTATACCCTGTACCCAAAGGGTACAAGGGTATATTAGTTTTGTGCGAGTGCACATGGAACACACAGAAGGAGGCTTGGTAGACCCCACAAAGTATATATATTCTTGATCAGCATGACAAGCCGAATCGATATAGCCATGTCCGTCTGTCCGTCTGTCTGTCCGTCTGTCTGGCTGTCTGTCTGTATGAACGCAAGGATCTCCGAAAGTATAAGAGCTAGAATAACCAAACTTGGTATACAGATTCTCCTGAGCCCGAGAAAGGACGAGTTTGTTCATTTTTTCTGATCCACCCCCCCCCCCACCCCCACTTCCCCCCTATTAACGATTTTCCATAACTCCCGTAATTCTTGGAATTTTGAAATTTAGTAGTCACATTAGGTTAGTGATTATATATCCGTAGACCAAGTTTCATTATGATAGAATGATTGGAAAAAAAGGTATAGCCATATAACCAGGCCCAATGCACACATACATACATATGTACATGTACACAAACACGCATAAGGCACGATTCTGATGTAAATGTAAATATATGTATGCATGCATGGAATATTTTATATTTAATTCAGTTAATTAATTTAATTAATTTAATTTCTTTTTTGTGGGGTGGTACAGGGTATATAAGAGTTGAGCCTGCTCGACTTTAGCATTCCTTTCTTGTTTTTTCTTAAATCTATTAATATATTACTAATTTCCCATACCACTAAAGGGCATCAAATTATGGAAGCATGCTGTGGTGTGGTTAAACAGCGTATTTAACTTTTAACTTTTGATTTAGTCGTCATACTTATTCTAATTTAATGAAGAGCTTCAAAAAAATTAATAAAGAGAGAATAAAAGTTAATTAGAAAGTTATAAATTCCTAAAGATTTATAAAGCATACGAGGGCTGAATCCGGGAATCTCCACATCTGAGCCCCAACTATTACGGATACCTTATATTCTACCTCTTACAATTCCTTCTGCCGGACAGTCTAGAGGGATAAACCTACTACTACAACAATTTCAATTTCGAAAATATTAAATGTTAGCTCCATAGCAACCAACACAGCAAAATATAGCTTTAGACCACCAGCCCAGAACTCCTTACTGATCTGAATTAACATTCTGCAAATATCATACAAGCTTAGATTCCATTTTACTTCTAAAATCTATAATAAAGGGATGATATGCCACATTTTTAGAGAATAAGGAGAATAGCTTCCCTCAATACAAAGCTTGTTAAATTACTTATCGTATGTCTAGAGAAAAACTATGTTTGTCCTAAAGAATACTGTCATAGAGAAAAACCCCACTGATCTTGATAATAATGGCATCATACTTTCAGAGCTTCAAGGAAGCCAAGGTCGAAGCACGTTCGGGTGGCACAATAGTTGAGGCCATGGCAAAGGAAATAGAAATGATGATGGAACTGAAAATTAGCGCCGTGCGTGTAAGTATGGGAAAAAAGTACAACCTGTGGAAAATTGAATTAAATATATCAATTTTGCAGCGCATCATGGACACTGCTGAGAACACTGCACTTTCTCATCAAAATGAAAAGGCCGATAAATTTTTCTCATATTACAATGCCAAGGATATGCTGGAACCGGGCGAGCCCATGCCAACGGCGCCGCCCCGAGATCTGGATGATAAAGGGGAGCCATTCATTTTCGTGCAGCCCAAGGAGCTGGTTTTGACGCCCAATGCCGAGTTCCATAATACTCCGGTCAACTTCAGTGTCAGCTCAGTGCATGTGCCAGTGAATGTGTTTGATCGAGGTTTGAACTAAATGCTCTAATAACTTATCTGTGCTTTGTCTCCTCCTCTCTCAATTAGTCTCTCTATCTATCGCTCGATCGAACTCTGTACCACACTGTGTCTATGTTATCGTAACTTAAGCTTATAGCACACGAGCAGCCCAACAAAAACAACAACACCCATAGATACATACATACATATGTTTCTGAACACACCGTCTAAATGTCTGAATGTAGCTTTAAGTCTAAGTATATGTATTTGTCTTGCCCGATCGCTCGCTCGCTCGCTCGCTCGCTGTATGCTATTTTCGAATTTAGTTTATCGTTCAAGTTCTATCGAATGAATGTTGCGCCTTCTTTTTCTTTTTCAATTTACAACCGCTTAAGTCAATGCGCGCCACGCGCACGCGCAGCAAGCAACGCATCGCCGCACTGCGAGCACCCATCATGTACCTAATGATCGCAAGCACAACTGTACCATCGATTGCCCAGTGCTGCGTTACGTATGTTGCTGGCGCGTGGACGTGGTGCTCTGAATGTTATATGCCGACACGCGGAATGCTTTGCCAAAAACCGTACAACACCCAACTAAGCCACTGCGACAATCACCCAAAACCACACTGAAAACTACAACAACAACAACAACAACCACTACAGACAGCCACTGCACCGCCTTGTGCTATGTTTGTGTTCCCCCTCTTTTCCCAGTACCATGAGCCTACCAAATGAACAAACAACAACATTAAAACATTAATTTCGTCCAAATCAAGACTAATCAATTTTTATACAAATTCTTACCGTTTCTTTTAACATTATCTTCATTGACAACAACAACAACAACAACCACAAAAATTGATTGATCGATCAACAAATTACAACACACAACTCAACAAAACATAATCACATCGCCATCATATAACAAACATGATTACCACACAATTACAACACCACAGCATCGGATGTTATTAAAGCTATTCAATGGTCGGAGAATTTGGATCAGATATTTCGTGATAATTACAAAAAAGATCCAACTCTGTCGTGGCAATTTTTTGGCAGTTCGACTGGCTTTATGCGTCAATTCCCTGCAGCAAAGTGGAAGAAAGACGTACCGGTCGATCTATACGATTGCCGTCTACGCTCTTGGTATATGGAAGCAGCGACTAGTCCAAAGGATGTTGTTATCCTAATGGATGGATCTGGTTCAATGTTGGGACAGAGGCTAGATATCGCAAAGCATGTTGTCAATACGATTCTCGATACATTAGGTACAAATGACTTTGTGAACATCTTCACCTTTGATAACGAAGTGAACCCAGTCGTCGGATGTTTCGAGGACACATTGATTCAAGTATATATACTTCTATTTTTACAAATCAATTTCAATTTTCCTTTTCACATTTACTTTCATACAAAATTAATTTTTAATTTGTTTCTTTTTTGACAAATCACAATCGATGCGGTTTCAAACCAAACCTAAAACGGTTCAAATTGATTTGATTTGACATTTGAAAAATTACAACAAAAACTGAACAAAACAAAATCAAAATCAGGCCAATCTTGGCAACATACGAGAACTTAAAGAAGGGATTGAATCGTTTAAACCCAAATCGATTGCCAATTATACCGCTGCATTGACAAGAGCTTTCGAAATATTGGAAGAGACCAAGACGAGTTCACGAGGTGCGCAATGCAATCAGGCTATTATGATCATAGGTGATGGGGCACCCGAGAATAATCGCGAGGTTTTCGAGTTACACAATTGGCGCGATCCGCCCTATAAGCCGGTGCGTGTGTTCACTTATTTGATTGGCAAAGAGGTGGCGAATTGGGATGATATACGGTGGATGGCATGTGAGAATCAGGGATATTATGTGCATCTCAGCGATACGGCTGAGGTGCGCGAAATGGTATTAAATTATATACCGGTTATGGCAAGACCACTAGTATTGGGTAGGCATGATCACCCGGTAATTTGGACACAGGTCTATGCGGACGTTGAGGTGGGTCCATCTTAACACATTTAATTAATGATCAATTCTTAAGCTCTACACTAAAATTCACGCCCTAGGATACCAAGCTATCAGACTATTTGTGGGAGATTAAACAGTGCGAGGAGCAAAAGAACGATGTCTGGGAGTATCGGCGAATCAATGATCGCATGCTTGAACCGGGCGAGATGCAACGTCGCGAATACAGACGCATGAAAGCGGTAAGATTCTGTTATACTTTTATACTCGAAGCACATTTATCCAATACTGGCGATACTTGTATACAAATATTTTGTTTCAGACCTGGAACCAGCCAGTCGACTCAAATGTCTATCAATTCATGACCACCGTATCCATGCCCATTTATGATCGGCGTGAAAATGCGGTAAGTCTAGCTCTGGCCGTGCTCGTGCACCGTCTATTAAAAGAAAAAAAGCAAATATTAATAATAATAATAACAACACAATTAAAATGAAAGCAAACCAAAAGTTAGCACCGCAAAATTCTTTATCAAAAATCTATAATCGCAGGCAGCGCCGCGTTCATGATCACTCTATCGAAAACCAAAATACCAATACCAGTACCAAGCCATAACTCAATCTATCTATATTACAAACTCACTATATACTACTATTACTACTTATATTAATATTTTATGCGTTATATATATATATATAATATAAAACACAACTACTACTACAACTACCAAACTATACACAACAACCACAGAATATCACCGAAGAAGTTTTAATAAATGAAGCACTCTGGGAATTGCAAACACGTGAGGTACAAACTAATGCCAAATTCTAACAAACTCTATTCAAAAAAAAAAAATTCAAATGAAAATTTGCGTAAAAGTATTTACATGCTCTTAAATGAAAGTTTTATATACGCCAATTTAATCGCATAACGTATTGAATTCTATATATATTATTCATAAATATATATATATATCTATGTATACCTTTAACTAAAGTAAACGATTTGTTATACTTTGCGCTACATACATGCATACCTAAACCATAAATATTTAACCGATATATATTCTATATTTGTATATCTAATAACTATATCTAACAAAATACGATATATACTACTAGCTATATGGTCTAGGACCATATCATTCTTTAGCAAATTTTGCGATTCTAGTGTGTTGACCACGTACTAGGTACAAAACAAAAATTCAACTCAATTGGTAATGTATGTAACGAAATATACTCGTATATATAGCCATATATAATTTCTTTTATACTCGTATATAAATATCTACTCGTAACATAATTAACAATTTATAGCAATGCCTCGTACTTATATCTTACCTAACGTACTCGTATATAGAACATTTTATACTCGTACACTACCTAGCATTTTGTGTAGTTCGATTTGTTGTTAGAACGTATAACGTATAAATAAGATGAAACCGGATTAGGCCCAGTCGCTTCAGCGAATGACATGAATGAAAATATATAGTACATAGCTATAGCGCCTATACTTGTAGTAAGCGCGCTATTCAATCCCAATAGAAACTCCCAAAGTCGAGCCTAGCCATTAATTGTTGGTATGAACTACTCGTTGATGTTTAGATAGGCTTGTATAGTACATAGTGCCGAGGCGCTGGAGAGCACACAAAAAACTCAACATGACAATACAAAGACAATTCCCATAACAATAACAATAACAATACACCAGAGTTCAAAAATCAATTATAATTATATACTTACCTGACTACATTCGGGCGGTAGAATGCCCCGAAAATCGAAATTGGGCAGCGATACTGAGCAATAAAATGCCTCAATTGTACAGGATGCTCAATTGCTCAAATGAGGCACCTTAGCATTAAGTTTTTATACCCTTCATATGCATAAACAATTAATACTTAGGCCCTTGAGCAGCCCCACTGACGGGTGGCAAGAAAAGTGGTTTTAGTGTTTTAGAATATTTTGTTCCAGGCATATATAGTAGGCTTCGCACCCAGCTATAGCTGCAGCTCAACCAAACACCTGCCCTAACTGCCCATCCACCCAGACCAACCACCAGCCCCCACCTTTGATTTGCTTTAATTCCTAGAAATTACATTATATGTTCACTAATTTGATTAATCAATTTATAATTAATGAAAACAAATACCAATACAAATTCACAGCTCATTAATCTAACGACCGATATAAATCCGGCTGCCAAAATAAATATGAAAGTTGTGAGTAAATTGTTTACAAATTTAACAACAAAAATCCACAGCAACTGTACGAACAATTTTCGAAATTCAAATTAATTTAATCAACTTCCTTTTTTGCGCAATTCTGCCATTTTTTTGTCTATTCTTAAGTGTGTGCCACGCATGAGATTAAAAATTATTTCAGCATTCTACCGTTTCTGCTTATAGTTTGAGCACATTACATCAAATAATGCATTTGATTTTCTGTTATGCCTTAAAGTATATTTCATTTTTTTGTTTTGTTTTTATTTATAACTTTCCACTGTCCAACGGATGCACCATACATATGTACTTAGTATCTACTACTAACATTTTATTGCTAACCTCTCTGGAAGTTCTGTGTAGCGCTTCTGCTAACTGCTTCACTTGCGCATTAGTTAAGAGGCACTTGAAATCTCTTGTAGGCAACGGCAAACTGCAAAACCTAAATACTTTTAAACTATTTCAGATTTATTCTTCCAATTTCTCCTTAACCCAACCATTTAGCCTCCAAGCACATTTTGTGCCTTAGGCCCTTTGCTTCGATTAGAATTAAAGTGTGTTCACACTGTGTGTTTACATTGCACAACAAACTGTGTGAAGGGTATAAAAACTATGAAAATGAAAACTTCAACTATTTATACACATGCACACACACACACACACACACAGAGAGAGACACTCCAGCCACACTTACAGTTCACACAAACACACTCCTGTAAACTGTACTTCTGAGGAGTGCACAACAAACAATCGCATAAACTGTGTCTTCCACCTTTTTGTACATTTGGCCCCCTCTAATCGAGCCACGACAGCTTTTTACACAACTTCTGTTTAGTCCTAAGCTCATTTTTTATTCAATTCTAAAAACTCCTGTAAATTACTTTAATATTTTATTTTGCCAACGATTTTTTGCTGTCGGCCAAAGTCTCAATCTAACCTTTCTCTATACTCGTGCTACTCGCATTTTCTTTCAGTTCACACTATATAGTACACTTTTATGTTTACACACAACTGCTCTACTCTCATATGCTCTTAGTACTTACTACTAGCCATGTAATTAGCCACAGCAAATTTAACTAAAAAGCAATTTTCTGTAAACATACTTACTCGTATAAATGAAAGTCATTTGAAATCGATTCCAACAAACAAATATTTTGTATTCGTAAGCTCTTGCGTAGTAACAAATGCTTCTCATATTTGCATAACCCATTCTTTTTGAAATGCCTTTAAAGTGTAAGCCGAATCAAAATTTCGTTTTTGTCTTAGCAATGCCATTTATCAAATTACAAAAATTTAATTCATTTTCAGTATTTGATTAACATGCAAACAGAAATTCTCTGTACTTGTACTTGTATTGAAAAAAAAAAAAACACAATTTCTTTTCTATATGTTTTGTTCAAATCAATGTTAACCCCTTTTCATTACTCACCTCAAACTTTTGCTCCTGTGCAGACAAGAATTGCTAATATATTGGGCGTGGCTGGCACCGATGTGCCTATTAGCGAAATAAAAAAGCTACTCTCGCCGTTCTTGGTAAGTATCCAGATACAGAATGTACAAGTATGGTCGTGTCCGTTATTTATTATCTTAACCCCGACAGCTCGGCGTTAATGGCTACGCGTTTATAGTAACCAACAATGGTTATGTACTATTCCATCCAGACTTTCGTCCAATTGTAAGTGCATATAATAGGAGACTATTTAAAACTAACTTATAATAAACGACCTATTTACTTTTCTGCAGTTCCAAGGTTATATTTTGAAACCTGCTTACAATAGCGTTGACATGATTGAAGTTGAGCTATTGGATGATGATCGAGCCGCCAGAGACTTTAATCCAGTGCTGCTGACGGTAAGCTTGGACCAAAACCGTATGAAGGCTACCAAAAATAATATAACATTTATTGCAGATACGCGATTCCATAATCAATCAATCGACAGGCAGCAAATGGATGTTGGTTAAAAATCATTTTGATGAGATGGTAAGTCTTCCAGTCTAATATGTTAGTCTGAAACCCATTATGTTAGTGTTGAAAGGGTTTTTTGATCGTCTGTCTGAGAGGTCGTTTGCCTTCAATCTATTATTTTAATAATTATTTTAAATGTATGTTCGTTAAGGTTCCCTTAAGTTAAACATTACTACCCGAAGAAAATAATGCTCAGGCCATAACTTCCGCACCACAGCTAGATCGCCTTTTTATACCCTGTACCCGTAGGGTAAAAAGGGTATATTAGGTTTGTGCAAAGTATGTAACATGCAGAAGGAAGCATCTCCGACCCCATAAAGTATATATATTCTGAATCAGCATGACGAGAGAAATCGATCTAGACATGTCCGTCCGTCCGTCTGTCCGTCCGTCTGGATGAACGCGAGGATCTCAGAAACTATAAAAGCTAGAATAACCAAAGTTGGCATCCAGATTCTCCTAGGTCCGAGTAAGGACGAGTTTATTTTTTTTTTTTAATTTTCCCCCCCTGCCCCCGCTACAGAATTTCGTCAATAGCGTCCACATTTCAAATGCTACCTAAACCAAACTTTGCACACATAATTTATATATAATTCTAAGAAAAGTTATTAGCGAAACAAATTCTCGCCAGTACAACCCCCCCAAACTGCAGCAACAAGTTCGCTCTTCTTCTTCCTCTTTTTGCTGCTGCTATGGGCGCATATAACTCAGTGACGGAAGTTTACCTGGGTACAGGGTATTACACTGTCGGGCTTGCTCGACTGTAGCGTTCTCTCTTGTTGTTGTTGTAGCTGATGTTATAGTCTGGCACAGTCGACTATAACTTTCAAGATTTTTTTTAACATTAATTCAAAATCCAATTCCAAATCCAAATCCAAATCAGAAACGCGTTGCTCGTATCAAGCGCCAATATTACTGGAATGCCATCAAGAATACCCCATTTACACTAGTCATCAGCTATCCGGAACAGTATGGCGTCAGCCGATTGGCCATACGTACGGAACAGGATATACATCGTATCAGCATAAAGGGTTCAAATATACGCAGCTTCTTCGATGGCAATCGTTGGAAAATACATCCCGATTGGTAAGGAATTCGATATATATAGTGCTATATAGCATATTACCGATTCTTAACTCACCTCGCAGGCTATTTTGCAAGCACAGCAACAAGACATTCAAAACGCCAGAAAGAGAACTTTTGTTTTTTCTGGAGCGTATGTCAGAGCCAGGTTGGAGATGGCCATCGAGTCGAAGCGCCATGCCCCCGGAACATACGGCAGCCATGTTCTGTGAGTATACCTACCAAAATCTGTTGAATGAGTGATAAGAAGATAAGTCGCCTTTGATTTGATTTGATGACGCTGCTGTTGCTCTAAGTTTGTTATTATATTTGATGTTTTACGTTTCCATATAATACTATACTCATGCTCGAAAATGCTCGAAAATGAAAAATGTCGTTTGCAATACCAATCAATAATCATGCAAATTCACAGCTAACAACTCATCAGCTGGCCGATATCCATCAATCAATGAAAAAGAAAGCTACTATTGTGAGTAAATAAGTCTAACAAACAGTTGTCGTACTACATTGCCAAATCAGCAAGTCCATTATAGTAAAGATTATTTGTAATTTGTGAACACATTCGAACGACTTTTGATATTTGTTTTTTTTAAAAAAAAAAAAAAAAAACACAAAACAACAATAATTCCAATCACTTTGCACTGGCACCAATTTTATTTTGGTACAATTATTACCAAGTAGGATCCCGCTTTCAAACTATTATTATTGGATATGCATAATCAATGTAGTCGTCACGACGTCCAGTAGAAATTTCTTCCACATCTCCTACTCGCATCAGTGTAATTACCACCTTAATAGTTAGCTGCGAAATTTGCACCGAAAATTGTTGCATGGCACAACGTTACTTTTGTTTACTTTTTGTTTTGGGTTCACAATTTTAAGGCGTATTTGCACTTTCAAGCGGCAAGGGCCACTAATTTATAAAGGTTGCGGAACTGCTAGACTGCGGAAGTGCGCTAATCCAATCTAAATGTTAATTGGCAACAACTACACTCTTGGGCTTCGTTATGCATTAAGTTATATGGATTTTTTAGAAAACGAAAGCACTATGCGCAAAAATTCAAATATACAATGAAGTTGCGAAATATCTGAAAGAAAAATGAAAAATCAACCATCAATTAATATTATTATTAGTATAATCGGTAATACCATGTACCCTAGGATATTCTCAAGACTCTAGACGCCAAAGGTACCTATTATATAATAGAAGAACCACCAATAACTTTTGAACCATAACAGCTAGACAAACCAAACTTGTTATGTAGACTTTATTTATTAACTTTTATATAGCGATCACTTTTAATAGGATCAAAGATTTGCTAAGAATGATATCTTCCTCTTGATATTTCATCGTATATAGTAGCTTAAACGATCGATGCAGAAGTGAAACTTTACAACAACTTTTTTGGCGATAATGATATTTCAAGCAGATTTGGTATTTATGAGTTTTAAATAGAACCTCATGGCATCGGGGCAAAACTCCACCTTAGTACTAAACATTCTTCTGTATATAATATTTCGAAATCATAAACAATTTTGATAGAAGAGTCTAAAGTTTTATTAAAATCACTGATATATATGTATTATGTGGCCGGAATTTGTGATGATTGGTATTTTATTTGACAAATTGAGGTCGAGCGATAAAATGTTTACAGGGTATTCAAGCATTGGGCTGGCACGACTTCGACGTTCTTTCAGTAAATCGCTTGATAAGTCGACAATAAGGGGTTTTCAACAACAATAATTTTTACCTTATTCTACCGTAAGCAAGTCGACATGAAAAGTATTTTTCAACAACAACTTCAATATTTTAAGAAAGTATTTGAAAGTATTGAATTTAATATAAAACAGTGATCCCAAATGGATTAACATCACGTTTCGCACAATCTATGTTATATGTTATCTGTTGGCTCCTCTATTTATATGAATATTTATCCTCCATGGTATTTAAAAACTATATAATTGACAGCTCATTGCTAATTGGATATAATTTTGGATTTCAGGCGATCGACAGCTAATGCAAGCGCTAGTATTCGATGCACGCGTCACCGAATGGTTCTCCAAAAATACGAGTTTTAACTCTAAAGATGACAAGGGGTAAGTGCCCGAAACCGTTTGTTATTGAGGTTATTATGCATACTGAGTGCGCTAGGCTCGTTTGGTCACACACACCAAGTACAGTCAACGCCTGCAGTGAAATACTCTAGCCATTCAAAGGACGCACCTATTAATCATTTTCATTTCTACGTATACGCTTTTCTTTTCTCATTTTTCTTTTGCGCGTTTTTTACCAATTTTTTCGTGTACTCGTATATTGTCTTTTTCATGACTACAACTTTTTTGCACCCACAATATATGTCTTAATATTTAAACCAACAAACATATTGCCTCTCATATATATACAAACAAATAAAAAAAATGAAACCCAAAACAAAACCTCTTCGTCAAATGCTTAGCACAAGCGCATCAAGCCCAATAGCCGTACTAATGGGTTTGCTGCCAAGGTAAACAGAAATGTCGTGTAAACAAGTCTTAGCACTGTACCTACTGCCAATCGTGTAAACATTCTAATATTCCAACTTTTCCACCCCACACAGAAACGAGTTCAAGCAACGTTTCGGCATTACCGTGGCCTTTTTGGCTACACACAGCGGACTAACCCGTTGGCATGAATTTCACACAAATATGGCTGAGGAGCCGGGTGCCGGGTAAGTGCTTTTCAACTAATATTAAAAGCTATATATCAGGATATCCTATCTTAAAACATTACAGTGAGATCTTTAGTCAACACAATAAGCGCGCCATTGATGAGATTTGGTATAAACGCGCTGTGGACCAACATTTTATACGAGAGGAGAGTTTTGTTTATTCCGTGCCCTTTGATGCGGGCGGTAAGTACATATACTATACACATATGGTTACAAGTGATCAATGCTTACCTCTTCTTAAACCTTATAGAGACTGGCTCGGAAATCATTGTAACTGCGAGTCATGCCATTTTTCATAGCGAGGGCGGCAAGAATGCACCCGCCGCCGTTGTGGGCTTTCAGTTTCAACACTCAGCGCTCTATAAACTCTTTCATAATATAACAGGCAATGTGAGTGCATTAGCAGTTCTGTGTAGTCTTTCGATCTTGAAATCCTTTCTAATATCCGTATATTCTTCAATAGGCCTGTGCCGTGGATGATAAAGACTGCTATATTTTGGATAATAATGGTTATATTATAGTATCCTCTCGAGTTCACGAAACAGGCAAATTTTTCGGAGAAATCAATGGCGCCATAATGAAGCGTCTAGTGGAGGAGAAGGTGTATAAACGCGTGATCGTATACGACTATCAGGCCGTATGCTTTGAGTCAAAGAACGATATAAACGCATCCAATATGCTGCTTTCGGTTAGTCCCCAAACTTTTTCTCTCCACTCTCCACTCTCTGATCTCAATCTCAATCTCTCCCCCTCTCTCTCGCAGCCGCTATTTCATCTGATGCGCCTAGGCAAATGGCTGCTACATACTGCGCTGTGGTATATTGTACAACTGCTGCAGATGACTCCGGGTGTTGCGGCCAACTTTGGCGAGGCCTATATGGATGGCAATATAACGGAGCCGGAGCCGGAAGATAGCACCCAGGTGAAGAACACAGCCTGGCTGCGCTACGTGACGCTGCATCGCACACGCCTCAAGTCGTGCGACATGCAGCGTGAGTTGTACACGCTGTACAATGAGAAAGACAATGTTGTCTACAATATGACAGCGCACGCATGCGAGCGGCCATTTGTGGTGCTGCCCATACCGGCCAGCAATCTCATTTTGCTGGTCATCGATCAGCTGTGCCCCCGGGAGGGGGCCCTCGTACTAACTGTGAATCCCAAGCCCATTGACTATCATCTGTCGCCCAACGAGACGTTGGCCTGTTATAAGCGCGCGCGTGAATTCAGTCGCAAGCGACCGCAGAGTTGCATCAGCCGCCATGCTAATGTAAGTTCGAACACTCTCTCGCCCTTTCGCTCTCTTCTACATATTTACTATACTGAATATGCATTTCTCTTACTTTCGATTACAGGAGAGCAACATCAAGCTGTGCGGTAAGGCTTGCAGCCTATATGCGAATCTTACGCTACTGTTACTCAGTCATGTGCTCAGTCGCTTGCTTTAACGGCGGCTAGTAATAACAACAACAACAACAACCACGACAACTACACAATTTGTTTAGAAAAATCTGGACAAAGTGTTTATGTATTATATATACTATATATGTATAACTGAAAAAATACTTTTGGGAAGCAACAAATCCACAACATTTTTTACTCTCAACGCTTAAGCGCCGTTCATTTTTCAACATTTTTCAAATTAGTTTAATTCTAGCCTTAAGTACTTAAGTAGCTAATACTAGAGTTTCGAATGTTGAGTTTTGTGTTTGTATGTTAACTAAAATGTAACAGTGTGTGCTGCCTATGATGAGCGAGATGCTGCGCTTTATTGTAGACCTTCCAATAGACAAATTAAATATTTATTGTATAATTATTTAAAATACAAAAACAAAAATACTAAATGCATATAAACAAATTCCAACAACGGCCTTAAGAAACTCGCAATGAAAACTTAAACCAAAAAATAATTAAACATTTTGACAATGCCGCGTGCTTCTAAGTAGGCAATGGTAAAAAAAAGAAAAAAAAAAAAAAAAAATGCGCACACTGTTAATGCCGACTACTGCCCATGTTATATGAATGCCTGCGCAAGTGTGTGTGTGTTATTGTGTGTGTGAATGAGATCGATATTGAGGTTATGTGCGTGTACAAACTTAATTTAAGATTGCCACATTTGTAAGTACGAGTAAAAAGGAACTATGTTAAAAGAAAATGAACAACCTAACTAAACCAAATATTGATGAACCATTAAAATATATTTATATATATTTAAAAGTCAAGACACATGCATTACATTTAAGTAGCTTTTGTATATTTGCTTAGCTTAGCCCAATCAATACAGCAAAAATAAAACAGACACACACATTAACTCAGTCAGCCAGTCTCACTCAAATGGCGGCCGGTGAAAGCACTTTTATAAACATTCGTTAAATTTAGAATAACTAAAATGGAAACAAAAGGAATCCACAGAAAAAAGGCAGAAAGCTATTGCAATGTTTTTTATAGATATGTACTTATATACGAGCAGTATATACACATGCAATGCGCATACCATACATTATATACTCAATAACATTGATAACTAGCATAACCCACAAGTACCTATATATAACTTTTTATTACTACTTGATACGAGCCACAGAACTGAGAAGCAGCCACAACAGCAGCGTCTAGAGAACTTTAAAAAAAAAACCAAAACCAAAATGAAATATACATACATACCTACTATAAATATAAAAGTTATTAAATTTAAATTAAAATAGCTGAAATTTACTAAGCGGCAAGCACCTAAACAAAATTTAATGAAATTATAACTAGGAAAACTTTACACTAAATATGTGTATAATGCAGAAACTTCTCCCAACTCACACTGTACATCACACATACGATACTAATGAGTATGTAGGTAACTGTAAGCTTTAAACAATATTTCGTAGTAGTTTTCCATGTGCCATACCAGATACCTTCCTTTTTTCCCTCTTTGTATTAGATCTTTTACGATTGTCACACAAGTCGCTTACATTCTATATTTTTCCAAAACAGACAATTCAAATCATGTATCCAATACTCGTATCCTAATCAAAACAAGAGCATTTTTTAACGCTGCTAGCAACCTGCATCGACTATTTGTAAGGAGATAATCCTCCATAATTTCAAACTTATTTTGCTTGAATCTCAAACCAAAATATTCCGGACAAACATATGCATATGTCTCTTTATCTACCTATGTACTATAACACCTGAAAAGAATTGCAATTTTCTAACATTACATACTCAATATGTTCAAAGGTAAACGCGATTATTGTGACACTTTCAGGATATTATTAAAGTTCAAATTGTACTAGAAACGATTTAGAATCAATCATAAACTCACTTGTGTTTTCACAAATCAAACTTTATCCCTGAACAATTGTGTGAGCTGCCTATATGCACGCCCAAAAATTTTGGGAACTCGAGAATTCAAACATAAATGGTTTGTAGCAAACTTTTTGAACTTAAAAAATTAAAACATCTCTCACATTCAAAAAAACTTTAAAGGAAAATAATCCAAGTAACACCCCTAACTGATGGTCACACTTAACCACAAAAACTAATGCAATTTGTATTTAAAATTAACAACAAAACACACACACACATATTAACATACAATTTAATATGAATAAAAACAATTTGTCTAATGTGCTAAATGAAAAAATATATATACACATATAAATTTGATTTTCTTTACTTCTCTTAGTCCCAGAAGTCGAGTAAGATGTGTGCGAAGGATTGCGCAGTGTAACCAAACAAGGAAGGGACTTGATTTTTAAATTAAAATTCATTTAATGAAAAATAAAATGCTTACATACTAAAAAAATCGAAAATCGGCCAAATGCAGGCGCCCTATTTTATGCCACTGGACTAGGACAGCTTGAAATCTTTTAAACACAAACATTATTTTAATTTAGGGAGATTTTAGATTTTAAAAATATATATTTTAAAGTGCTCCAAAGCTTCACACATCCGACATGGAAAGGGATGCACACAAATCTTACAAATAATTTATCGAAATCGAGCCGCAAGCTAATTCGATGGCTTGGGTATTCGCAAATTTTTTCCAGCCTGATAGCTCCACATATATCATAAAAGTACGAAAAGCTCTTTCTTCATATACCATTGTAAGACAACGAAAATTGTAATTTCTAGGTGCCTTAATTCGAAATTACCCCTAAATCATTGCACCTCTAACTCTGCATACAGCCGCTTTCTTTGTGGAGGTCATGGAAATAGTAGGTTTAGCCATCGGAGCCTTTACACTTTAAATTGTAACTTCTGGAAATATGAGTCACATGTGCGCAACAAATCTTGAACCGTTCGGGTTGAGTAGCTTCTTCATTTGTAGTCCTTTCATACTATATATGTATGTACATACTGAACATTCCAAATAACGCTTCGCATAGTAGTGAGACCTGCCTTGATACATTTTCCCTGATTGTTACCAAAGAGTTCTTAGACTGATTCCATAAAAATATGGATATAAATTGTCGGCTCCCATCGTTGTTTTTAGCTATTTCCGCCTAGGTTAATGGTTTTACTTGACTCATTTTCAGTTTTTTAAATTAAAATGCATTACAACGATATAAATTAATACAAAATTAAAATATAACCCCACGTTCCAAAAATAACGATCATACTAAATGCATGTCTTATAGAAATGGTACAAAAATTTTGTCTAAATAAAATAAACATATAACGGCTCTTTTAAAGAGAAGGAATAATAGTTGCATATCAATTCGCTTTCGAGTTATGAGCAATTACAAAGAAATCTTATAGGATGTCGTATTCAAGTGACGAGGAGTGTATTTTCAGACAAACCGCTCCACAGATAGAATAAATATGAACAGACACAAATTTCAGTTTATAATTTTCATTACGTCTAACAGTTTATTTTTACATAAATTATTTTATTTTACACATTTTTTCACATTTTCTAGTTAAAAAAGTTCTTAAATTATTACACAGCTAAACAATTGTTAGGTGAACTTTTAGCTTTTCATTAAATGTTGCGGGAAATTGTGAAACTGATATTGTTGTTTGTGTAGGACTTATTATTAGATTACACTTGTTTGTTGGCCATATGCGTAAGGCCAACAATAGAAGTAACGTGTACTTATTTGCATATTTTTGCTCTTATTTGCTTTTCCTATTTTTTTTACTATGTGCAATTTAAAATTCTAAATGATAAGCTTTATACATCTATAGCAGGGACTACATAATAATAGTATGTAAGTACCCCTGTCTATGAGTTGCATGCGTTAACAAATTAAAATAAACGTATTTTACATTATAATTTGCAAATAAAGAATATATAAAAATAATGTTAAGGCGCAGCTGCTCAATTGCGTTGACGCATGCAACTAATCTCAAATTCACAATATTAAACGTTTCAATTAACGATTAACGATATACATGTACGTATGTATATGTACTATATGATAGAAGTCATTTCATCCAAAGAGAAGGTCATCCAAACTTTTTTAAAGTTGTTCAAGTTTAATAATCCACACTGCTTCCGTTCTGTTGCATGCGCACCGAACGGCGTCGTGTGAGGATGCGAGCTGGTGTTGCCGTTGCTGTCGCTAAGGGATCGGGCAGTTCTGCTGCAATTGCGCCAGCTCCAACTGTTATTGCCTCCGTGCTATTAGCCGTAGGTATCGGCGTCTCTTCCAGCACTACACCCAACAATGGTGCAGTCGTCGTTGTGGCCGTCGTCGTTGTGATAATGGAAGACGACTCTACAATGCATTCCTCTAGCTGTGAGTTGCGTCTTGTGGCAATACCACGCAACTTGGACTTCTTTGGAGGCAAGGTTCGTGGTGCACTTACTTCACGTACGGTTGGCGGTGCTGCTATCGGCTCCTCAATATTGCTGTGGATGATTGGTGCTGCCGGTACATCCTCTTCATAGTTGCGTTTACGCGCCAAGCGTGCGATAGTATTGCCATTTTTGCTTCCATTGCTATTGCTGCCGTCGTCGGGCACAATCAGCTCTGCAGGTGTTGTGCTTATGCACATTTGTTCATTGGTGTTGTTAACATTTCCACTGCCATTATAGTAGTCCGTGTTTGTTGTGGGCGTCTCTAAAGTGGTGTGTTCGTCTATGGTCTCTAATTTTTGTGTCATTGGCGTCGTCATGGATGTTACCTTTTGGGTGTTAGACGTGCCATTTGTTGCAGCTAATGGTGCCGATGTGACATTATCTGGAAGCTCTTTGCTGCTGTTGCTATTACTGCCAAGTTGTTTGAGCTGCGTATTTTCCTTCTCTAAGGTTTGTATACGATCACGAGTGGTCTTAAGTTCCTGTTGCAAAAACAATATGGTACTCTGCATGCCCTCCACATCTTCGTCTAACTCTTGCAAAAAATCATCGAGTTCTGCGAATGGAATAACAAATTAATGGAACACATTTTCACATAAGCTGCTTGGAGATTCTGTATACCTGACTGCGATTTCTTCACTTCTTCGCTGAAGCTCTTTTGCATTGCCAATTCAGTCTCTAGCTTTGCCAAACGTCCGTTAGATGTCATCTTGCCTAGCTCTTCATTTTCCTGATATAAAAGACGGCATTTAGCCATCAGCCTTTTACCAGTATTTGAGTCTGGCGTGAATTTCCAGGCGGATAGTTCATTTTGTGTCTCCTCTAGCTTGGCTTTTGTGGCCTTTAGCTCCTTCTTGAGACGTTCGAAGAGCAAATTTACAGCCGGATCAAGCAGCGCCGTGCGCAGGGCCAAGGCAGTGGGCGCTTGTTGGGCCTTATACTCAGCAATTTGGCTCTATGGGTGATTGCGTAGGTTAGATAAATTAGTATTATTGCCGCAGTCATAACTTACCACATAATCCTGAAACTCTTGTTCCTTGTTGGCCAGACGCCGCATAAGTATCTTTTCACGCCTCTGGGCATCAGCGCACTGGTGACCCAAACGCGCTTGCTCCAACTTAAGGTTCTCGATTTCATCTGTGACGATGTGCGTGTGGATAGATGGGAATAACAAAAATGAAAACAGAATATCGGCAGGGTTAGTCAAACCTTGGACAATGGCACTCGAGGCACACTAAGCAAAACATTATTATTGAGTATTGATGAGAATAAAAATTAATGCAGCATATCGCAGTGGAGCAGCAGCTGTTTGTTCTCTCTTTGGGCACAAAAATTTACAAGTTCTTAGGGCATAAAATACAAGACTGATTATATATTTATTTTTTTTTTGTTTTAATGAACTTAATACGAAATCATACCAATGCGTTGCAATCATTCGTGTAAGTTCGAGACATTTTTGTGCGTTGTTGATTGTTGTCAAGCAGTTGCAGTTGTTGTTGTGGTAGTTGTGGAGCCCTTGCCATCTTGTTGGGCGCGCGATGCTTGCAGCACGTTGCACGTTTAACTTCCACTAAAATGTTGCAACCATGCTTTCTTTCTTCCATTCTTGATTTCTTTCTTTCATTCATTCAATTTCTTTTGCGCATTTACTCAACACTGGCGCACACTTTGCTACTTTTTGGTTTCATTTCTTAATTGAACACTGTAGAAATAAACAAGCTTAGAATTTTGTTGCAAAAACAGAAAATATGCATTTGAAAAACACTTTATAAGGAAAAAACTCGACGCGCGCACTTTGCTTTGGATCATGATCATTGACCAAATTGGCAAGCATTTTCGAACACTCTTTTTCTTTCTTGCTTTCTTTATTTATTTTATGTGGGGCTAAAGTTCATTGACTTTTTATTTGCTTCTATACAATCACAATTTATTTGTACTCTTTTTCATTTTATTAACCGTTATCATTAATTGTGCAAACAAATCGCGCGCAGTTTGTGAGCGTTTGTGTGTTTTATACTCGTATGTTTTTGTGCTTGCGTGACAAAGCAAAACAGATGGCCTATATTCAGCATTTAATTAGCAGGGCAGGCAAAAAACCAAATGGCTTTGGTAAATAAAATATGTACATATATGTAGCAGCTTAACATTTTTGTTTTATGCATGTTGAAAGCTTCAACAAACGCAAGCAAAAGTGAAGCAGGTCACAAAAGTAAGTCAAATTATATCATTCTGCTGGTGTAGAAAAACACCTTCTAGTATAGAAGTAATATTGGTTAGCAACTGCCACTTTGTTTACATGCATAGTGCGATTTTTTAGCTGAAATAAATCCACCATCTCCATATATGAATGCACTTTTAAATGTGATATTCACAGAGCTAAATTTTAAAATGATTGTTCTAATATATTCGCAAAAATACATGATTTTCTCAATAGTTCTTCATACTAGTTTAAAAATATAGGTAGTGATTTCTAAATGCATATTGTATAGGTAGTGAGCCAGCCCTGGCATCGCACAATTAAACAATTAGAAAAGCCGACACCTGGTGCTTTATGACAGCTTGTGTTGCTTTTGCTTGTTAAGCAAGTTGTAGGTGCTATTAAATAATGAAATTTATGAGTTGGTGCACACACAGATACACTTATACAGACACGTTACAGATTTATTATCTTATCATTATTAGAAATAATTTTGTTCAGCACGCAAAGGAATTGCGCGCAATTTGTTTGCCGTGTTTATTACATTATAGATTTATTAATGCATTTTTTTTAGTTCAATTGGCCATGATTTGCATTTTCAATTATTACACTGACGCATTGTTCTTATTTAGATTCACTGCTTATTTAATGGGCCATTAAACTTATTGCAACACAAAAACTAAATGGAAAATAAACATTTCGTTGTAAACATATTTATATGAATTTTATTAAATTTATTATTTATTATCGTTATAATTTGTTATTGAGATATTAATTTGTTTTATTAAAGCACTTGCAATATTTTATTATATCATATATTTATTTATTAATTTTATTATTTCTTGACTCGGTTGTTGTTGTTGTTGTGTAGTAGTATAATAGACGACGTGTAGACAATAGTGTAAGGGCAACAGAAAAGAATTAGTTTCAGAGCGCGCGCGCAAGGGCAGGGGCATAGGACAGAGACGCGTTGGCATTTTGGCACGTAGGCAGAAACGAAACCAACGAAAGTGGTCAAAACGAAAACTGTACACACACGCAGCTCTTGAAAAGAGACGACGACGATGGCGACAAGTGGAGAAATGATCGACTCGAATTCTTTGCATAATCTCTACGCATAGGCACTTGTTTTCAATTATTTTTCATTATTATTATAATAATTATTTAAATAATTATTGCTTATTTATATTGTTCTGACACCAACACTTTTAGCACTTTATCGCATTACTGCTTAAGAAATTTATATATTATATTCGTTATTTTTATGCATCTTATTATAGTTCATTACACACATTTCGATAAGCACTTTAGGGTGTTATAGCAATTTAGTGGTTTAGAAAAAAATAACTTAAAAACTAAAAAACGCCGCTGAAAGTCTTAAAGAGTGTTCGCTTTAATTTCTGTTCGAAAACAAGGCACACGTAGAGTTCTTTAACATATATTGTTAGTGTTTTTCACAAGAAGTTTGCACAAAAATCTGACTAGTTTTTTGAGAGAGACTCTGTAAGAAAATGCTGTATGTCTACATGCCCACAAATGTTTAAATGGGAAAAACTAAGCAAATAAAACAATTTACACAAAATGTACACCACGTACTTTCTCAGCATCGCTTTTGTTGTTTTTGATTTTTTTTTTTTGTTTTTTCGATTTGTTTGTTTATACGAACTATTCGCTCTTTTACTCGTATGTGTATACATAAGTATGTATATATATTGTATGTATATATAATAAGTATATATGTAATGTTTATTATATTTGTTTTGATGCTTTTGTTCAAAATAATAATAATACCTTCGAGCAAACGTTGACGCTGTTCGGCTGCGGCAACAGCTTCGGCAACAGCGGCATGTTGTTGCAGTTGTTGTTGTTGTTGTTCTTGATCTTGCTGCTGCTGTTGCTGATGTTGTTGTTGCTGCGGCGGTTGTTGCTGTTGCGGCTGCTGTTGTTGTGGATGATGATGGTGGCCCGAGTGATGATGATGGTGGTGATGATGATGGTGATGCGCCGACGCGGACGAAGTAGATGCAGTTGCAGCGCTGCTGCCATATGGATGGCCATGAGTCGAGGGAGGAGGTAACTCCTCAGAGCCCGACGGCGTAGGCGATGCTGGACCAGAGGGCGGTGCGCCAAGGCCACTACCCGGAACGCTACTGCCACTTACAACGCCGCCCCCAGCGCCGATAATGTGCAAAGTTTGTTCATATTTTGTTGACATTTTGTCGTAACTGTTCATCAAGGGTCTCTGATCGTCCATAGTCATTGCAGCGACACTCATAACTCAATAAAATTCAGCTGTGTTGGTCCTATGCGTTTGCTTGCGTCCTTTCTCATAAGGCATACACACAGAAAACACACTTAAAACTGCGCCGTTGCCTGCGGCGCCTGACCAGCGGAGCACCTTACACGCACACACACACACGCTGCTTACCAATACTAATGCAATGGCAGCAAAACGCAAGACAAGCGAAAATATTTTCGATGCCTATATTCAAATGCAAATTCGCGTTCTCAGCGCGTATTTGCAATTATTTATTATATGTGACTTGCTTGATTGTTCCTTTATTTATGCGTTTGCTATATTTATATACAATTTTACGCACTTTTTTTCGGATAATTTTTATAATTTTCACAGAACGGAGGCCGAGACAATTTCGACGCGTCACAAGCAGAAAAATTCAATATGGTGGACTTCAGTGTGACCCCATGTGGCATGCGAGAAAATATAGTCAGTTATCGAAGCATTTAATTAACGATTTGCACTATTTTTATAATCTCCTGTTTTGAACCATTGTTGTTAATTATGTAATTATATTCTTAAGTATGATGGAAAATGTAATTAATATGAAAAATTCAGATGACTATCGACTGCGCCGATTAATACTAAATGTGCAAATGTCAGTGCTGGAAAGTTCCGACTTCGACACAGCGTGATACATGTTCATACTTTTTATAGAAAGCAAAACAATTATGTTGTTATGGATTTGCCAGAAAATCTACAAGTAATAAAGCTGGAGACGCCCACAACGCCTGAGAAGGCTGCCAATATTAAAGAGCGATTAAACCTACACGTGAAGCGGCGGCTACAACAGGATGTGCCCGAACCTCCGGTTGGCGATCTAAGCCTAACCAGCAGCGAGATCAGTAAGCGCAGTAAAGTCAGAGAAATGTCGGTGGCCACAAAAGCCCGAAAGCCTTACCAGAAACGCGTAGAGAAAATCAAAACAGACGCTAACAGACTCAAGAAAGGTGCAAAGCTTTTCCTTTCGCGAAAAGCGTAACTCTAAACATATTTACTGATTTCCTTACAGCACAGATAGCCAGTCCCGCCGCTGAGTTGGAGACGTCGCTACACGACGATGGCCAGGAAATAGATGCCGCGCCAGAGATGTTGGAAAGCAAAGCAAGCGGTCGTGAACGTTACAAAAACGCTGACATCCTCAGCATAGTATTGAGCGCAAAGAAACGTGCGCTCTTACAGCATCCGGAGGTGCAGGACTTCTGGTCCAAGATTATGGCTGCCATTAAGAGCTGATTATTGTTCCGAGTTCCATGACCCAGATCCCCAATACGAACGTAGTCATTTGTACACTAAAATTGCGTTGATACTCTTATTCACTGAAAAGTGTAAGGGTATATTGTTTTTGGCTTGTAAGAGTGTGGTATAAGGACGCTTTACACGGCAGATTTTAAGGATGAAATGTTATAAAGCTGTTGGCCGGAGCCAGCCATGTGAGATTGCTATGTACATGCATATGTCATATGGGTGTCATAGAAGCGGTATGATTTAAGGAGTTTTTGTATCGAAAACTTTTATGCATATACAAATTTTGGAGCCAAACTATATTTTCAAATATATTTTTCTAGAATTTGATTGCAAAATGCTTTTTAATAAAAAATTAGAGTATATACTTGAATTTCGCGGCCCATGGCCGTTGGGGAATAATGTTTAAAAATCAGTGAAGGGTATAGAGACTCGGAGCAGATGAAAAACACTTCTTGGCTCATTTATTATAAAGCCTGGCAATGCGCACGCTTCTGGCAATTGCTCAGTTTCCAGCTCTCTCGCTCTGGACTCTTGCCGGCCGCACTGTCCGCTTGCGACTGCTAGAAATTTTGCACAACGCTCAGAAACATTTTGACGGTTTTTGGGGTTGCAACGTTTGCGTCGCGATATCGCAGTGTTTAAGACAATTTGTTTAACAAATACATTGAAATTGTTGGCAATTAAGCATTGCCATAAAAGGTAGAAAAACAATTTGAAAGTGCGCGCATCATTTAAATGTGCAGAATAATCGCAGGAATTCGGTTGTGCATTATAATTGCAAATTTGAATTGTAGCATTAAGCCATGTTAGATAATCCCGCGTTGCTTGTTGGCTATCGATTTAACTTTTTTTTCTCTTCCTTCTACGCTCAGCCGTGTCCTTTCAGGATTTAAACTCACCCCCTTGCCACTCACGCGCTCGCGCTCAGTGGCTCACTCAGCAGCGGCTCAAACTCAAATCCTTGCCCAGTGAAACACTCAGAACGGATCTCACTCGAGAGAGCAACTCAATCACACTTTCAATCCGGTGCCCAGGCAGACAGACGTTGCGCTCTTTCCGTTTTGACTTTATGCTTCGTCCTTGCCACTTACGCTCAATGCGCCTGCTGAGCCCTTCTTTGTCTGCTTTTCGCTTTCGTTTGTCGCCTCCATTCTGCTGTCAGTTTTCAATAGGCCAGTGAGCGGGTGCCAGCGCGGTCCCAACTAAATGAAAATCGCATTGAAAACAGTCAAAAGTGTCCTCCTCGAGTTGTCATATTTTTCCAGCACACAACTGTGTGGGTGTGTGTTTGTGTAGCTCTTACGTAAATAAGTCGCCTTTAAATAGACTGTCGCCAACTACTATTTGGCAATAATGAGAACATCTACCATCTACTACTCTATTATATAACTGTGCAACGAGTTATGAGAAAACATACATACATACATACTTGTATGTGAAAAGAAATTGAAAGTGCAATGAAAACGAAAGTGATTACAAAACAGTTAATGGGACAAAAGAAAACCTCGCCATTCAAAGTGTTTATTACACAATTCTACACTAATTCATGATCTTTGCTCTTCAAGAATTATGAATTAAACTGCCTGCTCTATTTTGCTAATATGCTTTTAAAATGGCTAAATCGATACACACACACATACACACACTCGTCTATAGGAAGCGCAAGCAAAGCTTTCGGTATTTTTTCTGTTATTTCGCTAATTGTCTCACTATTACATAAGCTAGTCAGGCAGGCAGGCAGACAGACAGACAGACAGACAGACAGGCAAAGCAATCGTCCAACGGAAACTGAAGACATTTTGTTTTAGGCAGGCAGGCAGGCAGCCAGCCAGCCAGCCATGCAAAGCATTTCCCATAGTAAATTGCAAAAGGCCTGACACTGCATACTCATCACGATGTGCAAGTTTCTGAACTAGGTCAGTTATTGAATTTTCCAACGCCCGAGCGAGACGGCAGATGCATGTTGTGTGTAGAGTGCCTGTCGCACGCGGTGTGCCTCTGAGTGTGCCTGTGTGTGTGTGTGTGAGTGTGCGTGTGTGTGTGTGTGTGTGTGCATACATATGTTGCATTACAGAATGCAATAAGCCACATGCACCTCAAGTATCCACGAGCATTCAACTCTTCCTGCGCCTGGCAACGAAAAAGTCAATTGCACTGACAGTCGAGCCGCAGGACGCGTGCATCGAGCCCATTAAAGGATACTAATGAAGCACAGCAATTCAAATCACAACCAAAGTTAGCATACCCTTGCCAACAGGCCCCACAGAAACTACAGTCAATCGGAACAACACACCATTTGCCATTTCTATACGCCGTACCCGAGGGGTAGAAGAGTGTAATACCTACGTGGGAATGTACGTAATACACAGAAGGGGGCGTGGCAGATCCCACAAAGTATACATGTTCTTGATTAGAATGACAAGCCGAGTTTATATAGCCATACCCGTCTGTCTGTCCGTCTATATGAGCGCAAGGATCTCCGAAAAACTAATAGAATTTGCTATCCAGATGCTCCCACGACCGTGAAAGAACGCCCGCTATTAGCGATTTTCCCTAACTTTTGTAATTTTTGTAATTTTTTTTTATCAAATATTGTTAGTTACATCTCTTTAGGGCTTAAGTTTTATTACGATAAATATGATATGTAACTGATTCAAATGTTAGTGCTTAGCAACTAAACCTACACTGGCTTATATACAATATTCGTGAACATTCCAGCAAGGGAAAAATATCTAACGATCAATCTTAGGCTATACTCAGACAGATTTCAAAATGATTTAAACATTGCTTCAATCCAAATCTCACTATTTCTATGCAAATCAAAAGAACTCTTGCAAAAATTATTGAGATTACATTTTATGGCTAACTTACTAAATTGCAAAACTTCTATAAGTTGATTTGATTACTTAAACCTAATGAGAGGCCGCGATATTTCATTTGCCATTGGAACCATAGTAAAGATTTTAAAAGCAACAGCCCATTTAAAAAATGCAGATTACCATCAAGAAAACATATTTAGCCTTTATGTTTGTGAAAATTAAAAGTAGACTTTTACAATTAAATTGCTAGATCATTTCATTTTCATAAATGCATTTTATATTTTTGTAGAATTTTTTTCAGTAGTTTTATTTATAAAAATTCACGATCCTTTTCGCTTAAGATCAGAGTAAAAATTTCAAATCGACTACTTTTTCCAAACATTCTTTTCAAAACAAAATAGTATTTGTAAAAGAATGAAATCTTTTTAATTATAAAAAAAAAAGTTTGAAACAATTAAAAAGAGCAAAGAATATTTCGAGATTCGTGGTTTAATCGAAATTCCCATATAGTATATTGGATTTTTAAAGAAGAAATGCATTTGAAGTTCTGTTTCGAATTAAAATGCTTCAATGTATAAAAAACAGCACTTCTGTACAGCTTTGATGGGCGGTTATATCATCAACATTTCAAGCACAGGATACACTTTCTCCCTTTGAGAATTGCTGCTGAAAATGTCGAGCATAACATGACACAACAACAACAACAATGACAGCCCCTAAGATATCTTATTGATTGCCCTCTGCCGTTTTCATTAAGGCAGCCGACAGGACTAAGTGTGTCGTTTTCTGTGAGTGCTTTTCAATGCAGTTGTGCGTGAGTGTGTAAGTATATAGTATATGTATGTATCTATGTATGTGTGTGTGCCACACACAAAAACTCTCAGACAAAAGCCCGATAAAGTCAATGCTGGTCTACATACCTACATTTGGCCGCTTTGTGCATATGAGGTGCACATGATTTCCTCTTAAGTAATGCAGTAATACACACACACATACACACTATACATACATATGAATGGATGCTTTTCTGTATATACATAAGTATAGTACTTACCATATGTGTAAGCACAGGTGCAGTCAGTATGTGCTAGAAATGTAATTGGTACGGCTTCCTTCGGCCGGTGCATTGCACTTTGTTGATTAGCTCTAACTGGTTGGTTGGTTAGTTGATTGAGTGCCGCCCACAGTTGGTTGGTCCATAGCCATAATGGTTCTATGTACCGTCAACCATGATGGCAAGCCTTGAAAAGTTAGGTACTACTAAGAGAAGTAGATGAGTTTCCGCTTCTGCTTCTGTAATAAAGATCGACAGTGCGAGAAAAGTCCAGGAGCACTTATTAATATATCTCCTTATACGTAGGATGAGCCTGAACTATACAAATTCAAGTCCGTTTCGTAACCTACTGTTACCTACCTCTTTGCCTGGTAATAATATAGCTACTATATACATATACAAGTATATTATAATTATGTATATTCCTAAAACTTTTGTTCTAAGAATCGAATAACCCATGTTTAAATTATTATTTAATTAAACTTTTAAGTCGTGCAAGTGTTCAGAAAAGAAACAAATTGCGTCTAAATCTTAAGTACTTCATTTTCTTTAACATATTTTCATACTTGTATAGATTTCCTTTCCCGACTAAGCTTTTTAGTCTGCACGCTAGTATTTGCAACAAAAACCCATTAAGCTGTAGTCGTTACCTAGCTACTGAAATACGCATACAAAAGGTCCTGTCGCATAATCACGATTGGCTAACAATACCGACCCGCCCTTTTATATAGTACTGCTACCCAGAAAATCAATTTGAAGCAATTGACCATTTTATGCCCCTACTTTTTGAGGGTGCAAGTACTATACTCGCAAGTCTACATTCTGCTATACATATGTTCATACATGCATATGTACATAAGAGTGTGTATGTAGAAGTACTTATGTATACACACATAAATACAAGTAGGAAGCACAGCCACAATCATTGCAATCCAATTAAATGGCCAGCTTGACGTGCACCATTTGCGGTTGCTTTGGCACACACTGTCGGCCAAGTCTTGGACAAATTGTCAATGGATTGCTGCTGTTGTCGCACTGGGGTCGAATCCCCACCATGCACTGTGTAACAAAAATTAAAATATTCTTTTGCACGAAAACCAATTGGCAAAAATGACATTTTGAAGAGATTGTTTCACTGTTGATCCACAAGCGTATTCGTTGCTGTATTGCAATAATCTTAACCTGTAATCTCTGCAGCTTGGAAGTGAAAACTGTTTCGTTAATAACATTTCTTGGGATGCTGCAGTAATGAACAGATTAGACAGACTCTTCTGTGGTTTCCGAAATCTTCAGTATGTTAAGTAAGGGCGTGCGTTTTGTACCATTAGCAAGGGCCTTCGGAGTCTTCGGAGCTTTCATAAGAAATCGAATTCCAAGAGTTTTTCAATGATGTTCCTCTGTTCTCACCCAAAAGATCAAAAAAGTCTCATGCAACAGCTGAAAAATGTATAATAAGCTCAGAGCATTTTGCTCAGAAGTGGGGGAGCATTATAAAGATTCAAAAAAATTGATGATCTTCCGGATCGTGGAAAAACTAAGAAGGCGTTCGAAAAAGACGAAAATGTTTTCCAGAAATCCTTCCTTATTCTTACGTCAAGACAAATAAATTTGCAATAAAGAGGACTTGATATGTCTCACGTGACTATTCGGGAATATTTTACGTGAAAAAACCATACTGATTTTTAAAATAAATTCCAATCCAATAACTCAAATTAAATTAATTAATAACGCAAGTTTTACTTTGAATTGCTCGGTTCCCTCCATTTTCCGGTCAAGAAATTAAAAAACTTTTAATAAGAGTATGTTTGTATTAGAAAGGCTTTCCTTTAAAGAAACTACTAGATGTTTTCCAGGACTACGACCAATATCATGTTCGTTCGAATCTATTTTATTTGGCCTTTACTTCGTAGCCTGGATTGCGTGTGAAATCGATCTCTCCACTAAAAATAGGGCTTCCAAAGAGCTATAAGTTAGGATGAAGAAATAGGAAAATGTGTTTTACAGTGACTTTTTTCACTTTGAAAGCAAACGACTGCCACGTTGCCAAACAGGAAATGCCCATATACTATATCATCGGCTGTATAATTATAATGACAAACGTTCGTGGTTAAATGAGTGAGCGAAGACAGATCCTTACATGGGATCGGCTGTGAAATAGGCAACCTGATTGAGGGCGAGTGTGGCTTACACAATCGGGTCAATCAACAGTTTAGCTTGCGTTTGCCCCATGGTGCCGTCGAGTGAAAGTGAATGAGTGAGACTACATGGATTTCTGCCAAGTGCAAGATATATACTACGGACTGAATGATTTAAGCGTTCGTATGCTTTTGGCTCACTAATTGGGTCGCTGGCCAACGCGTCATCAATGCCGCAATATCTGCGCGTCATTGCGCTCAAAAGAGCGCATGAGTTCAGTTTGGACGATGCGCCGTCTCCACGGCTCTCGGCTGCGCACACCAACCCCTTCATAACCAGTACGCCCTCTGTCCCCCTCCCCCTTGTCCATTCAGCTCAGCTACAACAGCTCCATATTTTCCACTCTAGAAATGCGCTCTCTGTGCTGCACTTGTGTTTTTCTTCTTTTTTTTTACCTATTTTTGAGCATTTCTGTGCCTGTGGCTTTGCTGCTTTCCCTTTTTGCATTAATGCTTAGTTCTATTTATTTTTGCGGCAGCAAGTTTTCCTCCACATTTTCCTTTTCAGTCGGCCAAATGGCAAGAGTTTGTTGTACATAAGATATACGTAATATTTTCTAATGCCTAAAATTAGAAATAAAACTGCAATTGCCACTCAAATCAAAGCAATTACGAAATCCTCGTATAGAGTATTTTAAAAAACATAAAAACCATCTCTAATGCCGCACACATCGTTTCATTGTAGCTAACATGTTAATATTGCAACAAATAAATAATAAATAAACTAAATTAATTCAAATAGAAATAAAAAGGGACTTGAGAGCAATAAATCGTACACGAGCCAAGCCAGCTGGGCCCAAACGAACGACACAACATAAAAAAATCTAAATATAAAAATAGCAAAGAACAATAAAATAGCAATAATGTCGCCTTTTATGGAAAAAACGCTGCTGTTGTTAGGCGTGCTGTGCTGCATACAAGGTAAGAGGCCAGGTTTATGCAATAACGAAAAGAAACCCACATACTCGTACTATACAAACCCACTAGGTAGTAGTTGGTGCTAAACCAGAGCGCCGCCCTACTTTTAAATACTTTGGTTTAGTTTCCCTTGTTTTTGGCTCTTTGTTTCCTTTTTTGTTATGTTTGCCAGTTGTTGTTAGACAACGTAGCCATAGCATTGGCATTTGGGCCATATACGAGTGTTAGTAGTATGCGAATACGTAATACACACATACATACTACCCGTATATACATTTATATACAAGTATATAGTTGGCAGTTAGTTCTTTTGGTACTGATTTGTTGGGCCGTTTGTGTCTCCCCTCCAGTATCCACTGCCCTTATGTGCTATGACTGCAACAGCGAGTACGATCCACGTTGCGGAGATCCCTTCGAGCCCTACTCCATCGGCGAGGTTAATTGCAGCAAACAGGAACCGCTGGAGCATCTCAAGGACAAATATAAGCCAACGCTATGCCGCAAAACTGTGCAGAAGAGTAAGTTGAGCCTTCAATAAGTACCTTCAATATATTCTCTACTATAAAAATATATGCATATTACTTACAGTATATGGAAAGACCCGCATTGTGCGCGGCTGTGGATATATACCAGATGAACGAATCGATGGGGAGTGCGTCAAGCGTTCGGGCACCCACGATGTGGCTGCCATATATTGTGCCTGCACCGGAGAGCTGTGCAACGGCGCCTCCACCACCTCGACGCAACTGGTGCTGCCCTATGTTCTGGCTGCCGGCTTTACGCTGCTCATCACAAGGCAGGGAAGGTTGTTCGACAGCATAGGATTCGGGAGCTCATAAATATGTGTTCGAATGCTGCAGTTGAGCTCCTCGTGTTCGAAATTGCGTTATGTTTTTAATTTTCAGCTTATCGACTCATTGGTTTTAGCTGATTTTAGTTGGTCAACAAGTTTTGTAGGCATATTAATTAAATAAAAAAGAATTGCAAACATATTAAGTTGCATCTTTTAATTTAACGAAATTATTTTTACACGATACGATTCGTAAGCGTAAATTATAGAAATGACTATGCATATTTATGATGCATTGCGATAACAAACGAATACTATATGCTTTCCAAAATATTTCAATAGATTCGAGTCCGTTTTCAAATTCAATTGCATTCATATTTTTAAATTTTTATGCACGAAAAATATTTCAAAAACATAAACAAAAAAACAAAAAACTGCCAGTAAATGTCTCCGCGTAGTACGAAAAAATTATATGTCTAAACAATTATTTCAAAAATGAAGATCGTCTATTTCAATATTTTCTCAAAGGATTCTCTATAAAATTTCCGGATAATGTACAGTATTGTTTTGGAAAAATGAAGCTAAACTTTCTACAATCGAATAGGTTCACAATAAAATTCTGCAATATTCTCCGAAACATACAAAAATGTAGTATTGCAATATACTCGAAAAAGCTATAATGATAGATTCTTGAATTAATATACTTATTATTATTATTATTTAGCTCTCATTTAAACCATCTCCCAATTTTAATCAAACAAACAACATTCATCAAACTGCAAACTAATAACTGGAAGGTCATAAATCCAAGGCGAGATGGTAACATCCATGCAAGCAAAACAAACTCAAATGGAGGATAAAGAAAATTTGAGTTCTTCGAACAAAGAGATTCGTAGGATTCGTAGGAACAAATTACATCTTGGAAATTACAGAATCCACACACATATTTATATACATTTGCAGGCAAGCAAAATGTTACATAGAGCAAGAAAAAGAAAACGATATATACATAAATGAAAAAGCAGAAAACTATTTACAAAACCCATAAAAACTCAAGAATAAAGATATTAGAAATTAATGAATTGAGATATAAACAACAACAACAAAACCAAATCATATTTTGTCCATTTTAAGCTTCATACAAATAAAATAAAATAATAAGAACATAGACAAATAAATTTGCCTAACAAAAAATCTTCCTAAATTACGAAAAATAAAAAGAAGAGAAAGGAGAAACAGTAATGAATAGAACGCAGAGATTCGTTTGTATTTAATGCAGCATAGTTGTCACAAATATTTGAGTTTAATAAACTAACAAAAATAGTTTTGACGAGTAACTAATAAAAATTAAATGTTAGCTGTAAGTGCGTTCATTTTATCTATAATTTAATAGGCACACTCACGCGCTCCCCAAACACAAAAACCCACACCACAGAGCTAGCGAGCTACAGTCACCATAACACAATGCAGGAACAATGCGAATTAAAAGATACACTATTTAACACGCGCCCACAATATTGCTAGAGAAGTAAATAAAAAATAAACTTTTAATAAATTGAACAAATTGAAAACGTCATTATGTGGATAATTTAAAGCGTACATACACCAGCAAACACATACATACTCGTATATTGTAATATTATTTAGTTAAATATTATTAAGAATTATAAAAGAGAGAAAATGTGTGAGCATATGTAGATAATCTTAACTAATATTAATTTACCAAGAATAATAGCACAAGGAAAAAAAAGTGCGTAAAAACAATAACAACAAACCACTAGCTGTTGTTCCCTAAACAATTATAAATGCATATATTAATTAAATACATACATATATTTGTAACAATATCGAAACAATGTTCTGTGTTTGGTTTACAAATTGTCTTCAGCAAAAAAATCAACCGTTGAGCTAAGTAGCAGCAAGATGCATTCATTTCTTTCATTTCATTTGATTGCAAAAGTATGCAATAGCAGGTATTTTGTTATAAATCGGCTAAATAAACAATTCAATAGAAAATGGAACTTTACGAAAGCGCCTCAAAGTATGCCACAACAAATAAATATTGTCATACATGTATTTACAAAACCAAACACATGACACACTCACACATCAGATAAACAAAAACAAAACCAAAAACAAAAACAAATAAAAAACAAAAACAAAAACAAGAGAACACGCAAAATAATAACAATTATGAAGTTCTGAATCCGAATATAACAATTTGATGGCGTGAATCATATCATTGAGCTTTGCTTTCCGAAGGACGGACGAGATTCTAAAGTAATATAAAGAGCATATTTAATTAAACACACATACATATATGTATATTTACAGCAACTCTAATACACAATACAACATTTAGAAAACATACAATATAAAGACAGAGCAACACAAAATAATATAAATAAATAATCAGAAGACAGGCTACGTTTAGGTTTGTTTGAAAACTGAAAAGCTCATTAAAACAGAGGAACATTTTGGAGAATAAAATACGATAGTTTCGGCAGCAAAGTGTAAAACTACTTTAAATAAATTATAACAGAATAAAATCAAATAAATAATATATGGAAATGGAAGTAAACCCAAAACACAACCACACACGCATACATACATAAAATTGTGCTTTGTCTGCGCTGGCTGAAACAAAAAAAAAAAAAAAAGTGTATTCTGATTTTGATTTATTTTCTAGGGTTTATGCAAACATTCAACTAAATACTTATATATGCAATGAAAACACAAAATGATACAAATTGTCATTAATTATGTGAACTTGTTAATTTATAGTGTTTAAGTCTGTAAAGCTCCGCTTGTAGATGAAAAATCAATAAATATACTGAAGAAAAATGAATAAAGCGAAGGAAAAAGTTATAAACTTTCACAAAAACAACAACCAACATGTCACACGTTTTGATATGCATTATGCCGATCAGACTAGTGCTACTATACAAGTATTGCAACAATTTAGAAGGCAGGAGGTGTGTCAGATCTACTCCCTTCAGTAACAACAGTTCACGCATCTAAGGCGGAATAAAGCTCACTAGCGACCTACTAATGGATGTAGGAACAATCAGATTTTGTTGAATGTAATTCATTTTTATGAAGGAAATAAATTAAAATTGGAAGTACACGTACATACGTGTTAAATCAAATATAAGTAAATGGTTAGACATTTTGCACTTCTTAAGCTATCTCGTTGGGGAAAATGGCTCTATTGGCAATGGGCTGCGTGGAGCTTCGGAGTATTCGAATGAGACCATTCTCACCCCATTGCGGTCCAAAGGAGTTGAGGCACAGCCAGAAGTCCAGGTTCGTAGCTGCATCCTGTCCATAGCCAACCACGACTAGAAACTGTGAGGACTGTTTGGTGAGAGAGGCTGCAGTCTGCGGCTGATAGATACCGCTGCTATAATGCATAAATCCGAATGCATCCTTATTGAAGTTGAACTCCACAATGACGGGAATGCCATTGCCCACGTAACGCATGAGTGTGGCGTCGTCGCCATCGGTCAGACGCCCATAGCTGGTGAGCTGCAGAGTGACCGTGGCTTGGGGCGGTGTGCACATGCCCTGCTGGGCTAGGGTATTATTATTTGGATACTCGGACTGCAGTACCAGCTCCGTTTCGGCGTACTGGGTCAAGTAGTCGAAGGCCATCTGGGGCACCTGAGTGGTGCATCCTGTGCCGCTGCCAGCACAATTGATCAGATTCTGGGCTGACAATGATTGGGGCGCCAAATTGGCGGTCTGCAGAGCGTTCATCAGTTCCACGGCCTTAGCTACTGAGTAGGCCCAGCTGCTGCTGCACACTGTTCCCTGATCTTCCGGCGTCAATGTGAGGCCGATATTGGTACGGGGATCGTATGATAGCGGCGCATCTGCCACCTGTACCGGAGTCGATTCGAAGGAGGTAGACGGATAAACAGCTTTGGGCAGCAGGGCTGCAAAGTCTACGGCTCGCCGATCTGAGAATTGATTTTGTGCCACTCGATATGTGGTCTGATTACGATCAGCGCGCAGGTTGTGCTGTGCGATCAGCCTGCGATTGTAGTTGTAGAAGTATTGGGCAGAGGTAAGAGCTGCAGCTGTGGAGTAGGTTTTATTAAATTCGTCCTGTAGAGGCAAATCAAGATAGGCATATACTATGGAGTTTATAAAAAATGATCACGAGATATCTCTTACCACATATGCATTCCAATCAATCAGAGCTTGGCCGTGATTGATGGCATTTACTTTGCAGAGAAGCGCCAATAGCGCTAAAATAGAAATTATGTGTAACTTGGACATGGTTCGAAGCTCGTTTACCATCAGAATAATGAGCAGAAGACGCGCACTGCCCTTTTATAGCACACCACTCGCACACACTACGTTTACCCATCTGATTAGATTCTACTTGTATTTACATGGGTGTGCACAAATAAAGTGCGTGCGGGCGACTTTCGCAAGAAAAGTGCAAATAAACACCCTCTTGTAAGTTATACGAGTATGTCTCCCAGTTCTTTCGCTGCGCACAATTTGCACTTCTCAGCAGTTCTAACGCGGTTCATAAACCGTCAGTTGGGCGCGCTTTGTTTGTCAACGAACAGCGCCTTCTCATATCTCTGTTAATTTATAGTTTCCACTGACCTAGTTCAACGTGACGAAAAAACGAAAAGCCGACTGGCGTTGTGCAGAACATCATGCTACAATTATTTTGATTGCTTTCAATAAAACAATTTGGTAATTTAATTTTCAAGATCATTACAATGTAGTAATTAACTTACTATTATTTATAAAAAAAGAGATATACAACTTGTGTTTTCATGGAGGTTTTATTATTATGTACTAAGTATGATGCCACTTACTTACTTAAAACCAATTCTTTTTACTCTCTTCTCGGGTGAGAAGCAGCGACTCCACGGGTGTTGTAGAAATCAGTCTTCAATCTACCTTTTTGTGCGGCAAAAATGTAAGCAAAATTGATCATTTGTTTCTTGCAGATTACTTTGCAATCTTAAGCGGGTCTTGATGCCCGATCAATGCATCTAAAGTCTATTAACAAAAAAGCAAAAAAACGTTTCACTTCAAATGCGCGATTTCTCTATGGTATACGTAATCGTAAATGGAAAGAATTATGATTCCGTGGCTTAATGAATTCGGCTTAGTTCTTAACTATAATACATATAAAATAATAATACAAATGGATTGAAATGCCGAAAAGCACTTCTTTCGAACTACATACATAAGTGCAATCGACTCCAAATATCTGTATCTAACAATTTTTATTTAAATTTAGAAAAAAGATGTGCTTAAGCCGATGCACTATATCACATAACTACTTTTGTATTATTTTGTTCTGCTCTGCTCTGTTGTTTTTTCAGCGTTTCAAATATTAAAATCAATCGAGCAATTTTCTTATTATTTAGGGGCTTACCCTTGTCTATTAACATTGTTGCGTCACCATAATTCATGTTCATTCAGAAACCGCAGAGCGGCATCACGAGCGTGAATTTAAAAACAAAATGAAAACATAAAACAGAAACAAAACCAGAGAATACTCTCGTACTCGTAGTTATCGTATCGTACGCGTATCAATTAGATTAACATAAATGCGCTAAGTCTTCAATACACGGACAAATCAATTCAGTGATACTCGTACAAAAGTAACCCAGCAGCTTTCAACGATTCCCTCCTAGAAATTAGCTAATGACGAATTAGTAAATTATTTATTGTATTTTGGCAGCCACCAAAGCAAAGGCAAAGTAAAGCAAACCAAAACCAAATAAATGTAAGTCTGAAACCACCGAGCCAACGACTTAAACAACATCTGAGAAAATGAAGCTGAGATACTCATAAAAATTCGTTTCCAAGTTTCATTTTCGAGCTCATCAGGTTTTTCGCCCTCGTATGTGGTCGCTGGTAGGTTCGATTGGCGACAGCAAGAGTTGGGCTCAGATCTTACAGCATCGTATAAAAACCAAGCGAGTGCCTTGAGTGCGGCTTAATACGTTGGGAGCTGCGTGCGCGACTTGTAACATCTACGGAAGGGGTGCTGTTGTTTTTGACTAATATTTGAATATTTGAAGAAGCTAAGGCGGAAGTATTTACGGGCCACCTGTAAAGCAGAAAAAGGTGAAATATTATAGTAGTAGTACTAGTGTCTGAAGCTGTTTTTGCTCACAAGTGCAGTGCCATCATGATCAATTGTAATCAATACAAATGCGTGTTATAAAAACAAAACAAAAAAAAAAACCACCGCGATTTTTGAAAATCCCATCAAGAGTTCAATCAAATACTTACATAAACTCCAGCTGTGCCTTTCACCTGTTTAAAGAAATCAGTCCTCAACACTGTGATTAACATAAAAGCAAAATCTATACATAAATATTTATGGCATGAAAGTGAAATGTGTTGTGGTTGCGTTTCATGTGATTAATTGGACAAATTTCATAAACTTAAAAAAAGTTGTATACAAACAACAAAATAGGCATCAAATTAAGATTTTACAAGTAGTATGGCACGCATAGCACACATTTGGTCAACATTTGAAAACCGAAATGGGTGAAGCAGTTTTATGCAAATAACCATAATATTTTTGAGTCAGAGCTGTAGAAATGCAACCACCTGCAAGCTCACAATGTTACCAACAATATTGACCAACAAACAAGTGTGACTGAATAATTCAATGATAACCCATGCCACAGCGAAGCGCATAGTTGAATGAACCCATCAGTATAATGACGAGCAGCATCGCTTAACTACCTACCCACTATTATTTAACACATTTTTTCTTCTTCCCTCTCTCTGTTGATTTTTTTGACGCGTCATTATTCAGATGTGCAAATCGGTGCCATTGCTGCTGCTTCTCCTGCTCAGTTACCTAAGCGCTGTGTCATTGGCGTTGCAGTCGTTCCCGAAACTCTGCAATATACACAACTTCGATGAGTTTTTGGAGCAGACGGGCAAAGTGTATAGCGATGAGAGGGAGCGCGAGTTCCGCGAGAGCATATTCTCGGCCAAGAAATCATTGATAGATCTGGGAAATAAGAATGCGGCAGCAGGCGTTGCCAGCTTTCGTATGGCAGTCAACGTTCTGGCCGATTTGACGCGAAAGGAAGTTTCTCGTCTCTACGGATCGAAGCTCTCATTTCAGGGCGAGTAAGTATAAGGGCTTGGGCGGGGGATTCACCCAACAGCACCGATGACATGCTCAAGCGAGTGTCGTCACTAATTATCACTAATTAACAGGCCTATCTTGCTAAATAACACAGTGCGGAATGAAAAAATGAAAAATTCAAGCTGGCACGTGCAGTATTAAAAACAAAAAAACCTGTATATTTAATCTTGCAAAATACAATCAATAACATAGTGGCTTTTCAATATCTGATAGTGCGTTCGAAGACTCCTCCCACAGTTTTAAATCGGTCGAGCTGCAAGTTTCCCGTAAGGCATCAGATAACTTAATTTGATCGGCCATATATATCACCTGTCATCCGATTTTGTATAATTTGTGGGTCGCGAAAGGTTGGCCAAACGTGCAAAGTAATAATTGCTTTAATATGGAAATGAGAGACAAGTTGTTTTTTTGTTTTTTACTGTATCGTAATCCCATTTGGTTAAATAGGACTCGTGAATTTAAAGATTCATCAGAGCCGCTCCACTCCATCATGTTACAGCTGCCGTATGAACGATGTAGGGAATACTGTTTATGTCATTAATTTACATTAATATTGTACGCTGCTCAATAGTTCAACAAAAATTACACACAACATGCAAACTAGGCTTCTTCAATTTAATTGCATTACTTGAAACCTTCCATTGAGCAATTCATTTTCATTTACTACAAGTATATGCAGTTTTTTAGGCTCTTGTTATTTACTTATGGCGAAAGTTGATAGCGAAGACTGTAATCATTATAAGTGTTATTATAAAAGTTAGAAATTATTAATTTTCTTCATTCGTTTACAACATAATGAGCAAAAAATAAAACTCATTAAATAATGAGTACTGGTTAAGTTCTATTTTGTTGATCAAATATAAAACTAAAGTTGTAACTTTTCCTGAAATGATTTTGTTAACGATGTTTTTTTTAGCCCAAAAACTTTACTTCCCCTGTTCGTCTTGGGTTCTTGTTTAAGGATATATATAAACTTGAGTTTTATTTTTGATCCAAAAAAAAAGGAAGAAAAGAATAATCATTATTTTATGAGTTTTATTTTTTGACTTAAAAATAATGATTATTGGTTCAGTTGTAAAGCATAACTCAAAATTAACCATTACTTGTACATTGTGAGAGTACGAATAAAAATTAAAATTTTTAAATAAGAATATTGGTGTTATGCTCATGAAGGATTGTTTTCGCTAAAAAAAAAACCAAATAATTATAAATATATTGATATATTTAGCTTTAGTATAGTAAATAACTTATTTGATTCTCTTTCGGATTTTTGACTGCATGCTTCGCATTTCTCTCAATTGGCGCTGCAAGTCCTCAGCATCTCCAAAAGTAGGTTGCACTTTCGATGCATTCCCGCTATCATAAACGCTTCGAACCGAGTCTCTTTGTCTAGCACTCTGCATTATTGCCTCGATGGAGTCGCGTCGATAGCGACGAATAACTCCGGTATCGTTGAGATGGCCAGATTGGTCGAGTCGCTGCTGGTGCGGATGTCGACGCATCCACGTTTCGGGCTTGCTCGGATCGAACGGATGGTGCACATAAATAGGTACAGGGGCGCCATAATAAAATCGTCGTCTAGGCGCCTTTTTCCCGGACGGAGCAGTAGTTGGGCCAACTTGTGGTTGGTTTACGTTACCCAAAAACAATGGCTGTTTTTTGGGTCCATCAAAGGCCTGTATTTTGATCTGGGTCTTAAAGTCGGTTTTTGATCTCGTAATGCTGTTATACGTTGCAGAAATGTCCTTTACAGCATCCTTAGTATGGACTCCCTTTTTATCTCGAGTTTCTTCTAAACTTACACGTTTAATTTCTTTCACTAAAGTATCAACATCTTTGTTCAAGCCGGTTTTCTTATTTACGTTGTCTATTATGTTTGTCATCTCCTTGGCTCTGGCCGACCCGGGCCCACCCCCACCTTTTCCTGACTTTCCAGTATCATCATTATTTGCGGTTTCATTTGGATTTCCCTTAGAGTTTGCACCAGCGGTAGCAGTACTAATGGCACCACCTGAATGACTACTAGTAGACTCGCCTACGCCACCGCCTCCTTTGCCAGCAGCTCCTTTGCCACCTCCCTTGCCACCTCCCTTGTCACCCTTACCGCCAGATTCACCGCCAGGTCCAGTCTTACCCCCTGACCCGCCTTTAGCTGCACCTTCTGATTCAGCCATATTACCACCACCGCCGCCAGTTTTGGTAGTATGGCCGGTACCAGTATGTCCGGCACCCTCTTGAGCCCCACCGTCATTTCCTTGGTTGGCTTTCCCTTGGGCTCCACCACCTTGGCTACCGCCTACTCCGCCACCGCTACCGCCACCGCTACCACCTCCGCTAGCACCTCCACCGCTACCACCTCCGCTACCACTTCCGCTACCACCTCCGCCACCGCTACCACCAGCTCCACTGTTAGGTCCCGCTCCACCTTCCTGCGCTCCAGCACCACCCTGGTTACTCCGTTGGCTGCCACCACTGCGGGAGCTACTCCCTTGGAGTCCACCTCTCTTATCGTTCGCCTTTCCATTTAGGCCGCTGCCGTAGCTGCCGCTTCCGGAACAGCTGCCGTAGTTGTAGCTGCTATCCCTGTCCATTGGAGAGGCTTCTCCTCCGCACTTTGCACCTCTGCCACAACCTACGCTTTGCTTTGCATGTGCTCGAGATCGACGAAGGGCTCCAATTTCTTTTGCCGCGTCGATGGCAGCTTTCCACGGTGGCTCAGGCAAGTCCTTCGGTTTTCCATACAGAATGCGATGAGCTTCTTCGTCTTGCCGTTCCTCCTCCCCGAGCACCGCCTGAATGACTTGCATTAGATTTAAAAGCGCATTCGGATGGTATGGATTACGAAGATTGCCGCGGCAATCAAAAATTTCCACATACATATTACAGACGCCAGAATTCGTCAATGGTACCCGACAAGCATTCCAGGTCTGCCCACGGGGATTTAGAGCTTTGCTAAAGTTCTGAAGCGTCAACGTGTACAGAAACTCGAAAACTGCGTGTTGTGGCCGATCAAGAAGTCTACTCAGGCTAATGATTATGATGCGATTGATGTTAAACCAGATGCGCTTTGTAGTCGCCCAGCAGGGGCATCCAACTTTCCGCAGGTACTTCCGGTTGGCCAGAAGCCACTTAACATCGTCCTGATCATTGCATTCTGTTTGACTTGAAACGGGGGCTTTGAAGGAACTGGTCGGTGAGCAGCAATTTTCATACGAACAACACTCTTTGCATATGTTGCAGCATTCGCAATCTGGCGGAATGGGGCAGGAGGGCGCAGTCGCCATTTTGATATATTCGAATTTCCAGGCTTAATAGGGGCCCCTCATATTTTTTGAAACTACAAACGGAACTGACAGAAATCTCTAAAGTCGGTTTCGGGCTCATCAATCTTATTGATAATACTACTTGTAGCTAGCACATTGTTTGGCATTAATTCGAGTGTTCTCGGCGCTTTTTGCAGAGAACTGACGTCGCGACACATCAACTTTGTGACAGCTCCGAATGCCGCCAACGATAGGCTGCCGGAATCTTTCGATTGGCGGGAAAAGGGAGGTGTTACTCCACCCGGGTTTCAGGGCACTGACTGCGGCTCTTGCTGGTCCTTTTCCACCATCGGTGCATTGGAAGGGCACCTATTTCGTCGGACCGGCCTGCTTGTGCCGCTTTCGCAACAGAATTTGGTGGACTGTGCCGACGACTATGGCAGCATGGGTTGCGATGGTGGTTTCCAAGAATACGGCTTCGAATATATACGTGATCATGGCGTCACACTGGCCAACAAATATCCCTACACGCAAATGGAGAACGCCCAGTGTCTACAGAATCAGACTGCAAACACAGGCTTGGGCGAAAGCGTGGTAAAAATTCGGGACTATGCGCGCATCAAGCCGGGGGATGAGCAGAAAATGAAGGAGGTTATTGCAACCCTGGGACCACTCGCCTGCTCCATCAACGCTGCTCCCGCTTCTTTTGAGCAGTACAGCGGCGGCATATATGACGATGACGAATGCAATCAGGACGATCTCAACCACTCCGTTGTAGTTGTTGGCTATGGCAGCGAAAATGGTCGCGATTATTGGATCGTGAAAAACTCGTACTCACAAAACTGGGGTGAGGGCGGTTTCATACGGCTGCCCCGTAATGAAGGAAGCTTCTGTGGTATTGCCAGCGAATGCAGTTATCCGATCCTGTAAGCTACACACTCTCCTTCTCCCTCGCTCTCCCCACCAGGGAGTATTATCTTAGTGCCGTAAACGAATTTTGAATGTTAGTTTAGGTTTTATCCAAATAAACAATACAAAATACAAAACGAAACAATCATATTATGACCTCGATTAATGGAAATAAATACATAAATTAATTAACTAATAAATTAATAAGATTACAATTTTATACTTAAATGCTGGGAGGAGCTAGAGAATGCTTTTAAATGCTAAACACTCTTAAATTATTTTCAAATCATTTGTTGTTTCTTTTGGCAATGATGAGCACGGTCTGGGATGAATAAACAACGCATGTAAGCTTAAGCATCCTTACTTTTCTTTACTTTATTTATTTATTTCGCTTCTCTCTCTTCACAATTATTTTTCAAATAACCATTTAATATTAAGGGACAAGGCCTTAAGGGCACAACACGCAACAAAGAACTTAAAATTGGGTACAAATCTTACTTCATATAATTTTCTTCGGCGTAGATCTAAAAAATACATATGGTAAGTATATTTTTAATCATAAAATAGCCCGTAGCACAAAGAAATATTTATCACAAAGCATACCAGCCGAGCGCTATAAAAGCATCTAATTAAATGCCCGACACTCAGTTGAAAAATAATACACGATGAAATCGGTTCAACTTTTTATCAGCATTTGCGCTCTCTGCGTAGTGTGTGTGGCTGCTGCCGCCGTTACGAAGCCTACTGAAGTCGAGTTGTTTAAACAGGCATGGGAGTCCTTCAAAGCTCATCACAACAAAGCCTATTCCACTATTGAAGAGGATCAGCAACGTTTCAAGAATTTCCGCAAGAATTTCAAAAAGGCCCTTCGACACAATAAGCAATACGACCTTGGCAAAGAAACGTATAAAATGGCCATTAATAGGTTTTCTGATCTGATGCAAAAGGAGTTTGAGCGCAAATATTTGAATAATTTACATTAAATTAATTGTACAATTAATTCACTAAAAAAATTCATCGAATAAACAAGTACATATATGTCAAAAGAAATAATCAAAATTAAATAATATTTTTAACTCAAATTCTTTTTTATTATAATACAACGAATCAACAAATCCAAGTGCAAAGGGTATAAAGAAAGCATTTCGCACCCCACCAACTATATAGTGCATATACTCTTGAACAGCCATTCCTGTTAGTTTGTCAGTCCGTTCGAGAGACATGAAATTTTTCACCCTTCCTCTCCTTCCCCCGCTCCAGAATTTCATTAATACTGCCCATAATTCACAGCCTATTTTATGTAAATTTGTTGTTCAAAATAAATATAAATTTATCTACTTTTTTCAATTCTGTCTAAATCGCCATGTCGACCATGTCGAATCAAAAGCTGAAGACTAGCTCTTATATTACTCCACGGTCCTTGGTGATTCCGATTAAGGCTCGGTATCCTTATTAGTCGAAGCAATTCCATCATTTGGTTTATTTTTTATAAATACAGAATTACTGCAAAATATTGCATTATTTGAAATACTATAAATGCAAAAGTTGTTGGCTTTAAACGCATTCGAATAGTATGGATAGTGATTCAGATTCTTGAAAATTGCGTAGCGATAATAAATTACAAATTTGACACATTACTGCTTAACTCGCTTTTGCTTTAATCTTTAGGAATACTTAGTCATAGGCAAGTTGGAAAGAAGCAGGTTCGTGTTGTTGGTTTTTAAAAATATTTCTCTTTATTTATTCACTGTTTTAGTTTAAGATGTGGGTTCGGCATTGTTTTGCTTTGTTCTTCATGAACAATTCCTGGAAATTCAACCGCTATAATTTTGTAGATAAGTATTTTAGGTTTTGCATTTCCTTTTTGTTTTGCTTGTAATTTTATTTTTACATTTATTTTTTATTTGTATACTATGCTTTGTATTGTACTGGGCTTTATGCTTCTTGTATAAATTTGTGGGGTAATGTATAATTTGTAATTTAACGCGCACAAATACTACATGTTTAGCTTAAACGAGTATATTGATTTGTTTTCTTGTGAACGTACGAGTACATATGTATAATTATATCTTTATCCTTCATTTTGTTAGTCATGCAATTGTTGCCCTACTATTCATCAGCAAAGACGTTAATGTACAGCCGACTAATATCATTTAGGTATAAATGTACAGTACATAAATATATGTATATTTTTCATTTAACAAATACTATCGCTGCTGCACTAAGCAAATCTTTATGTTTATAAATTTAATATGTTTACATTCATTGATATTTTTTAGTTTGGTTTCAATTATGTGGCATAGCATAATACTCGTAATTAATGTTCGGTGAAATGTATTTCAAATATTTTATTGACCTCTCTTCCGTTTATTCAGAACTGAAAACACCGCTCGATTTTCCAAAGAAATGTAACTGTGTGTCTCAGAAAATTGAGCACGTCAGGGGTTCTGATGCCAATTGTGTCGACTGTACTTTACAATATTGTTGGTTACCGCAGCTCTTGAAGTTCAACAATCAATTTAGATAACATGGGGTTCCACATGATTTCGAATTTAGTATGATCTGTAAGCAAAGAATTTGTTTTGGCCCCTATCTCGCTCATGCTATCCGAAACAAGACAACACATACAAAGTGTAAATAGGTACTTGTGCTGTCTTTAAATAAATTGGGCTTTAACTCACAGATGGGTTTCCTGTGGTTGAGTCATAAACATTAATTCTGACCGCAGTGAATTGTACATTAAAATTGTTTTAAATCGCAATTTGAATAATCTGGATCTGAATCAAGTGTTCTCAATACTTGTATTTCCTAAGCTGTAGGAATATAGGCCTAGCCGAACAGGAGGAATAAGAAATATTTTGTATAGCCCTAAAGACAACATTTTCTTTTAGACCATAACCTGGAAATCAAGTTAACAGTTTTGATGGGCCGTTTTAATTGTGAGTTCTAGCGAAGGACTTTACATTTTTCTGAAAGTGATTGCGATGTGAAATTTGTTTAAGCAAGTCTAGTCTGAGGAGAAAATTTGTGTTTATGTGTAGGGAACTACAACCTCCTTTTGCTTTTTTAAACTATTTGCATACTCGGCCTCTGCTTATTATTTAAATAAAATTTGTTCTGAACCATTTATTAGCTGTCTCATTTGAGAATTTACATATTTGGCGTTGATTTCTATTATTGTTTCCATGCACCTTTAAACATACAATACATGTGACTCTGGCCTTGGCGGCAGCTGGGGACCTAAAAAGAAAACTTTTGGTTTCTTACTGGCAATCGAGAATTCAAAATGCGATTGTGTATATTGCATATTGCATGTACTTGTAGGTAGGTATGTATATGGGATATGTTCAGAGCAGTTTTCTTCTTTTTTTTACTAAATCGCTAACAGTGTGAGAGTGCTGAATATTTAGTGTTCCGCCTTTTTTCGTTTTATTATGTGTAAAGTTTTCTAAAAAAAACACTCTTTTTGTTGTTGCTGTTCCTGGTATCATTTGTCAAGCTATTGTCATTGTAAAGAAGCGCGCCCGCAGCTGATAAAGCCGGCCAGGGTCCAACACAAAAACTATTGTAATTACATATATTATAATAAATACATTTTAAATATCTAACAACGTTTAAAGCATTTCGAGTACAATACACAAGATGATGCTTCATTTAAATATAGGTAGTATATGGGTATACATATAATGTGTACGTGTATATAATATATATTGCAACAAATTTTTCCTACAAAAACTGCACACATAACTTAGGGGGCTAGCTTATAAATTATTGTATAGTATTATTTAATTTAATTTAATTTAATTTATTCAACTGTATAGGTTTTAACTAAGCAACTTTTCTGTCAATTCAGTTAAATGACTAATGAACATTGAATTGTTCTTGTCCTTGTTGTTCTTGTTGCTATAAAAGCTGAAGCAAATACATGGCATTGTTGTTATTGTTGTTGTTGCTACTATATGTTTGTCATCGGTGTATTTTGTTCTTTGTGTAGGTGTATGTGTGTGTGTGTGTGTGTACGCTGCCAGTTGCTCTACAAAAGAGTGAGGAGACAATGAAGATTGCCCAACAGAGATTTGTGTTTAGTAGGTGGGTTGTTGATATTCCATGCCAGCCTGCTGATCCATGCCTGTTGAAATGAGAATGGCGAAGAAAATGTTTTACTTTTGAAACCTAGAGATCTTGGTTAACAAAAGCTTACCCTGGTGCTGTTGTCCAAAGGGTGAAGCACTGTACTGTTCATTGTCGTTGTCCATCGAGTAGCTGTAGGCCTGTTGGTGTACCACATTGGCGGGGTCCGTTTCGAAGGCCGAGGTGAACTCATCGCCGGCCCCAATCAGAAAACGTTTGTATGCCATGAAAGCACACAGAGCCTGCAAATGAAAAATTCAAATTTAGTAAATACTAATTAATACAGCACCAAGGCGCAAACAAAGACTTACCCAAGTGAAAATTGAGAAAAAACAGAACACAATGGCCGTTTTCATACTGCCGGCACCAATGCCGCCTGGTGGCATTGGCGCTGAGCTCCACTGCGACCACAAGTAGAAGAAGGCAATGAAGTACATGAAGGCCCAGAAAGCTGCAAGGAAAATGCATCAACAGTGTGCAGCGTAAACCTTTAGAATGCTGCTCTTTACGCACCTGAAAATCCCATGTCCGCCATGACGTAACGCTTTCTGCTCTTCACCGAGGACATGCGCTCAAACAGAAACTCGCCCCCAATGAAACCCATCGAAGCCAAGAAACCAAAGACGCCAACCATGTTGCCATATTTACAGGCCATGGCATCACCACTATATAGACAAACTTCTTTGCCCTCCTGCTCGATCCATCCCTCGGAAGATATGCAGCCAAAAACGACAATGGAGAAGAGCTGAATGAAATCACGGAAATAAGGTAGGCAGTTGGATTAATTCAATTGTTAGCACAATTCAAGCACATATTTATTTTAAATATTCTATTTGAAGAAATTCATATAAATATATGATATTTATGAAAACAAAAATAATGTACGCATATATTAATAAGGGAGATTATTCTCTACAAATAATTGTATTTCGTTTTTTCGAAGAAGAGAAGAAAGATATATTTTTAATACAAATGCTTCCTTGTATTTGATTTATTAATATTATATGGCATTGTCGTTGCATAATAAAACTATATTTATCTATACGATAAGCGTACGATGCAAGGAAAAATGCTGGAGGTCATACATTTTCCACTTTTAATAAAGGCTAATCGTTTCAATGCCAATCGATGATTGAACTGGTGAGCAGAGAGTTAGGCATCTGTTGAACTACACTGATAAATAAATACATATATTGATATGCATACATGCGTAACGTTTCATAAATTATTTAAGACAAGGAAAGGCCTTAGTACGCACATGCAGTCCCATTTGTTGATATCGATTTTCAAGACAGGTGCAACAAGCTAAGAGTTCAAGTGCACGTACACACACAGACACAGCTAAGCACAGACTTTGTTGGTTACTCCACACATATTTTTCATGTTCCTGACCCAATTTTGTTGAAGGCCAAGTTTACCTGGTCACTAGAGTGCGAAGCGCAACAAAAAGTTATGATTCGATCCGAGAAGTTGGCGAGCAAAAACAAATAGCGCCTGGAAGTAGGCAACAACATGTCTCCAGTGCACAAGTAGCTACAGTGGGCTTTACAAAACGGATATGTATACATATGTTTGTATACGTATATGGCGTATAAAATATATAGTATATATCATAAAATATAATTTCATTTTTCATGTAAAACGTTGTAAATATTGTATATACATAGATGTAAGTGCGTCCTATAGATGCTTACTATATTGTTTTCCCTAACTGTCAACTAGCTTAAGCTGCCATATTTGTAGTAGAAAACTAGTTTTATAAATTGTATATATGTAAAAAAAAAAAACGTATATGATAGCCTTTTTCGGACATTTTTATTAATATATGTGTTCGGCTTTCAATTAATGCATTTTTCAAAAATAATGTTGAGCACATAATCAAACTAAATTGATTAGTTTTGGTGATTAATTGATTTTTTTTTGATTGATTTTAAGTAGGTCATACTGTACTGCTACACGGGAGTAATGTCAGTGCAGTCCTTGGTCAAGAAAACAACAAACATTGGTAGTTGCCTCTGTTGTTGCTATTGTTGTTTTAACTGTGCAAATATTACGTATACGCCATGCTGTTGCAGCCAGCAACAAAGGGCCATTAAGCGTAAATGAAAAGTAAACCCTGGCTAAATCCAAGCAAAATCTGTCCACTCATAGCACACACACTCTTTCTCTCTCTCTCTCTCTCTCTCTCTCTCTCTCTCTCTCTCTCTCTCTCTCTCTCTTCGACTCTCTATATTTTTCTCGCCATTTCTCTTTCTATTTATTTATATGTATGTATGTTTAATTAATAAAATAGGAAAGTTGTAATGAATGCTATGGCGCAGATAAATTAGTTTCCTTCAATGATGTCGGCTTAGACGTAATTGTTCCAATTACAAAAATCTATTAACTTGAGTGTCTTTTTGGGTCATGTGCTGTGGTCTGTTGGCGTCAATCGCGTAATCAAAATGGAAATGTGCCCCAATTATTTGCTAGTCGTGGCACTTTAATCAAAGGAAGCTTTCGCCTTCACCACCTCTTTCGATACTAGTATTACATACTTGTCAAGAATCAAAAGTTATGACTCTTGGGAGGGACACTGAGTAAATAAATCACAGAGTGTTGGCCAACAAGTGAAGCAACTCCCACAGTAGCTATTGCTGTCCAATGTTGTCCACAGCAAAGCCGTCGCAAGGGCAAGAGCAGGCAAGGTGATTCCCAAACGGTTTGCCCTCAGGCCCTCTTAACCACTTACCCAACAAAGACCGCGTATGACAACTTGCGGCTTCATCACAAACGTGAGCGGATCGAAGGCGCCACCAGCCTTGCCACCACCATAGGCGCCACCAGCATTAATGTTGAGTATTTGGTTAAACACATCCATTTTAATGTATTGTCTTAAGTGCAAGCAATCACTGTTGATTTATTATATGTACGTATATTTGTCTGCGCTGCACGAAATATAAATTCGTTATATTTTGTCGCTTTTTCAGCATTTATTTTTTCACGTCTTGTTGTGAAAAATCGAATGCTTCTTACAACGCGCGCTCTCAAGGGCAATGAGGGGGCGTCTTGCCCGTTTTATTTTATGTATATAAGTATGTCTATGTATACCGACACACTGTATGTATGTGTGTGAGTGTGTGTTTGGGTTTGGGTTTGTGGGGGTGTACTGTGTTGTATATCGCAATTATAGATTACAACACAACGAAAATAGCTCGCAAAAAAATTGAGGAAAAATCTCGAGTTCGTTTGCTGCCCGCTTGTGCGACACGCGCCTCAAATATTCGCGCTACTTTACGACCGAACAAAATGACAAGACTCCCGCGTTTTCAACGTATACTTATACTTTATTATTGCTGCATAATAAATGAAAATTGCAAACACTAGTATTTCACTTTTACTTTTTGCACGCTCGTGGCCAAACGACGTTCACACACCGTGGCAAACGCGCAGGACAACAAACGCTAAACAACTGAACGAGTATTCGAGAGGCAATGAAAAAGCAGAAATGGCCGAAGTGGCAAACCTCTTCGTGCTTGCCCTCGTGTGTTTGCTTTCCCACTACATATTTGTATGTGTTTGTTCGTATGTGTTTGTTCGTGTGTGTGTGTGTGTGTGCAACATCCTGCCAGACCCTGCAGTCAGCCACACTAGCTCGAAATTTGCGTTGCAATAAAAAGTGTTTATCGAACTATGTCAGGATATTGCGACTAATCATAACACAATTTTTTGACATGTTCAATGCTTGTGCTTACAGCGATTTAAGAATGAAAATTGTTTGATTTGCACCACCAATCGTGAGGTGTTCTACTAGGAACAAGAAAAAACATAAAATAAAATTACATATTAGACCGACAGCGAGCCATTTGTTTATATTATTCATATGTACAAGTATGTAGCGCCTGACTTAAAGTTTTCAGTGTTTGTTTCTTAGAACATCCAACAGACAAGAAGCTCCATAAAAATCTTAAATATATGCCTTAATCTCATATAAAAAATAAAAATAAATTATTGTACTGTTAAAGCTGCTTTATTATATGTACTATCTAAAACTAAATGTGAATTATGCCAAGAAACATAAGGCAAAAGTTTTTCTCCTGAATGTTCATTATGCATCGCCTTGGTGTAAAACTATTTCTAGTGCGTACTGTAGGGGTTGCTTAGGAATGGATGTCGACATTGAAAACATTCTATGATTTTTGAGGGTGGATCTTGGTTGTTATTGGCTGTTGGTCGTAAGCCGATAACATGGCCAAATTATCGATAAGATCTGGCAATCAAGCTGTGTTTAACTCTGGTTGCATATGAGCTTTCAAAAAGCTGCGGGTTAATGGAAATATGAAAATGGAAAAAAAGAGTGCTTGATTTTTCAGATTTCAAATGCCAGTTGAATTTCAAAAATACAAATAAAATTATTAGTGGTGTCAATAAAAATGAAAAATATTCAATCATTATACAAGCGTAAACGTCAGAAATTATCGGTCAAGCCATATGTTACCGACGGCTGTGCCGAAATAAAGCTGGCGGGTAAAACCACCACACTTAAAAATTCCCAGAAAACTGATCTCGGTATTATCGAAAAGAATTTGAATTATTTGCGCAACAGCATGTACAGTGAGCCGCCCTCGAAGACCCGCCAGTTTGAGCCCAAGGCGTCGATGAGACTCAACGAGAACTGTCTGAGAAAGTATCTTGAAGGCGGGCCATTGCCGCCACATCCACAACAATTGTTAAGCTCCTATTATTGCGATGAACAACTAACGCAGACTTGGGGGAACTTTGATGATTTCTACCACAAATTGCTGGAGTGTTTCGACCGTAACTACGAGATGACAGAAGACGAACAAACATATGAAATTTGTTGCAAGCCGTGTCAAAATCAAGCGCGTCCTCCAAAGCCACGAGCGCCACCAGCCGAATCACCGCCTGTTGTAAATGAAGAGCCCAAGCCCGCCAAACGACGACCAGAGAAGAGAGCTCCTTTTCACTCTAAGCCCAAATGGCTGCAGGCTCAGGAGCAAATATCGAAGATAAGACAGGCGGAGCAAGAGCGTCTTAGGAAGGAGGCAGAATTTGAGGCGGCTAATAAAAAACGCGAGTCCATTGCAAAGTTTAAACGTCTAGTCGAGAAGAATAGGGAATTAATTAATAGACGTAGCAGGCAATCTAGACCAGCAATGGATGCAGCACCAGGAGGGCCCCTTTACCAAGTACCACACCGATCCCGGTCACCACCTACTGCTGAACAACCAGTCATACCTCAAATGGCAAAGATCCCAACGATTGTAAAAACTAAACCATCAGACATGGCTCTGAAAAAAACACTAAAAAGGGAACAAGGGCTAAAAATACCATCCAATGCCAGAGGAAAGTACAAAAAGACCTCAACGCTTAAACGTAAAAGCAATAAACACGATGCAGTGGATAGACCAGTCTCCTCAGTTACGTTAAGAAACTTAAGGAAACCTAAGTCCGCGACGACCAAAAAAAAAGAGAGATTCCAGAAAGAGTCTACTCCAAAACGCAGGCAATCCTTTAAAAAGGAAAATGAAATGCTAAATGATAAGCTACCAAGGGAAAAAACTGCCCAGGAAAAGGACGCTGTAAGCGTATCATTTGGCAGCATTAGTAGCAATTACAGTCGCGTAGAGCGTATAAGTTCACTGAAGGAAGAAGTGGTGAGAAAAGCCCCAACAAGCAATATTCCCAGTAGAATGTCATCTCTGAGCGCGAGCCAAGCGACTTTAATTCCACCAAAAATCAGTGCCCAACGGCATCAATGGCTAGAAAAGTTAGACAGGGGTAGTCAGAAAGAAAGCAATCTGTTAAAAGTTCCTGCTGCTGCAAAGCAAAGCAGCGCCCATCCTGAATTGGAAAAGCGCCAAAAAGGTGACACCTTCTCGGAACCCTTCGGTGAGCTTTTAAAAGACTTAGAAATACCCGAGCTTCATCCACAACTTCAAAGCACGCACTCCCTGCGCCAACCAGCTGAAATAGAAATCGAAATTGTAACAAAAGAAGACAGGAGAGCGTCGGCCCAGAGTCACGTATCATACGTCGAACCCGTTGCCATGGTAATCAAGGACAAAAAATTACCTAAAACACCAGCAAAGGTACCTCCTAATAAATCAAGTATGGCAAAACCCGACGTCAAAGACAAAAAATTACCTAAAACACCAGAAAAGCTACCTCCGAATAAATCTAGTTTAGCCAAACCCGACTCTGGTGCTAGTAGTTCTAAGATAAGCACAGCCAACAAGTCTACATCCGAAGAACTGAGTCGTACTGAATCCAAAATACTTCGCCAGATCTCACAAAAAAAAAGTACAACAGTGGATTACAAGCCCAAAGATCTGGTGCCTTTTTTGCCCTCGGGCGAATCACGCCAGATCCAAAAACGAAAACCGGAGTCCAAGGAGTCTAAGGATCCTTCCGACGAGCCCTTTCCGTCGCTGAAACCAAAAGCGGTGCCCAGCAATTTTATCAGTCAAAAAAGGCATATAATAAATATCCCAGCTCCATCTGCCATATATGCAAGGCACTCCAATAGTATAAGGAAGGGCCACCAAAAAAGTACTACATCTTTTTTAAAAGCTCCAAGAATGCTGACAACAAGCGAGAAGGCAGTAGAAGCGAATATTCAAATGGAACGTCGAAGTTCTAAATTTAAACTAAGGCGCTTTAAGTCATATTTGGTAAAATCTAAGCCGGATACGAAGATATTGAACAGGTCTGGTTCAAAAAGATCTATAGCTTACTTAAGATCAGTTGATTCTATGGACTACGTCAACCCGCCCAAGAGTAAAGCGGACAAAAAATCGATAACTTCAGAGGACAGAACATCGGAGCTGGACAAAAAAAGGGGCACAGTCATAAGTGTGACGGATATTTTGTCCACAAGCGAAATCGAACCATACTTTAAGAAAAAAGCAAAGGCTGATGAATTGCAGGCCGATGAAGACGACAACATTTTCAAAACTACTGAATTGATGGAGTACCCGAAAGTGCGCATAGAAGAATTCGAGCTGTCAATCCTTTCCGAGGAACAAAAGGCGGAGGCGGCCGAAAAGCCAGCAGTACCCGCAAATGAAGTACCCGTAAAGATCACCAGAAAACCTATTAAGACTGTCAGTTCTGAAACAGTTCAGGCTATACAAAAACCACCTATGAGCAAGGCCTCAAAATATACAAATACAGAAAGCCTTTTAAGAAAGAGATCACAAATATCACTCCAAAAAATATCAAAGGAAATCCATGAAGAAGAGTTGCGAGCCAAACAACACTCCGATTCAGCGTTTATGGAGTCCTACATTCGAAGACGGGCTTCAGTTGAGGCGAAAATAAAAGAACTCATGAAAATCGTACCCCAACGAGAATTGCCGCGGAAGCGAGCGAAACGCGACTTTGAGGTGGAAGTACAATCCCAACCAATCAAACCAGCTACTCCATCCTTAGGACCCAAAAGAAAACCAAAATATGCCACTACGGGCACAAGTTTCCCCAACAAGTATGCCTCGATGGAAAGAAGACTTTGGACGCCGAAAACCTTGGATGAAGCTTTTAACCCCAATGAATGTTGTTACCCACTCTTAGAGCCCATGAGGATGCCGGTACGCCGTTATAAGCTTCCTGACATAAAAACGTGCTCAAAAACTGCGTTGAAAAAAACTAAAGAAACGCCCACGAAGCACGAGCAAATTGACGAGAGATGCACCAGAGATACAAGTATTACCGGAGACGGTAAATGCTCTCTCTGTGATTTTATGTGTTCTCGACATCAGGAGGAGGACACGCCGCTTATTAAAGAAATGAAGGAAAAGTTGCGCAAAGTCGAGCTTCGCGCCTATTACCTTAACATGTGTAAGCGAGAGGCGCAGGTTCAACATCAGCAGTTTTCTGATTGTGGTTTCAAGGAATGTGGCATGTCTTGTGTTTAGTGATTTGGTTAGATTTGCATTAGTCGAGCCATGGATGCTTAGCTCAGCCATTCACAGGATAGGCTTTTGTGATGCATACACAGATCGACTAATGCACATCAACCAACCACTTGCTCGTCCATTTTGAATTTCTAGTTTGTTCTGAATAAACTTTTTAAAAATCCCTAAATTTTTCTTACATTTGACATGTTGAAGCAAACAAAGTCCGCCAAATTACAGAGCCAAACCCAAATTCCAAAATGCGTTCGGGTGTGTCTGGGGGCGCAGGACTGCGCTGGCATTCCACCACCACCACAACCACCAATAATACCGCCATCTGAGCCCGAGAAAGAGTTGCAACAAGTGCTCCATAAACTAGTGAAGAGACTGAAGCTGAAAACACCCTTACGGAATGCCATGTATCTAAGGAAATGGAAATATCAGCGCGTATCGCCCGAGTTTCTAACACTTCTATTGGAACACCAAGTGGGGGCGCTGCCACGACGCTACCTATTGAGAGAGCCTAACTTCTCTTACTACAAGTACGATGGAGCTCTCAAGTTTCGTCACATGCGAGTGGGTATCGACACGGCAGCGCCCCTGCAGTTTCCATGTTGCCATGCACAATGCCCACGAGTCGGACATACCTCTGAAGAAATCAATGATATGAAATTGCATGAGTTCGGATGTTGTGTGCCATTAGAAAAACCAATAGAGGAACCCAAGCCCAAGGAACCAAGACGCTCAGTCGATAACGGACCCGAAAGCTACGAATACGATAAAGGTATGCTTATGCAGACAAAGCGCGATCTAACAGACGAACAGAAACAGCGCTTGAATTATATCTACGAAGAAAACGAATACCGTGCGAATGAAAATGCCGGCGAGGATCCTGAGAATCGCTTGCATTTGATTTACAGGGTTCAAGAGAATTATGAAGATAATAAGTTGCTCGATGCTGAAATTAAAGCAGAGGAAAACAAAAATAAATTGCATGTTATTTATCAGCCCTCTGAGCTGGAGCCAGAGCCCAGAGAGGAGGAAAAGGCTGCAAAGCCAAAATTACATGTTATATATGAGCCGAGCCGTAAGATTCCTGAGCCACGCAAAACACCAGAAACTAAAATCATACCAGCCGCTGAAGACAAGACCGATTACTGCCCCCAGCCAAAGCCCGTTAAAAGCCAACTTCAGCCTCACGAGCGTTGGATATGTCCAAAGATAAAGGCTGGGAAAAAGCGTGATCCACGCTATCTATATTATGAAAACACACCGTTCTACCAGGTACTGAAGAATAATAGCTATCTTAAGGAAACACGTACCCCGCGTCGCAGAAGCAGGAGTAGAAGCAGACACGAAGGAAAAGGTAAGTCGACACCAGTACGTACAGCACCGATGGAACTCAAATCAGATGAGCAACTTACACCTAAGACGAGTGAGCATATTGTGAGAGCTAAATCGAAGAAACCCACCCATGGTTTCTATGATGTATTACGCTGCCACCGAAAAGTCTTTGTACACGGCTCTGAGCGGCCCGATGTTCTAGACGATACAGATATTGAGGCGCGTGGGAGAAGTACAAGCGAGTGCAGCGGGTTTCGGTCATATGTGAAGCGTTCCGAAAAAGATTTAATCGAACACTACTATAGAACTCACTGCCATTTGGTTACGAAGGATGCCTATAAAGTAAAGAAACGCAAGAAGCCCAAACCCTACTGCTACTTATGGTCCACTGTGGACGATGACATAAGGCTTGCAGAGAAGGAACGATTAGCGGAACTGGCATGCCGCAGGCGTAAAATGAACCAACGCCTTAACAGGCGACCCTACTGTTACCTCTGGTCCGACGTAGAACCCGACATCAAGGCCAATACAAAACAAATGCTAGAGGAAAGAGGAGCGGAAGACAGGGCTAAGGCACTACACCGGAAGAAGATGCGGTTGCGCTCTTGCTTCCTTTGGTCACGGAACGAAGAACGGGAAGCTGAAAAGGAACGACAAAGAATTGACCGGGCGACAAGGCTTCGTCTAGAAAGATGGAGACGCAAAAAAGCGGAAGAATCCGGTACTAGCATAGAGGAAAAACTAGATCATCCCCAGCAGAGAATGTGTTACTTGTGGAGCACCCCTGACAAAGATCATGAAAACAAGCCACTTCCGCAATTTGCAGCGAATCCAAATCAGCGTCAAAGTGCACCTGAAAGGCATTCAAGCAGTTCTGAAGACTCGGAGACTAAAAAGTCTAAGCTCGAACCCTACTACCTCTGGTCAAATCCCGGAGACGAAAGTCTCAAGGAGAGACGTAAACGCAAACCTGCTAAAACTGGGAAAGAGGTAAAACAAAAAGAGGTTGTGAAATGTGTGCGATCGGTGCGCATTGACGAGTCACCAGCTAAGAAAGAATATGATAATTCTCTGCCTTGTGCAAGGTTCACATCACCGGAAAGTACATCTGAGCCGGAAACAACGGAGAAGCGATATGAGATTTCGGAACAAGACACCTGCTGTAAGAGATTAGCGCCCAACGGGGAAGGAAATCAAGAGAGGCAGAACTGGTCGCGTCCAGTTGAACGTAGAAGCCAGTTTGGACCCATTCCTAGCCGAAGTAATGGGACTATTTTGAAAACACCAAATATTTTTTCCCAACTCATTATTGGCAAGACTAAGTCTTTAAGTATAAGGCAGAATGACGGCAGCGATCGAAAGGCAGACTGGTCTTTTCCAATGGATCATGATGAAGAAAAAGCTGACAAAAACAAAAAATTTATGTGGTCGGCTCCGGTACAAGAAAATACCCACTTGGAGTCAAAGATGTCAGCGACTTCAAGTCACCAAATTTCTCGACGTGAGTCCAAAACTTCTCAAAAAAAGAAGCGATGGAGCCAATTTACAAATTTTAGCCGACGTGAGTCCAGAGCTTCGAAAAAAGACAATCAAAGTGAGACTGTTTCCAAGCGTGATTCCATGGTCTCCCAAATAACTTTTCGTAGTGAGGATAGTGACGAGCTTGAGTCTAATTCTGCCAAAAAGAGTGCTCCTAGTGAGAATACTACCAATCCTGAGTCTACGGTTGCCAAAACTGTTTATAGTGAGCCTGCAGCCAAACGTGAGTCTATGGTTGCCAAAAAGAAGGCTGACAAGGCTGACAAAGCTGCCAAGCGTGACTCTATATTTACCAGAAAACGTACTTATAGCGAGAATACCGCCAATCCTGAGTCTACGGTTGCCAAAACTGTTTATAGTGAGCCTGCAGCCAAAAAGAAGGCTGACAAAGCTGCCAAGCGTGAGTCTACATTTACCAGAAAAAGTACTTATAGCGAGAGTACCGGCAATCGTGATTCTACGGTTTCCCAAATAAGTATTTATAGTGAGAATTCTGCAAAACGTGACTCCCACGATACCAACAAAAATCAGCAAAAATCAAAAAGTCCAAGATTATCACGCGAGGCCTCAACGACTAGCATGGCAACCCATAGTACAAATGAAGATCATAAGAAGGATCAGCTACCGGTCCACGAATTAGCAAAGCCTCTCCGAAAACACCATAAAGTCGAAGAGCCCCCCCATCAAGATTACAAGGAAGAAGACCGATGGCATCAGGTATGGGCTAGTAAGGAACCTCCGGTCGATTGGGAAGAGCATAGGCCCCAAAGAAAACATACTGTCATCCAAAAGGAAAATAAGCCAGTCCAAAAAAAGCGCGAAGTACATATGTGGTCTGCACCGATAGAGCCAAGTAACTTTGAAGAAATGAACAAAAAAATGAAATGTACATCGCCAGACCGCGATTGCGATTCAACGAAATGTTCTTTAAGACATTATGGACCAACCCCCACCCAGCATAGAACTAACTCGTATCTCAAAAAACGTCCTCCATCGAAATTTCACTCCCACTGCAGTCAAGCTCACCAAGGAGCTCAACCAGCCCCGCAAAAGCGCCACACATCTGCGCCGTTTATAAAATCGCGCTACAGAACACTTAGCAAGGAACGCCTACCATCCAAATATCACCATCATTGCAGCAGTACCGAAAAATTGACGACGCCGAAGCCCCGACGGAGGCTTGTCGCGAGACGGAGCAGCGTCAGCTCGAGTGGCTTTGTAACACCACCGACCGAGCCACTGTCAACCCCATGCCTCGATGCAGAGCGACGCGAAACAAATGCCCAACGAGAATGGGAAAAACGGTATGAAGAGAAGAAAAAGGCGAAGCAAGCAGGTTTATTGCCAGTTAGCAAGAGAGGCAACGATTGGTTGTTCACCTCACGAGCGATTAGAAGCAATGAGAGTTTGAGAAAGAAAAGCAAAGATCCTGGAATGTTTGTGCGTCGATCGACCATTTTTCCCATTGATAAGAAGAAGAAAGATAAGAAAAACCATTGGTTCTTTGTGGAAGAGAGTAAAAATCGGGACAGGCGTAGAAGGCAGGATTGGCTTGTTGTGCGACCCTCTGGCATGGACCCCGACGAATATTTGGATCAAGATGAAAGTCATAAGATTAATACGCTATATTTACAAAAATCTGAAAAACCATCTAGCTCTGAGAGCGAGGACAGCTGCGGCTGCTTTGAAGAAGGCTGTACTAAGTGCTCTTCCTTACCTGCGCCCGAACCCGTTTATGTCAATTGCCAAGTTTCGCAGGCGTCTCGAACACGCTCCCGCGGTATAGACGAGCACAACAGTTTTGGCGATGGTGATAGCGAAAGATCAGCGGACAGTGGTAATTATGTGCGAAGTCGTTACAGAGCGGGCTTGGAGGATACTCGGAAGCGCAGTGGCATATTGAAAACACACAGTTTTGCAGATAGTTTGGCACATCAGCAGGTACCTACTAAACGGGTGCACTATCGCGCCGACACCAAGAAGCCGGATTTGCATTGCCATGCCTTCTGTTTCTAAACGTACTTCGTCAGACGTTCGTAATCTGGCTGGCAAATGTTTTGCACAAATCAGTTAACAGCTATATTGCGGGCGTCTGTCGCGGGGCCATTGTCGCACATTCGAACGTTTCGTTTCACATGTTTTATGTTATTAATTATTATTTAATATTTAACTATTTATATTAACAATTTATTCAAAAGTCAACTTTTGTGGCTTAAGCCGAAATTAAAATGTTTTGTTTTTTCTGAAATCGTTCCCTTTTTTTGTTTGCGTACAAATAACAGACAAATTGTATAATTAGTTAGTAGTATAAGGAATTGGACTTTGAGCTATGAATTATAAATGCAATGCTGGCTTGGAAATTTCCCATATTTCCTTACTCGTTCTTGAACTGAGCCGGACGCTTCTCCACGAACGCTTGCATGCCTTCCTTGCGATCGGCCTGCAAAAGACACACAAGTCATAGTTTTAAATAAGATTATACGATTTTATGACGTATTTATAGTATTACGCAATAGCGGACGGACTCACCGTTGAGAACGTGGCATGGAAAGTGCGACGCTCGAATTTTAAACCTTCCTGCAGGGTCGTCTCGTAGGCAGTGTTGACCGCCTCCTTGCACAACTGTATAATAAGGTTCGAGTGTGTGCCAATTTTCTCGGCTGTCTTGATGGCCTCGGCCAACAACTGATCTGGAGGGAACACCTTGCTGACCAAGCCCATCTGCTGAGCCTGCTGAGCGCCCACCATGTTCCCAGTGAGGCAAATTTCCATGGCATTAGACTTGCCAACGGCGCGTGCCAAGCGCTGAGTGCCTCCGGCACCGGGAATGGTTCCCAAAGCAATTTCAGGCTGGCCGAACTTTGCCTTCTCGCCAGCATATATGATATCGCACATCATCGCTAGTTCGTTGCCACCACCGAGAGCATAACCATTGACGGCAGCGATGATTGGCTTCTGGGTGCGCGCAACCTCGGTCCAGTCGTTCAGGAAGTTACCCTGAATGCACTGGGAATAGGTGTTTGGGGCCATCTCCTTGATGTCAGCACCAGCGGCGAAGGCCTTCTCACTGCCCGTCAGCACGATGGCAGCGATGCTGCTATCTTTGCCGAATCCCTGCAACGCTGTAGACAACTCCTTCATCAGGCCATTGCAAAGAGCATTCAAGGCCTTGGGGCGATTCAAGGTGATAACAGCTACGTTCTTCTTCTCGCCAGCAACTTCAGTCTTAATGTATTCCCAGTTGTTGGCCGCTGCAGAGTGAGAGAGACGACAAATTAGTTTATATCACAATGATTGCGTAATTAATGTTTTGACTGTCGCTTAAAGAAAAACAACATCTACCGGCTGTTACAAGCAGACGCACTAATTACAATTACACCCAAACCCACCCAGCTGCAGAACTTTTGACCAAAGTCCACAATTTTCCTGCAACACATCGAGGGGGTGTGGCAAAGGTAAGGCCAAGGCAAATGCTATTGCTATTAATATTCTAGTTATATGTACTTACTGCTGGCAAAACGCGAGGCTGTGGCTAGTTGGGGCTGTCTAGCAGCCATCTGGAGCACATTTTGTGCCCGACCGGCAATCAGTTTAGCAATGTTCGCCATTTTTTTTCTATTCACTTGAACTTGACTGGAAATTGTGGACCAATTAATTTTCTGTTATCTAATAATTCTAGCTGCCTTCCGCAGTTGATACTTACACTCTAGACGCTGGAGCAGAAATGTGGAGAGCGGCAATTGCGACGATCGCGCAATGCTTTGGAGCCGGTTAGCATTAGTGGTGAGCATGTTAAAGACGATGTTGCCATCGGTAATTTACATACAATAACATTTCAATAACATATTTGCTTAAATAACAAGTTTTTCTTACAAATGTATTTTTCTCTATATTTTAAGAAATAAATAATGCATAAATTAATTACATCATAAACTAACAAGTTGACAATTAACAATCAGCCTATCGATAGCTGAATATCGATATATGTATGTAGAATAATGCCGCCCATGACAAGACGCTGCCGAACACTGAACCAGTTTTTAAACATACCGTACATTTCTGCCTACAAATATGTATAATATATTAGTTGGTTGTATCTTAAATACTACGCACTAGGTTTATTGACTTCTACGAGCAGAATTCGATCATCGCCTTGTTGGCTATTCGCCATCCGAAGCCGGTAGATACAGGCTAGTAGAATTACTGATAAGAAGGAAAATAACGCTATGAGTGCGCTGAATGTGGACATTGAGGGTGCTGCAATGAAAGTCACATAATGCTTACTATTACGATCAGCCATATATTGATAATCTACTCACATTCACAGTAAGGAAAATCATGAAGCCAACGGGGCGCCTGACAAATATTTTTCGGCCGACCCTTGAGCTGATGTTCCGTCTGGCAGGCAAAATAGATAAGGGTGCTATTCAGAACTGCTGCACCAGACTGTAGAACTGTACCATCGCTGGCACTCACAATGATATTCGCCAGCTGAGGCACCACACAGCTATTGTTGCTTTCTGTCGACTTATCAAGAGGATATATCCTTTTGCGCATCGCCAGCATAATTGAAGAGACCGGTTCCGGTTCAGTCACTGTTGATGCGCTTGTGCTGGTCGACGCCACTCCTTCACACAAAGCTTCATCTTCATCATCGCCATCCAGACAATCATATTTCCCATCGCACAACTTGGCAAAAGGCACACAATTACCAGCCAGGCAGTGCAATTCCCAATTATCACAGTTGCCCTGCAACATTTGTGCTTTGCACAGCCATCTCTCCTCATCGGAGCCATCCACACAGTCGACATGGCCATCGCACACTGCCGTGCTCGCCACACATGCGCCGTAGTTACAACGGAAGCTATAACCGGGGCACCAGATTTTCTCGCACAAGGCAGCCGTTTCGTCGGATGCATCCGAACAATGAGCACTGCCATCGCACAGTTGATCCAATCTGATGCACTCGCCATTTCCACAGCGATATCCGCATCCGGTGGCGTTCTGGTCCGCTACCATCACGCTGATGTGAATTAGATGGAGCAGCAATACACTCAACTGTCTCCTAAACATGTTCACTTACAACTGGCTGATCTGTGAACGCGAAAAGCGTATGAAATACTAAACAGAAGTAATTCCATGCTCAACAATCAGCTGTAGCGCCAGTAAATTTCAGCTTTTTTCTCCTAAACCAGTTTCGTATACTATATTATATGAATATGACACACGAAGTACAGACACATTGCTCTTTCAACTTTAAGATTTTCTGATCGGGTTTTTGTATTACAAAAGCAAGTAGTGGTATGTTACGAAGTCTTTGAATAGAACGTTAACGAAAACCTGGTACAATATCAATAGGTATCAATAAATTTCCCTAATCCTCTTTTCAGTTTGTAATTGGCAGGTGGGTAAAATAAAGTTCTATTAAAAACGATTAGATTGTGCATTTCAGATTTAATTATAATGTATATATGCATATATAAGCGGTGGTGTATATATAAATTTATAACCGAACATATGTATATAAGTATGCCTGCGGAAATAGTTTTAATAATGTGGGTGATTTCCATACAACACAATTGTAACCGCAACGCTTAACTTTTTTATAGAAAAATAGAAATTGTTGTGAAAACTTGAATTGCAATGGAAGGTTATCATTCCTTCTCAGTGGGTGCAACAAAAAAGGGTAAATACTTGTAGTAAATTTAAGTAACGTCTTCTATAATACTGTCCCAAAGTGTGTCTCATTTTTTTTGAGCGGATGGCGGCGGCGTCGCATAGAATTTGCGTTTCTTTATGGTACTCTTCAGCGGTGTCGCTATAAATAAAAATTGAATGTTAGCGCAATCAGCATAAAACGTAAAAGTTACACTCGCTCACCATACAAGGAGAACAAATCCTTGTTGCTGCTGGGTACACGTTTCACAGAACTGCCATGAATTTCGCCTATTAATGGTGAAGGTTCCAATGCTATAAACTGCTGCCAATAGGAGGTGGGTAAACTAAGCAAGGATTTCACCACTTGCTGTTGGGTGAATACCTCCGTAAAGATGCTATGCTGATCCGGTTCCAGTGACGAGTAACCAACAATTGTGGGTCCAAAGATTAGCGCTATATTATCAATAGGCATAAGCACAACTGGACACTCAGCAATGCGCTGAAAGTGTAAAACGAGAAAGGCCAAGGTATCGCGATTAGGTTGCGGGAGTAGCTCCACCAATTTATATAGCGATTGTTCGCTTTGCTTGGCGTCGGGATTTTGAACGGCATTGGCGAAATCCTTCCATAGTGAAGTTGGTATAAGCGGTTCACGCAACGACCTTAAAAAGTCCTTGACACAACAGCAGAGCACATGAATATCCGTATTTCCCAAATGTGGAGTCGCTCTGCCACGTAAAAATTGCTCCTTCAGGGCCTTGTATTCACGCTCTGATGAAGACATGCGATAGAGACCAACTTCGGTAAGGCCTCGTGCCTCAATCTCATTGACACAGTGCACCACAAGTGCAGGTATCATGGGCGAAATAGATGGAGCAAAATCGCTGATGTAACCCAGCATGGTCTTAGCTGTTGGGGTGCCAGACTGTGGCACGCAGCTGACGGTTAACAGTGGACGGCAGTCGATATGACAACGCACGGGACAATCGCGGCAGCGCAAGGCAACGGCACCAAATCGTATGCTGTAATGAAAAATAGAGCTTAAGTACATTCTTCATAAACTGCATAAATTGTGGTATATAAGAGAACAATTGATTGAGCAATAGTAAGAATATAGAGACCATCCAGTGCTTTTTAAGAAACTGCTGATATATGCACCATTATATGAATAGTATGCTCTATTGGTTACTAAGCCATTTCTAATTAATCTACAGTGTTAAGAGTTATATCTTACCGCTTTTGGCATTGCACGCAATTGTCTCCACGCAAGAAAGTCTTCTGGTTGAAGGTGTGTTTGCGCATCAGTGGACGACGTTGGGCTGGCGAGCCGGCTTCAACTGCAGCGAGATGCGGAGCCATAGCATTGATAGGCGTCAATGGGGGTGCCGCGGCCTCTTTCAAAGCCGATCGCCTTGGCGTGGAGGCCAATCCATCGCTCACGACATTTGCTTTTTTTGTCACCATTGGCAGCGATTCAATTGTGGACTCTGCACGTATGACACCCTGTCCATCCTGTGGTATAGTCACTTTGGTGGTGGCACAGAAACGCTCCGCGCCCTGCGCCACGTTTAGCGTGTGGTGATCAACGCCAACTCCCTGCCCAGACCGACGCGCTTGTGTCGTGGTCGTCGTTGGTGTTCCAATGACGCTGCTGTTCAGTCCTCCGCTCAAACGCGAGCGCTTGCTTCCCACACATGGTACTGGATTCTTAGGCAGCGACGGACGGTGTTCGCGCCACGAACGGGAGCGACGCGCCTCGAGGAAATCATCTTCGGATTGTGTAATGGACAAATCCGACAGCAGAGAGCCTGTGGAATTTATGTCACAGTGCGAGGAACGTTCTTCGCGCAGCGTGTTTAAAGATTTCCGCTTGCGTGACTGCATCGTCTGCAAAAAGGCTAGTTTATCGCGCGTGTCGTTGTTCAGATTGCGTTCATGGCGCAACAAATCGGCGACTGCAATAATTTTGTTTTCCATGGCATCACGTTCGTGTTCTGCCTGGCGTCGCATTTTGCTCTCCATTTCAATGATACGGCGTGCATGAAACAGCTTGCCTTCTAGATCGCCCATTTTCACTAGCGACTTGTCCAACTCCTGTTGAATGCGAGCCGTCTCCGCGGCATAGCCCATGCTCTTTTCATGGTACTGCTCTACCATTCGCAGGAACCGCAAAAACTCTGTGTAGGACGCAAGAAGCACTTCAAGTTGAAATTCCCGCGTTGTAATAATAACCACTTACCTTCTTCAGCGATGCCATCGTTCAATACTTGCATGCAGCGTCGCAGATCGTCAAACGACGCCAAAGCGGACAGCGTCATTTTCGTTTTCTGTCTCCTATTCCCTTATAAGCACTACAATCGAATGTGAGTTTGTGCTGTTTATATTTTGTTTCTCACTGATTTAAGTACTTTTCACTGGTGTTTTATGCAATAGGATATTGCAGCACAAAAGCACGCTGCAAAGGACGCGCAATGAAATTTTCGATTTGACAGCCAAGCGCCGTTGTTTTCAATTTGGTGGTGAGGTAAAGATGATATTGTGAATCAGGGCTGCCAGATCGAGCTAAAGAATAGGTGGTATTTAAATCTTGCTGGTATTTTGCAAGTCAATTGGAGAGAAACTTGTATTTCTGAAATATATTTTGTGCATTTAAAATGTTTAAGCTCTAACGCTTCAATTATAAAAAGTCGAATTGATTAAAGTAGAGCAAAATAGTATACATTGCGTCTTATGTATAATAGCTAAATAGTAACTAGAAAATATTAAATGTACCAATGGAAATATTAAAAAATGACTCAGTGTTTGACATAAAACACGGTGCCCGGTCTCTAATCTCATTTCAAAAAGATATACAATATTCGTACCACTAACTCATACTGGCAAGCAGTATCATTAATTTTTGGTCACACTGTTAACCGGCAGCTCGCAGCGCTGCCACCTTGTTAAGTCGGAATTGCAGCCAATTAGCGGCATTGAATAATAAATTTGCGCATATTTTGTTTGAAACAAAAAGAGTACAAGTCATGTCAGCTACGTCACCGAATCCCTCATTGGGACTTCAAAGCAAGCGCTGGAACGGCTTGCGTAACATACTGGAGCGTGAAGGTCCCTTTTGTAAAGACGATTTTTCGCCATCTCCAGACAACTTAGAATTTTTGCAAACGAAATGCAAAGTTCTTGTCATTGGTGCCGGTGGTCTTGGCTGTGAGCTGTTGAAGGATCTGGCTCTCATGGGCTTTGGCGATCTGCATGTCATCGACATGGACACAATAGAACTGTCGAATCTCAATCGACAGTTCCTCTTCCGTCGATCGGATATTGGTGCCTCCAAGGCAGAGTGCGCGGCACGATTTATACAAAATCGCCTGCCTACGTGCCGCGTGACGCCACACTTTGCGAAAATTCAGGACTTTGATGATACATTCTACCAGCAGTTCCACATTATTGTCTGTGGCTTGGACTCGATTGTAGCACGTCGCTGGATCAATGGAATGTTGCTGTCCATGCTGCGGTACGATTCGGACAACACCATTGATGTGTCATCGATTATACCCATGATTGATGGCGGCACCGAGGGCTTCAAGGGCAATGCCCGTGTCATATTGCCTGGATTTACAGCTTGCATCGAATGCACCCTCGACTTATTTCCACCACAAGTAAATTATCCGCTTTGTACAATAGCAAATACTCCTCGCCTACCGGAGCATTGCATTGAGTACGTAAAAATCATACAATGGGATAAGGAGAATCCCTTTAATGTGCCCCTCGATGGCGATGATCCGCAGCACCTGGCCTGGGTTTATGAGCGTGCGTTAGAACGTGCCAATCAGTTTAATATCACGGGTATCACATATCGTCTGGTTCAGGGTGTTATCAAGCACATTATTCCGGCGGTGGCCAGTACCAATGCGGTTATTGCGGCTGCCTGTGCCACCGAAGTGTTCAAAATAGCCACCAGCTGCTACGACAGCATGGCCAACTATCTTAACTTCAATGATCTGGATGGCATATACACGTACACCTATGAGGCGGAGAAATCTGATACCTGTTTGGCTTGCAGCAATGCTCCACAGGTGCTACCCATTGAAGATCCAAACACCACAACTCTGGAAGATGTAATAAAATTGCTGTGTGAATCGGCACGTTTTCAGCTCAAAAGTCCGGGGCTGACAACAGTTTTTCAAGATGGCAAAAAGAAGACCCTTTATATGGCCAATGTGAAAAGCATCGAGGAAGCGACTCGTAAGAATCTGACGCAGTCGTTAGGGGAGCTTGGCTTGCAGGACGGACAGCAGTTGACCGTGACGGATGCGACATCACCAACGGCCATGACTCTGCAGCTTAAATATCAAACCAATGAGATCGAGATGAATTAGCGATATTTAATTATAGACAATTTTTAGGTTCAACCAGTATCTACACACATTTAAAAATAAACAAAAAAGGCTACGCTTTGACTGTATACTCATTAACTCATGTTCAGTATGTACTTCTTGCCGGTAAATCCCTTAAAGGTGAGAGCTGCTGACGCTGCCTCCTTAAACTTGTCCAACGGCACCATTTCATGTGGTGGTGCCACAAACTTCCTTTGCTCTACGAGTTCGCAGAGCTCCTTAAACATTTGAAGACGCTCAGGTGCGTCATAATTTTCCTTGGACCAGCGCGTCATCCAGAATCCACGAAATGCAATATCCTTAAAGATGAGTGGGCCAGTGGCTACCGTAACCGGTTCGCGTGACATTCCTCCGTAGGTAACCATAATGCCGCCATTGTCCAGATGGCGCGTTACTTCTGTAGCGCTCTTTCCCCCGACACAATTAAAAGCAAGCTTTGGTTTTTTCAAGGTACCCGATTTGAATAGGTCCGTGGTGCGTACCTCTGCTTCCGTTAGCACGACTGTGGCGCCCAAACACTCTAGTTGTTGCTTGAGCTCCCCAATTTCTGGTCGATCGCGCACTATTCCCACACTCCTCAAGTTCCAAGCCCTGCACAGTTGATGCACCGCCTGGCCTACGGCGCTGTTGGCGCCATTCTGTATGACCGTGTCCCCCGGTGACAACTTCACAAAATCCCTGAGCATCCGATAGGCTGTACATGGATTAACGGTTATAGTGGCTGCCTCAGCCAGTCCCACGTTTTTGGAAACAGCCAAAAGCTGATCCTCATTGTAGACAGCATGGGTGGTCCAGGTGCCCAGTCCAGTTGTCAGAGGCACAACATGTTCGCCTGGCTGCAGTCCTTTGACCTTGTCGCCCACACAAATCACCTCGGCGACGCACTCGTTGCCAGCAACCGCCGGAAATTTCGGCTTCACCGGGTACTTACCTAATAATGACGTGATGATGCAAAGAGATAACGGATTATTGCGTCTCTTATAATGCAAAGTTCGCTGTAATTCAAAATATTACCCTGTATGGTATTGATGTCGGCGGGATTTATTGGAGCAGCCAATATTTTCACCAGCACCTGCTTGTCCTTTGGATCCGCCAGTTGTGTTTCTACCAGATGCAACACATCCTGCGGCTCACCATATTGTGTATACTTTAGCGATTTGGCCATAACGGCCATTTGTCTAACCAGCCCTTGTGAGCGGGTGTTCCGCGGCAGCGTTTGGCGCAACATCATTTAGTTTTCATGTAATTTCCAATAAATTGAAATTGAAACAAAAAACTTATTTTCGGCGATTATTAAATCATACATGCGCCCCAGCTGTTTCGGACTGATTACAAAATACACAGCTGGATAACAACACTTGCCGCTTTACACCTGTGTGGGCGCCAGGGCGTCCAATCACAATTATCGATTACAAGTATATCGACGCGCCATTAATCGTTAAGCTCAATTGCTTTAAAATAGCATAGAAATGTACATACATATATGTGCACTGAAGTGCAATACAGGCGCATGGACGCCAATCACGCAATATCCGGCCGCCTTTTCCGATTTACCCTCCCTCGAATTCTGTGTGTGTGTACATGGTAGTTAGGGTCCTACTACCTCGACAACCCATCGAATTTGAATATACATACATATAGTATGTATGTTGTATGTATGCACATAAATGCTATTAGAAGAGCGCGCGCTTTGACTTTGGCACACAATGGACATTCAAAATGTTGGCACGTCAATATTAGCTTGACATTTAATATTAATTTTATTGCAAACGAAACCAATAGCCACTTGAACTGCTTGTGCCCCTTAAAGATTGTTTTCCCCGAACTTAATGGCCACACGCGAGGCTTTTAACCTGCTGCCATAATTTCCACGATAGATGTCATTAAAAACAGAACCAACAACAAACACTAAACATTTTTGCAAAATAAACACAAATCAATAACTTTCCGACAGTCAATGCGGGAAATGTGAGGGTAAATATAATTCCTTTGGCCCCTTCCCCCAGATGTCCGACAGGCCATAATAATTACACACACAGCGCCTGTCGCTGCCGTTGTTTTTGTTTGCACTTTTGTGCCACCAAAAGACGTTGCCGTGGGTTCTCGTCAAGCACTCAAACATTTGCCACTGCCGCACGAAAACAGAAGGAAAAAATCCAATAAAATAAATGTATGTGTGAATATATTTTCTAGTCGCGTGCTGCCGCTAACAGGCTAGACAGGAATTTTAGTTCACATTTGCCTTTGCAACGCCTCGCACGTCTATTTTGGAGAAATGTCCGCGTTCAGCCAACAGTTCAATCCACGCGCCAATATCTTTATTTTGGTCAATTTGGGCTGCGAAATGCTGTACGTAATTGACCAGCGGCTGAAAGCGCAACAAATTGCAGCCGACAAATCGGTTCAAGGTAACTGGCACAACTCCAATTGTTAGCAGAATTTTTTTGTTTTGGGCAGAGCCCCGAAAACGGACTTGGTTTAATTAAGATATGCAAATTCAAAAACAATATAACTCAAAAAATCTATCAATCCCAAAAAAAAAATCCTAAAATTTGTCTTAAGATAAGTCTAGAACTGGTAGCATAGTGGCAATGTGTTCGAATTCAATGTCTAATTGGAATTGTATACTTAGCCGCCATTTAGGAGATCTTTCAGAGAATTTGTGTTAATCTCTAATCAATTTAATTTCTTAATCAAGCATTAACATTGTAATAAAATTTCTTTTATTTTATGTTGCTTTCATTTATTTATTCATTTTTTTTTAAATTCTTTTTGTGTTGAAATTTACTTTATGCTTAATTCATTCAATTTCGTTTTTGATGTTTTTTATTTCATGTTCTTAATTTCAATAATGCCTCTGACTATATTGTGAGATAAGGAGCATAGCTGACCCCAAAAAACAGATACTCGTAAAATACCCCCCGGTATTCAAATTCTTGCTGAAATGTTTTTCTTTAATGTTTACTCGACAGCATTGTTTGTCGAAATATAGTAAAATTTTGACAGCCTTTTTTTGTCCCATTTACCCTTTGAGTACAGGGTATAATGATGTAATAATTTATATTAAAATATGCATCATTGTATTAAATGACGACATTTTTCCCCACATCTCGTAGTTATACACGATGTGACGACAGTGTTATTGGAGCCGAAGTTCATAGACTCTCTACTTAACGGTTCTACACACGGAAATGCTCAACTAATAACTGCCGATCATTGCAAATTCATGTTAAATGATATTGCGACTTGTTCGCTGATGCGCCTGGACGAGCAATCGCAGGCCAAATTGTGGAATCTGATGACTATGATGTACAAGTGGCAGTTGTTTATGTCAGGGCATCAGCATCATTTACTAGACATTACCTTTCGCCATCTGGATTCGATAAACAAACTTTATCCGGATGCCAAGCGGCACATGTTGATTGATTTCACGAAAAATACACTTCTCGATTTCTGGAATGCCTGCGGGGAAGAGCAACAGCTCTCCATCTATCGCACCAACAAGGCCTGGCTGCAGTGCTTCAATACCAAAATCTCTTTGCTAATGCGACTTGGTTTTCAAACGCTGGACGGCAGCTTTCTGCGTGAAGTAGATCAGAGCTATTTCCAGAACTTTGTTCAAGGCATCGGTGAGAATATCTATATCAAGAGCAACGAGTTGGTCCAGCAGCAGGAACACCTATCACGAGCAACTAACAGCAAGAGTGGCATGGATCAGCTAGCCGCCCAACTTAATATTCGACAGGCGCCCGTCTCGGGCGAGGATTTGCAGCCCATTGATGCGCGGCAGTTCCAGCAACAATACGAAAAGAGCTTGCAGCAATGCAACATATTGCTCGAGGACCTGGACAGCAGTAACAATGGGGCAAGCAGACAAACCAATGCCGCAGGATGCGAGTTCGTGCAGCTTCAAACAGCGACTCCGACTGACACTGGAGGAATTGGAGGGCGCGTTTTGAATCACAAACTGCTTGATTTATACAGTAAAATGCATTAAAATAATGGGTATTTTGCTAGGGTTAGAGTTAGGTTATTTTTCCCCACGAGGAGATAGTTATTCAGATAAAGGGAAAAATGCGCTGTATTATATGTATTTTCTTCTACAGAGCAAAAAAAGCTTGACAAAAGATGAACAAATTGAAATCGAAAATGTGAATCCGATCTTTAGATAAAAAGGTTCCAAAATGTTTGCACGCCAGAAGAAATTCCACATTTCAACCTACGTAGATCGTTATATTTTATATCGATGCCTTCAATAATGTTAGGTGCTTTATTATGGTTTATTTTTAGAGTTAGCACAGATTGTTACAGCCCCACTCCCAAATATTCAAACCTTGTCATTTTCCGTTTGGGATTCGTGATTGAAGCCTTCAAAGATATTGGTCAGCAACAAGTTTGCCATAACAACTTTAATGGTTTAGTAGTGCAGTAGTAAAAAAAAGAGATATTTCGAAAATGTAATTCAACACAAATCAAGTTTTCGTTTATTCAAAACACAGAGCTTTGCTAAAAATCATGTTTGTATTCTTTTTAAGGTTTTGGTTTTTCCTCTTTGTAAAATAATTACAAAATCTTTTTCTTTTTACAATTTCGAAGACATTGGTGATTCATCAACAATAAAAATTTTGAGCTTGCTTGACCGACATGCAATTGTAATTTTGGTTTTTAACTTTAATTTAAATCTTTTTGTCTTAGGCATATGTGTGTAAGTGTTGGACCGAAATAAATGAGAATTAAATGTTCAAAAAATTGTACAATTATTAAAATGTGTGTCTATGCAGGTGAATAAATGTGTAAGTATGTGTACGCAACAGTATTGCAAATTTGATAGCGCGAAGAATTCAATTCAACAGTTGTCACTTGCCGGCTACAATGTAAACTTATGGCAACAAATCATTCATTATAAATAGTTACGTAGTCATACTTTCTCTCTGTCCTCTACGTCCAAACATCAATCGCCACTTTTCAGTGTGCAGTACCGTGTAACTTGGTGGGTGTATATCGATAGTGAGGCGGCGTTGGGCAGTGCCATATGTATGTGGAGCAGCTTACATTTTCGCCTTGAGTGGCACCGCATCGACCAATATGTGCAGTGCCATCTTGAGGCACTCCTCAGCCGAACTGATTTGCTCGCAGGGATAGGCAGCGGCGTATTGCGTAAGGAAATCACAGTACTTACGATAGTTGCGCGCCGCAAAATCATAGTTGTAGGCACCCAATGACTTCATGTCCGTGTCATCGTTGACCGACGGTACCGTGTCTTTGTGAGGCATGCGCCCAAAGGTCGGGTACTCCAACTCGCAGGCCTCGCACTTGCAGTTAAAGCGATATTGCATGGATAGCGTTTCTTGCCGTTGCTTCTTGCTGAAAATGGCAAAATGTGCTCTGAAAGAGATCGAACCATTTATGTCTATGTTTCCAAATTAATATTTTATTGTAGGTATCCGGACTCACCCATAGTTATCGTAAAGCACGCCACCAGCCTTGATGGGTCGCAGGACAAACAAATAAGCCTTGGTGCCCTCATATATGCGCAGTGTATTGGGTGCACACGAATGGTTGAGCAACGACAGGAAGGCATAGGCGCCGGACGAATGCGTTTGATCGTCCTTGGTCTCGTTGACTTGTTCAACAAGATCGATGCCATGCATATTCGAGGGTGATGTTTGCAGATGTCGAAACAGCAGTTCCGTAAAAAAGTTTCGACCCTCTTCTCCGCCCAGCAATTCCTTCAGTGGCGTATACTCGATGATAAAGTGCTTGAGTATAGCGCAAACAACTGAACGCTGAAACAAATCCGAAACCGTACGTAGTTGTCGATTCGTCACCAGACCGTGTATGGCACGATAATGTTCCTGTGGTGTTAGGTTCGAATAGTCCAGATCGAAAGCACATTTATTCTGATTGTGCGGCAGCTCACAATACGCCATTAAATCCTCAATACTGTCGTGCAGATCGAGAGCGGATAGTGTAGTGCGCAACGCTATTCCATGTATTTTGTTGAACATACGATGTAAAAAGTCAATGATGGGGCACTCGTACTTATGGAACGTGCTCATCGCCTGCTGCTTGCATTGCTCTGAACAGAACATGGCCGAACAACAGTTATCGCAGGGTATAAGCGTCAGATAGTTCTCATTCTTGCAATTAGCGCAGCGTATGTAGCGCATGGGCGGCAATAAGGTGGAGCAGAAAGGCTGCTCGGCTGCAACTAAATCGCCAACGACCAGATCTCGTGTCGTGACTATGAAGCGGCCCTCATCCGAAGTCTCGCGAAGCTCTAGGCAGTCTGCTATGTACGGCACCTGAGGATGGGCATCAAAACTCAGCTTGAATTCGTAGGGCACGACGTCGGGAGCCTGCTGATCGAGCAGCTCTTGGCAGTCCCGCTCTCGTTTGTCCAGTTTGTGTCGCAAACGTTCCGGGTAGTTGGCCTTACGTGCTAGCTCAATGTTCGCCAAACACTCCCGGTAGCGCTTCCATGCGAAGAGCACGGCCGAGCGGTTAGCATAACCAATAGACAAATGCTCCGAGTTAAGCTCGGCAAAGCAAATGCTTTTGTTGTACAATTCGAGTGCCTATAAGTAAATACATATTGTAGTAATATACGCTTTAACTATGACTACCTTTTACCTGGAAGTATTTTCTGTTTTTCAGAGAGAATTGTTCGTTTCCTAGCATGCGAAACTCCTTGCTGCGTTTGTTGCATTTGTCCTCGCGCAACGTCACGTTGAGAAATATTTTCTCCATGTACTTAAAATCAATAAGCGCATGTTCCACAAAATTCACTTTCGAATAATTGTCTTTAAGCTCGTTAAATTTCCCAGATATTATGCCAATTAGTTTCCAGTCGTTTAGCTTTTTCACCAGATCGTCGCTTACATCGTACACGTCCATGGTCTTCAATTATTGTTGTTGCTGCTGCTGCCGCTGTTGCACTCGAGCTTTATCCTATTGGGATGCACACACACATACATACACACGCCCGGCTGCCTGCCACCTCGTTTTGGTTGCCGAGTCTCGTGTTGCGTTGCCGCCGCCGCCTGTTTTTTCACCTAAGAAATCTTCTCCTGCCTTTGCGTTCCGTTACCACTAAATTGTTTGGTTGCGTACCTTTACTGTTTATTTTTGCATTTAATGTGCGATTTCACACTTAATTTTTTTAATACAGCCGGAAAATATTATGATTTTTTGCTCGCGAATTTAGCCAGACATTAGGGATGTGAAATATTTGCCTATCGAAATGTCGAGAAACATTTGGCGCTGCCAACTCGCTGATATACAAAATTCCCGTATTAGGGCCAGCATGGTATCCAAGTTTAAAAATGCTGTAAGTTTGTTACGACTACGCTTTTCCTCTTGGGCAACGCCGGCTGGCTCATCGGAATTCTCCTTGGGTGTGTGGTTCCAACCCTATGCCCGCGTGAGTCGTACAATAACCGATAACACGGTTCCTCCATCGATAAACAAAATGCCATCACTACAATAAATTCGACGCGCAATATACAAAACCGAATTCAAAACGTAAACAAACCAAAAAAACTAACATAAACTAAAAGAAACGTACTGCGACAAGAAAACAAATAAACGGATAACTCCCTCAAGCCATCCGTACGAATACGGGTGACTGTAAAAGGAGATAATATACGTGCGGACGGACAGGGATTGGAGGCATCGGACAACTGTATGGGATTTAGCTGTTGTTATCCCAGGCGTACCCTCCCTGCCTGTATCCAAAGCCAAAATGTTTCTTGGATACCCTATTTTTGGACCGTGCTTGGGCTATTCCATGGCACAGGTGAGTCTCCCGCCCCTACTGATGCTGCTTTAATGCATCATCACCAACGGTGCGACCATTAAAATTAACAATTAATTTTCAGTTTATGTGGCTACAAACATACATATATTTCAGTGTGATTGAGTGTGAGTGAAAACAATGTAAATATGGAACAATAATAATTTATATAAAAACAAAATAAAGAAGGCTTGCCAACGGCCAATGCGGTTCTTTATGTGCGCCAACATGCAAGTATGCTTATGGCAAATAAATATGTATATAGATATATGTGTATGTGTATGAGAAAAATATGCGCGGTACAAAAATTTATAGAAAAATGTCTAACCAAATCCTAACGAGAGCTCTCGACGGTCATGGGCGCAATAGAAATATAAGAATACATATAAAACACTGCGCGCTACTGCAATTGGCAATCTTCATACAATATAAGTGTGTATAAGAGTGTGAACTTTTTTTTTTTTGAATTAAATAGAGCGCCAAGCTCTGTTTAGGTGCCACTTTCTGCCTTGTTTTGGTTTTTATTATATCTGTATATATTCTTTCTTTTGTATTATCTTCCTTTTTTTTCTTTTGCAGAAACTTCAATGGGGCGGCGTGTGGGACCCTGCAGGCGCAGCCCATACAAACGACACGACGTAAGGCGCGCGGGATCTCTGCCTGATGTCGCTGCTCAACCGCGAACAATAGGCACGGCGCGTGGCCAAGGAACGGACTCACCGGCTTGTCTATCCTCCGCTGCTGATGGCGCAGACGGACGTGTCTGCTGTTGCGTTGTGGTGGCGCCGCTATTGCTGCTGCCACTTCTTGGGTGGGCGCCTTTGCTCCGGCTGCCACTGTCGTTGCTGCTGCTGCCGTTGAAAACGCTGGTGCTGGATCTGCTGCTGTCGTTGTTGCTCCTGCTACGATGCGGCTCGTGCTGCTACTTATGACGGCCGCTGCAGCTGCTGTGTATGGTTCCACCGCTGTCCGAAAACTTGGCGATATGCCGGAAAATCTATATGCCAAGGAACAAAAGGCATTTAAGCACTGGTCGGCACATTTAAGTGGATATACAGGTATGTATACATCGGCATTAGTTCTGCCTTGCATCTATATCCTTATGCTCACCTTCGAACGGCTTCTGGTTCTTCCTTTCCTTTTGCAGGTTTCAGCACGGCCTCCAGTTCATCAAAAGAAAACACTGCCTCGTGGGTCTGCACCGTCGCCCCAAAAAACAGGAATGGCGTGTTGCGGCTTGCCTTTTATAGGCCGGATGTCGTATGCCTGCGGATTTTTACGTCCTTGCGCATCCGTTCATCACGGCCTTGACGTTTCCCCACTTTGAGGTGCCATCGGGACACAACCCTGCGCCTGCGTGGCTGCAGTTGCCACCATGGTGCCTCGCTCGGTACCGCTAGATGGCGCTGCAGTACCTTTATAAATTCTTGGCGCCTTCCGTAGCGCTGCCACCTTTTATTCTTCGTGACCAGCCCGATGCAACACCACCGCAAATATCCAAGTGGGCGGACGCTCGTGCCCCGAAGTGATGTTTGCGCGCATCAAACGGCTGGTGTTGTTGGAGTCCTCTGCTTCGAGTCCGGCGTTGCCTCGGATGACTACTACCGCGGCGCCCAACGTAGGCCACACCCACTCTTGATCTTCAGGTGAGTAGCTCTGGCTGCATCCTCCTCCCTATATTCATCCATTCTGCCTTAGGACAGGCGTCACACTCGGATATCCTTTGCGTGGAATACCCCCAGCAAGTTCCCTTGCAAATCTTCCAGCTCGTATGCGTTGGTGCCGATGGATTTCCTTACGCGAGCTTTTAGAAATTTCCGCGCGAATTTCGCATTGAACGCGCGGCTGAAATCACTCAATGCAAAGTTTCGCCGGTATACCTCCTGACCGGGCGCTAGTCTTAGCCGCCGCGCACGCCGGTTATAGCGAACGCTACTGCGCTCATACGCCGCATGCAATTGTGCCTGGATTTTCTGTTGCAACAGGGATTGCCTGTCTGCTGTACACAACGCTGCGAATTCGTGCTCGTCTAAGGACCTTAATTTCCTCGCCAATCGGTACTGCGAACCGTGCAACATCATATGTCGGCCGAATAGTGCGAAAAAAGGCGTTACTCCAGTCGCAGAATGCACGCTGTTTCTGATGGCCACTTCAATTTCCGGAAGGTGTAGATCCCACTCGCGGTGATCCTGCCCCAGATACGCCCGTATCGCGGACAGTATAGTCCGGTTCACCCTTTCGGACGCGTTGCTTTGCGGCGAATACACCGGTGTCCGCAGATGCTTAACACCGTAGCCCTCCATCATGTCTGTAAACTGCTTGGACGTGAATTGCTTACCATTATCGGAGTGTATGACTTCTGGAACGCCGAACGTATGGAACACTTCGTTCACCAAGAAGTCGACGACGCTCCGAGTGGTGGCCTCTCGCATCGCCTTCAGGAACGTGAATTTGGTGAAGTGATCTACCACTATGAATATGAAGGCGTGCCCCTTCCTTGATCGCGGATACTTGCCCAAGAAGTCTATGTATAACTTCTGGAACGGCCTCTCCGTGACGACTTCTGCACCAATTCCCACCTGCATCCCGTAATTGGTGGCTTTCGTCTCTTTGCAGACCACGCACTTTCGGACCACTTCAGCAACGTCTTTGGCCATTCCCGGCCAATAAAACTGCCGCCGCAACCAGGACAACGTCTTCAACACTCCTCCATGCGTTGACGCTTCGGTATGGGCCTTCGATATAAGCATGCCGGTTAGCGAACGCGGAACCCACAGTTTCCACACACTGCCTTCGAGCTGATCTTCTAGCCGATTGAAGGATGTCTTTTTGTAGATCACCCCGTTTTCAAATTTTAAATCAGGTAATTTATCTTTTTGACTTTGAATTTCGCTAATCAGCTCCCGATACTCCTCTGATTCGAATTCTGCGGTTTCGATACCCAACAGGTCTCCTGGGAAGAAATCCAACTCCTCTAAAGTTTCGGCTTCGGTGCTTCTGGACAGCATATCCGCCACGATGTTGTCGGAGCCCTTCCGGTGCGTGATTTCAAAGTCGAAGCCCTGGAGCAGCAACGACCAACGAGCCAATCGTCCGGACAAATCCTTCATGGACATCAGCCATTTCAAACTGGCGTGATCGGTTATGACCGTGAATGGCATCATTTCGATGTATGGCCGGAATTTTTGTATCGCCAATACCGCCGCCAAGCACTCCTTCTCGGTCACCGAGTAGTTCACCTGGTGCTTGTTCATCTTGGCAGAAAAGAACGCAATGGGCCTCTCGTTTCCCTGCAAATCCACCTGGAACAATACGGCTCCGACGCCCATATGGGATGCGTCACATTGTACAAAAAATGGGCGTGAAAAATCCGCGTGTACCAGCACTGGCGCAGATGTGAGCGCCTTCTTCAACGCCTCAAATGCTGCAATCGCTTCGCCACCGAGTGAGAACCTACCTCCCGATCGCTTTTTCAAAGCCTCAGTGAGCGGAGCCGCTAAGGTGGCAAAATCTTTAATAAATCGCCTGTACCACCCGGCGGTTCCTAAGAAAGCTCGAACCTCCTTTACGGACCTTGGCACCTGTATGCGCTGTATCGCCTGCACCCGTTCTGGATCTGTCCGAAGCACGCCGCCGCCCACGATAAATCCCAGGTATTTCAACGTTTTAAAGCAAAACTTCGACTTTTGTAACCCTATCGTCAGGTTTGCCTTCTTGAGGCATTCAGCTACTCTCTTCAGGTACTCCAAGTGCGTATCAAAATCAGCCGCGAAGACTACCAAATCGTCCAGATATACTTTAACGTTGGACCTCAGTTCATTCGGTATGACCTTGTCCATCAGCCGGCACAACCTTTGAGCGGCGTTACACAACCCGAAAGGCATCATGCGGAATTGGTACAACGGTCGCCCTGGTACCGTAAACGCAGTGCACCTTCTACTGGACTCCTCCAACTCCACCTGCCAAAACGCAAATTTCAGGTCCACACTGGAAATATAATATGTCTGATCGATTCCAGATAGGATTCCCTCCACGCATGGTAGCGGATAGGCATCTTTGACTGTCAGTTTGTTCAACTTGCGGGCATCGAGGCAAAAGCGGTTCTTGCCCGGCCGTCGCACTATGGTGGTGCGGTTACTCCACGGACTATCGCTTACCTCGATGACGCCAAGCGCCAGCATGCTGTCCACCTCATCCCACACAATCTTCTGCATAGCGGGTGATAGAGGGTAGTGCCTGTCTTTCACTGGCTCTGCTCCGCTGACCAATTCAATTCGGTGAGTCTCCAAAGTAGTCTTGCCTAATCCCGCTTCTTCGAAGGTTAAAAATTCTTTTTTTACTTGTTCCAATTGCAGCTTTTGTTGTTCATTCAATTTCCACATATCTGGTTCAGGCCTTACTTCATCCTGGTCCGCATAATGCGCCACTCTATCAGCTAGCAATTCATCGAGGACAAGTCTTTTAACGGCTGGCTTTTCTGGAGGAATTAATAGTGGTGCCAAGTTAAACAGCCGCCAAAAGTCGATACCGAAATACGCGTTCTGTTCGAGTGATGGGCATACGTAAAATTCCACTTCTTTGGCCTCTTCTCGATACACCACTGGTAAACGCACTCGTCCAATTACGGCTCTGTCTTCACCGCCTGCTGTTTTAATTATCGAAATGTAATTTCTGGGCACCATGCCAATCTCTTTCAGCAGTTCCAGACTGCCCTTGCCTAGCACGCTTACCGAGGCCCCGGTATCCAGCAAACCGCGTAGCACATGGCCTCGTACCAGTACTTCGGCAAAAATCCTCGGATCTGCTGCTCCTTCGCGTCGCACTGCCTCGGCTACCAGCTTCTTCGTCTGCCTTCTCCCTCGGAATCGTGCTCGGGCCTTTTTAACTTTGGCTGTCACCATCCTCATCCCATCTAACTGATGTTGGGCAAAAATTCTATTACGCGCCTCCAGATATGCCCGCATCTTTTCCTCGTACGGTAAAAATTTCAACTTATTACTATATGGGGTATTTTTCTTATGAAATTCTTCTTTCAGGACCGCTCCGCTGTCATCCTGGTGGGCACCTGTGTCGAGCGCGATTCGCCCACTTGCTCCGCACTCCGACGGCCGTTTCCCGTGCAATCGGGACAGGTTGGACTATAGGTGTCGGGCCTGCCACACCTATAACAGAAGACGCGCCTTTCCGGTGACATGCAGTCGCGGAAACTATGGCCGGCTTGTCTGCAGTTCCAGCAAACTAACGCCTGTTGCGGACGCCTTGCCAAACGCGCCTCTTCAACTACGCCGAAATCCGCCGACTCCTCGCCGTTAGTGTCGTCGACCAACTCCTCCACTGCCGGTGGACGGTTTCCGCCACTAAAACGTGTGCCGCTGCGTGTTGGGAACACGCCTTCTCGCCGCTGGACCATAGCTTCCACCTCTACGCATTCGTCACGTAAGTGGTCTACCGTGTACACGCGCATCGCATACACATAACGAGCTAGTTCTATTTTTAATCCTTTTTTTATATATTTCATCATCTCGTTTTCAGATGGTGCTGTGTGGAGACGCGACGCCAGTTTCCTCATGGCATGGAAGTACTCCTCAACGCTTTCGCTTGCCTTCTGCCGTCTTTCGCGCAATTGACGCATGCGCTCGAATTCATCGGCGGCGCCTTTAAAACGGGACAGCATGCTTCGTTTTAGTTCTGGCCAGCTGTCTGCCCGGTGGTCCCTGACGTACTGCCAGTACCACTCGCGAGCGTGCCCAGTTACTAACAGATGGAAACTGTTTAATACTTCGGACCATGCGCAGCGACACTGTCTCTGAAGGAACTCGACCTGGAAAACGAAGTCTTCAACAGCCATTTTTTCCTTATCGCCGCTGAAAACGATGTCCCACTTTTCGACGCGGCACCATCCGGATCTGCCATTCGCCGCTACATACGGAGGAGGCGGGTCCAGCTGACCACTCCCATCGTTACGCCTGTTGCTTCTTCGACGGGCCGACTGTGCTGCGGGATTTTGCCAATTTCGAGCTGTGTTGCTGCTATTGCCAGCTCCACTGGAGGAATTAGCTGCCGCTGGCCTTGCTACTGGACGCGAAGTTCCTCTTGCTGGTGTTAGAGGTTCAGCCTGGTATTGATGCGGCCGTTTTGGCACCGCACCCCGATTCTGGCTGACTGGCGGTTGCCATGCTCCATTTGCAGCTGAATCGCCGCTATTCTCTCGCGGTTGCAAAACTTCTTTCAACGCGCCCATCAAGTCTTGAAACCCCATTCGGATTTCCTCCTGCAACACTTTGTTGATGCCCTCTTTTTGCGATTGGCGGTATGTTTCGTTCGCCTGGGCCACTGCTGCTTCTACCACCGACGCGACTACTGGCTCGGCGTCCCAGTGTACTGCTGGTGCTATGGACGGCCTCGGAGGAGTGTGCATGAGGCCACCGGTGGAAAAACCTACGGCTCCTTCTAGGTGTTCCTCCAGCACTGGATCATCATTTCTGGCCGTTCTCGACCTGGTGTTATACGCACGCGCAGAATCCTTTTCCATCTCAATCCAAAAAAAAAATACGCTCTGTTTTTTTATAATATTTATTTATATTTTGGATTATGAATTTGTTCAGCTTTCAAGCAGGCCCCGAAGAAAAAATCGTATTAATTGGATAATTGTATATATGTATTCCAAACAATGAAAATGTTTGTAAACGCCCAAAACAACAAAAACAAATGGGCAAGAAAATATGTAGATGTACGTTGAATATGTATGATGGATAAATAAATAAATAAATAGGTACAACAATAAATAGATAAATATGTGATTTGGAATAAATAAATATGAATACAGTAGTAAAAATAAAAAAAACAAATCTTTAAATAAATTCACGTCCAACTTTGCACGGAAACCAAAAAAAAATATATATACGCTCAACCACAAGACAAATGTAACATATGTATATGCACCAAACGTAACCAAACAGACTTAATAAAATGTAAGCAATAAACAAACAAATTTTCTTTTAAACTTCTGTATATAGGGGCTGAGACTCACACTCCGCCGGAACCCAAACACGGCTCCTATAATATCTACGCCTGTTACAGCTGCCCTACGCCACAATCCTGCTATATTTGTTCGCTGCTACATTTATCGCCTTGACGGCGATGAACGACAGCCAACAAATTAAATGGTTGCTTCTTGACACCCAATTCTGTTTTGTGCACCATCTGCTCTGGCTCACCGTGCGTAGCGGTGCATCGCAGGCGACTTTCCTAGTCATCCTGGGCCACCGGTACTCTACGTCCACCAGGCAAACACGATGACACCACGGCGACCGTGCACAAACGAATTGACGCAAGAATTACAACAAAGAACACTGAAACGAAATAACAAAACAAACGCGCATTGGAATCCCCCCATAGTACCCATTGCCTAGCGTCGTTCCAAATGGCAGTCGCAAACGAAGGGCTCATACTCGCACCTTCGTGACTTACTGTCCATGTCACACACGCTTGCAGTTGGTGCTATAAGGGATTCCGTCCCTACCATACCGATCGTCGGCCCCTAGCCATCGGCTTAATTTATTTTTTTCCTATCTAAATTCTCAGCCTGCGTACGGCGGCTGCCTAGACTCCTCCCCAAACGTGGTACAGGGCCCTAAACAACTCCACCTACTCCTTGGCATTAAAAATTCAAACATCCAAATTTGGGCGCCATATTGTTACGACTACGCTTTTCCTCTTGGGCAACGCCGGCTGGCTCATCGGAATTCTCCTTGGGTGTGTGGTTCCAACCCTATGCCCGCGTGAGTCGTACAATAACCGATAACACGGTTCCTCCATCGATAAACAAAATGCCATCACTACAATAAATTCGACGCGCAATATACAAAACCGAATTCAAAACGTAAACAAACCAAAAAAACTAACATAAACTAAAAGAAACGTACTGCGACAAGAAAACAAATAAACGGATAACTCCCTCAAGCCATCCGTACGAATACGGGTGACTGTAAAAGGAGATAATATACGTGCGGACGGACAGGGATTGGAGGCATCGGACAACTGTATGGGATTTAGCTGTTGTTATCCCAGGCGTACCCTCCCTGCCTGTATCCAAAGCCAAAATGTTTCTTGGATACCCTATTTTTGGACCGTGCTTGGGCTATTCCATGGCACAGGTGAGTCTCCCGCCCCTACTGATGCTGCTTTAATGCATCATCACCAACGGTGCGACCATTAAAATTAACAATTAATTTTCAGTTTATGTGGCTACAAACATACATATATTTCAGTGTGATTGAGTGTGAGTGAAAACAATGTAAATATGGAACAATAATAATTTATATAAAAACAAAATAAAGAAGGCTTGCCAACGGCCAATGCGGTTCTTTATGTGCGCCAACATGCAAGTATGCTTATGGCAAATAAATATGTATATAGATATATGTGTATGTGTATGAGAAAAATATGCGCGGTACAAAAATTTATAGAAAAATGTCTAACCAAATCCTAACGAGAGCTCTCGACGGTCATGGGCGCAATAGAAATATAAGAATACATATAAAACACTGCGCGCTACTGCAATTGGCAATCTTCATACAATATAAGTGTGTATAAGAGTGTGAACTTTTTTTTTTTTGAATTAAATAGAGCGCCAAGCTCTGTTTAGGTGCCACTTTCTGCCTTGTTTTGGTTTTTATTATATCTGTATATATTCTTTCTTTTGTATTATCTTCCTTTTTTTTCTTTTGCAGAAACTTCAATGGGGCGGCGTGTGGGACCCTGCAGGCGCAGCCCATACAAACGACACGACGTAAGGCGCGCGGGATCTCTGCCTGATGTCGCTGCTCAACCGCGAACAATAGGCACGGCGCGTGGCCAAGGAACGGACTCACCGGCTTGTCTATCCTCCGCTGCTGATGGCGCAGACGGACGTGTCTGCTGTTGCGTTGTGGTGGCGCCGCTATTGCTGCTGCCACTTCTTGGGTGGGCGCCTTTGCTCCGGCTGCCACTGTCGTTGCTGCTGCTGCCGTTGAAAACGCTGGTGCTGGATCTGCTGCTGTCGTTGTTGCTCCTGCTACGATGCGGCTCGTGCTGCTACTTATGACGGCCGCTGCAGCTGCTGTGTATGGTTCCACCGCTGTCCGAAAACTTGGCGATATGCCGGAAAATCTATATGCCAAGGAACAAAAGGCATTTAAGCACTGGTCGGCACATTTAAGTGGATATACAGGTATGTATACATCGGCATTAGTTCTGCCTTGCATCTATATCCTTATGCTCACCTTCGAACGGCTTCTGGTTCTTCCTTTCCTTTTGCAGGTTTCAGCACGGCCTCCAGTTCATCAAAAGAAAACACTGCCTCGTGGGTCTGCACCGTCGCCCCAAAAAACAGGAATGGCGTGTTGCGGCTTGCCTTTTATAGGCCGGATGTCGTATGCCTGCGGATTTTTACGTCCTTGCGCATCCGTTCATCACGGCCTTGACGTTTCCCCACTTTGAGGTGCCATCGGGACACAACCCTGCGCCTGCGTGGCTGCAGTTGCCACCATGGTGCCTCGCTCGGTACCGCTAGATGGCGCTGCAGTACCTTTATAAATTCTTGGCGCCTTCCGTAGCGCTGCCACCTTTTATTCTTCGTGACCAGCCCGATGCAACAAGTTCAATTATGCAGAAGTTTAATTATGCAGAAAATAATTTATTGATAACATAGATTGGATTTTCTAACATTATTATAACATAAATATCATTGTCTTAAAAAACGTGTGTTTTGTAGTGAATGAATGAAGCTCCTTCGTCGCTTGTCACAGTGGGCATAAGGTATTGATGAACTGTGGCTATGCTACAGTTTGTTTGTTTCAAGTAAACTATTCATTTCTCCTCGCACCACTCGTTCTCCTTGCGCACCTGCTCTTCCTCGGCCGGTGAAAAGTCATTGGGAATTGCAAAAGTTTCGCGTATGTCCTGCGGAGATCTGCCTTTAATCATATTGGCCACCGTCTTGCAGGTGACATCTAACAGGCCCTTGATGCCCAGATAGTCCGCGGCCAGCATTAGCTCAAATAGAGTGCCTTGATCGACTTTGAGGAAGTCGGCATCCCATGAGGAAATATCATCTGTTCGTTTTTCCTTGTTCTCTATTTCCTCAGCTGCTTCCGGATCGTCCTTATGGAAGGTGGCCCAGTGCAGTACTTTGCGTAAAATGGCAGAATTCACATTTGGAAGTGGCACTACGCTGCCATCCACCTCATCACCCAGATCCTCAAGTGCCGTCTTTATTGTCTCCGAATGGTTGGCAATTGAAACGTCCGATTCGAAGATCACTTTATCAGCAGATTCCAATTTTATTATCATTTTGTTGTCCCTATATTTGAAACTGGTTTCAAAAATGCAGCCTTAACTCAAATTTAACATATGTATCCCTACACACCTTACGTTGAATCTGTATGCTTACAATGCGCACAACGTTTTTTTCAACAGTGGTGACAAAAATAGTTGGCAACTATACTTTTATACACAGGCACCAGCTATGGCCTACTGCTAAAAATAATTTCCTTTTGTTTGCTTAGTGCTCTTCAACTTGAACCCTACATGGCGCATGACCGCAAAGCTGCATAAATTTTAATCATTCATCAAAAGAAGTGGAACTATGGCTTTATCATCAGAATAGACTAAGGACACAAAATCCAAATTCTTGAAATGGAAATAATCTAACGCTTCGGTTTTAAAGTTTCCGCCAGTTTGAAGCCTGTCCATTAATTTTAATCGAATAGTCGCATAGGACTGCCAATGTTCGACAAAATAAATTTGCATTTAAATTCAAATTAATATTAAATACAACTTGATTTTTATTTAGGCAATACAGTAATTTTGACCATAAGGTGTAATTTCAGTTTTTCATATGAAATTTTTTGTACGGTTACAGTCTCCAGATGGACCAACCGGTTGTCTCAGGTAAACAAATTTAGTAAAAATTCGGCGCTTTTCCTCAAAGCCTTTACTAACTCATCAACCCCTACGCCTAAGGCATGGAGCAACAGTTCCGACAAATCGTTCCGGTCAAAGGTTCTTAGAAAGCGGAACAAGAGCACTGCCGACACAACAAATATAATCGGCCACACTAGCGAGAATACGAAGCGTACAGCCGATAGGATTATATACCACACTAAGAGCACAAGCAGCACATAGGCAATCATTGTTCCAAGATCGTTAGGCATGGACACATTCTTTACAGCCCAATCGTACAACAGATTTAGAAATGTGTCGTCACTGCAATCCTTTTGATCGAAATTATTTGAACATTCCTGTGACATTTTGATCGAATCCTTATTTGTGTTATTTTTAGTGACACTAAACAGTAGTAATTTTGTTATATTAGGTTTGGTGTTGACCTTTTTTTGCGAAGTAAACAAAGTGATAAGCTTCGATTGTGTAGACTGTTATCGAATACAAACGCAAAATTGTAATCGATTTATTGAAACTCACTACAATTTAGCATGGACATAATCCATGTCTAGAGCGCGCACTTTTATTTAAAATGGATTCATACGTGTTGGTATAGTATTTAAGCAAAATGCAACTAAAATTCCTATTTTTAATTCCCTTTGTCATAAGGCAGATATTATGTTAAGCTAACCATATCGATTGCGCTTCAACTACTCATTTTTTTCGGAAAAAAATTATTTAATTAGCGTTTAAATGATTTGTATTTATTTAGAATAAGGCCTCTCTAGATAATAGTAGATGTAGTAGATGTAAGTAGATATTTAATTTAGCTATTAAAATTGAACAGCAAGCTGGTATGCACAAAAAAAAAAACACTTTCCAGGCTTAGATGACATATGTATTTTCACGCAAAAAGGGAGTTTAAAAATTATTCGGTATTTTTTTTATGCACTCACATGTGCATTGAACTTGACGCTTTAGTTCTCAGAGAAGCAGACAATGTTCCCGTATATAAATAGACGCGAGCAGCAAAATGGCAAAATATCTGTAGCTGATGCTACGTATTTGAAGCAAGCAATTTCCGTTTGGCTTTGAACTTGATACTTAAAGGGACGTCGAAAAGTTCAATGCACTGCACCTGTAAGTTGTTGCCAGTTGTCGGCTCTCTTGTTCAGCAAAATAAAAAAAATAATTCGCATTTTAATGGCCCCCAAATCCGTGCTCAGCACACAGAACAAAGCTAAACAGACAGCTTGAAAAGCGAGCAACATACTACCAACAGCGTCAATGTCATTGGCAAGACATGAAAAATTGCCATAAATTGGTGAAAGAAGCAACAGGACATGAATAGCTGGAGCCGATTATTCCGCGCATTGAACTTGCTTTTGTTAACCAAATACTCATATTTAAGTTCATCCGCACGCTTTTCTTGAAGAGCTACTTAATTTACTTGAATGAACAAAACCGAAAAGCCGCAAGAATCAGAGCAATTGAAAATTTGCACTATTAAATATTTATTTACTTGGACACACACAGAGTTCTACAATTTTTTTCATAAATATTTGGTGAGCTTTTTGGTTTCTGCAGCATTAATTATCAAAGGATATAGCACAATTTTTGGTTTTACATTGACAGTCTACTTACAAATTTGCTCGAACCTTTACATTGTCTAATTATTTTTTGAGCTTTGGGTGGCTTTGGAAAATAACATTATTGAACAGCTCCTTTATCATTTCTAAGCAAAGTTTTTTATGGGAATGAGAATATTATTATTATATTTCGGATACAAAAATTCTCTATGAGAATATTATTATTTCCATATGGAAAGTGTATTATGTATAATTTGGAATGCGTGTAGAGCAACCTTTTAAGTTCTGTCTATGGGTTTGACATTTTGGCAAACTGTTCTTGCAGCTGGCTGTGTAAGCAGTTTCGGCTTAAAAAGTCGAAAATACATTTTTTTATGCAAAATGTTTAAAATGCAAGGAAACGGAAGTGTTCAGGCAAAAGCTGTGCGGGAGGCATCTCAAGAAAGCAACAGGAAGTTGTAGCAAGTGCCGACAAACAGGCAGCTAACAAAAAACACATTCCCTCACTCATAAACACACACACACAAGCATACACACTTCTAAAAATGGGCTGCGACACTTCCATGAACCTAGCAACAAAAGGCAATAAGAACATCTCGTTGTTGTTGCTGATGTCGATGTTGTTGTTGTCTATGTCGCTCACCGTGTCATTTGCTTGTTGTAGTATAAGCAAATAAAGGCGTGACACAGTTGCTGCACTCAAATTACATTCACACACAAACACAGCCAGACATAAGTATACACAGATACTCGTATCTTATTTATAGCCATGTTTCTGGTGCCATTGCTGCTTCTGCTGCTGCTGCTGCTGCTGTCAAAGTCAGTCAGTCGGTTAAAATGAAATTGCAACAAAGTTAGTTGTTTGCACTTTTTGCCGTATGCTATTAAACAATGCCAAACAGCATAGGTAACAAGTTGACAGAGGGCAGAAGAGGTGTGCACAAGAAGCCGGTGGAGCAGAGCAGGGCAAGGATCAGAATGAAAATTGTTGCTGGAGCAGTAAATTGTTTCGGACGGAATGAAGTGCGACAGCTTGTTAACGTTGGTAAGTTAGTTAGCAAAAGTCTCTAACAAAAGACGTGTGTCATTTAAAGAAATGAAAGAGAAAAGAACTAAAATGTTCGAAAAGGTCGTTATTTTTGCACAGTAAAAAAAACATAAAATATTTTAAAAACTAGCGTGTTTTTAACAAGTAAAAAAGCTAAAATCGGGTGTCCTGACTTTGAAATACTCTGTACATATGTTTAGAATAATTATAGAAATTTAAAAAAGTAAGAGAATTAAAAAAAAAAATTTTGATCGATTTTACCTCTTTTGGTATTCGAACTCACGTAAAGGGTGTATAATTACACATTTACAAAGCAATTGCGTCTATGTGAGTGTATGTATGTTTATGCTCGTGTCTGTGTAAGCATGTTCGCAGTCAACCAAAGCACCAGCATTAACAACAGCCGCGGGCAGCGCTTGAGCAGCGCTGCAGCAGCAAATATATTTATGGCTATAATTTCTTTTAAAATCGGTCTATCATAATGAAACTTGGCATACGGACACATAATTACTAACTGGGGGTATTTGCATAATTTTAGTTCGAAATTCCAAGAATTACGGGAGTTAGAGAAAATAGCGATTTGCATGGGAGAGGGGAGAGGGAGGGAAATTCCAAAATATACATTTTCTGCGTATTCCCATAAGGCATCTGGGACTAAAATTTGGTCTCCGAGATATAGGCGATTATACGAATGGAAAATTGGGAAAATCCCCATAGGGGGGAAGTGAGGCGAAAATCCAAAAAATAAAACAATCTTGCACAGCGTACACACATAACGCATCTTTGTGCAAAGTTTGGTGTCTCTACCTCTTATAGTCTTTGAGATCCAGGTGTTCATACGGACAGACGGACAGACTGACAGACGGACAGACAGACAGGGCTAGATCGACTCGTCTCGTCATGCTGATCAAGAATATATATACTTTGTGGGGTCTGCCACGCCTCCTTCTGCCTGTTAAATTTTCAGCTCCCGCAAACCTAATATACTCTTGCACATTTTATGTACAGAGTATAAAAATTTGCCATTATTAATTGGCTGCCTTTAAGTAAGTTAAGTAAGTAAGTTGCCCTCCATTAAGTAAGTTAAGAAATAATAATAATAGGAAAACCCAATTCAGATGTGACGAAGCAACTAAAGTGGCAGAGACCACATTATGAATAGACAATACTTGGGTACCATGCTATATGCTTTGTTGTGGAGCTATGGGTTTAAGAAATTCCTTGACCCCGTTACGATAATCAGAGAATGGCAAATGGGTTTTTATTTGTATATTTTGTATCCATACTCGTATTATAGATAGTGTTTAATTTACACCTTTTTAATATTCTAGAAGATCAATCATCGAGATGTATGCTTGGAAGCCAGTGTTTTAATATCCTTCCCCTTTATGTATTAATGGTTCGCTGTTTGCTGTTAGTTTAAATACCACTGCACATATTTACAGTTACTTTAAGTGCATTTGCTGCACAGTAGCTTTAAAAACACCCTCAGCAGCCACAGACCCTTTCAGCTTCAAAGTGCAGCAGGAGGTGTTTACAGCTTTGACCTTTCGCGTTGGTGCAAAACTTAGCTCCAGGCCACAACGACATTGCAACACAAGCTGCCAGTGTCATGCAATGCCCATTTAATGGCTTAAGAGGGGTAGCCTCTCCTATACGCTTACACGTTTCCACAAAATTTAAGAGATTTAAGCCTTTAATAGTAACTTTTTAGTATATATGACGTTATTAATGAATACAATGTTATGTATAATTGTTACCGCACTTACATTGACTTATTTGCTAGCTTATTTGTTTAATGATTAAAATTCATTTTGAACTATTAAAATCATTTACGAAAACTTTGAAGAATATTTCTATATTTTAATATACTATGTAGTCTGATAAT